ACTTCGAACTTCTGCTTTTCCTAGTACACATGTCAAGGTTTGTTTTTCAGTTGTTTATTTCTTTTTTTTTTTTTTCAATTTGTGCCTTTTGTATCCACATTTCCTTTTTATGAAAACAAATAGCAAAATTTTCATTTTCTTCTTTTCCCCAGGAGAAATGGGCTAAGAATCTTTATATTGCATCTGTTTGCTATGGTCGAACTGTCTCATGAACAGCTAAAGTTTTGTTGGGATGCCACGATGTTCTCATGACTTTGCCCATGCACTGCCAAGAAGGCAGTTCTCACCATTGATGGCTCTTATTTGGGAAGCAAGCCCCTGCTTAAGCTAAAATGGAAGTCTATGTATGCAAAATTCTTCTTTATCGCCGCCAATACATAGCACCTATTACAATACCTGTGCACTGTTTTTCAATTGCATTGAAATCCATATGAGCCAATATCCTTTGTCCATCAGGATGGATTGATTTACCTGTTTGCAAAAGAACCTTGTATAGTTATGAACAGTGGTCACTTTTGAAGGTGTGTGCACAGGTCATATTTTCATTATTAGTGGCTACTCTCAAGATTGTTCTACCATAACTTTGGGATGGGCTGTAGGGATTCTCAGTCATTGAGTCTGTACTTATCTTTTCCTTCCCCCTTGCTTTTTTGGACTTAAGGAACGTAAAATCTTTCATCCATGTACTCATGAGATGTCTGAATTTGACCTAAATGACTGAGGATGTACTTATTTTGTATACTTTGAAGTAAAAGTTTGTAATTCTCCCGTTATTATATTGTTATTTTATGCTATAATTTAAATTATTATGAATTGTGATATGTAACATCCATTTAGTGTATGTGCTGTTTATTCTATAAGTATGAGTGTATTATACTGCAGTTATTTTTTAGTGACAGTAAAATGCACTCTACCATCTCTTTTCTTATCCTATTTCCTATTTGTGGTGAAATTGTTTCCCTTTGAGGGTAGCTGTTTACATGCTAACATTTCCAGACTGGTCTTGGTCATTTTGGTTTTGCAATAATGCAAAGCCAAAAACCATCCTGTTTTCAGAGAATTAGTTTTTCTTGTCAGTAGACCTCTTGATTTTTGGGCTATGTACAATGACTTATTGATGGTATATCATGGTTTTTTAAAGCCTTAAGGGGGAGCTGACTATCTGCTGGTTGCATAATAAATATGTTTACAATTGTGAGATTCTAATTGATCCTTTTTTAATCACTTTTTAAGTGGTCATTGTATCCCTATGAATTTTTAAGCAGTTGTCTTGTCTACTTCTGTTGTTTTCATATAGCTTGTTAATGCGGGCAAATTAGGAGTTGGTGTGTGACAGAGGATCACTGGTTAAATTATTAATATTTTGTGGTCAAGATCTTGAAGGTGGAAACATTGTTTGGCAAGACCTCTTTGCTCCAAGAACTTTTGATGCCAAGAGAACCTTCCTGTCTTTTAATTGGTGAGTCCTTCATCTTTGGAAGTTTCAATTGTATATTCTAATGGTTCTCTTTCTAGTTTCACATTTTCAATTGCAGCTTGGGAGTGTGATGGGTTAATAGGTTAATTATATGCACCGCTTCACAATCATTTGGATCAAAAGTTTAGAGCCTGGGTTTCTTTGGCATTTAACTGGTAAAGTATGTCACTGCCGAACCTGTTGTATGCATGCGTACGTCTTTTGCTCGTGGAGTTCACAAACTGAATTAAAAGAATTGACGCATTCAGGTTTTGGATCTGATGCAGAGGTAATCACTTCGAATTGATTTACATGTGGTGAAGTTGCTACTAATTTAGTAAGTCAATCTTTATAATCAGTTAAAAAAGAAATTTAGACAGTTCTTAGGAAAACAGAGGAATATGAAACATGAGTCATTTTGTTTTCTTGAGTTTATTCGAGGCGTTTTCCTGCCAGATTTTTCTTCTTAAATGCAATCAGTGGTGCTTTTCATTATGTGGCAATATCAAGTGCTAGAAGGACAGATGGTCAGATGGTGATGTAACAGAGACCATTATGCTTTCTAGTACAATGGTGAGAATGTTTATAGAAGCTGATTTATAGGCACTTGGTTCTTCTAATTATACCATTGAATTTTTGCAATTTTGTTTTTTATTTTTTTATTTTTCTGTTGAAGTACTGCACAACCGTATCTATGTTGTTCTGTGGTTTGAGGAAAATAAGATTTGGGGCATAATTGTGAAATAACTTCAGGTTCCTTTGGTTGCTGAGGGTGCAAGTATGTAGACTAGTAGCATCTGTAGCATGCTTTTTCATGTGTGTTCGAGAAATGATTGCACTAAAGAAGCTTTGTGATTTTTATATAAAGCAAAATCAAACACATTTTGGATTTTTCTTTTTCTTTTTTATTGTCAATTATACTGAATTTTGATGCCAAACTGTTTAGGGTCATCTATATGTATGTTTTTCCTTCACAATTCAAAAAGATACACTCTTTCTTTTGTTTTTCCTTTTTTTGAGAAGAAAAGATATACTCTTTCTTTCGATTGATGGATAAGAGGAAATGGGAAAGGAAGAAGAAGGGGTTATACTTGGGATGCTTAATGAGTTGGGAAAGAAAGGATAAGTATTGACTAATTATCCCTAAACACCTCATTTGTACTCCCCCCCTTCTAATAGTTAATAATACCTTTTAAAAATAATTGTTTACCCTCTGATTTTTTTTTTTTTTTGTTAAAACTTTTCTTTCCTACTGACTTAAGATTTTTTTTTTCACTAGATCTTATTCCACTACTTTCTGTGTTATCCTAGTTAGGTCCTACTATTGCTTTCTTGCAATTTCAATACCCTCAACTTTTCATAGTCTAGTGCTAATGTTCAAACAATCTCAATTTCCTCCCAGACTTGTTGTCATGGGTGCCAGTTTTACATCACTAGAAATGCATGTCCTACCGTATGCTCTCAATTCTTGCATTTCTGCTACAGAAACCTGTTTATGTATTTGTTTGTGATTGAAATTTGCTCTCATACATTGTAGTGATTGAAGAAATACTTTGTTCGTCTTTTAGTTCCATAAATGCATATCTGGAGGGAGTCCTTGCAAGAACCAGTATGATCAATCCAGTGATGAAATGTTTCTTCCCTGTCTAGCTCACATAACAATCTTTTACTTTTATTGGGTTGCTCAGGCTACTGTTTTATGCATTACCCATGCTGTATCCGACAGAATGCTAGACAGGTTGTATGTTTGTGGTTTCTTTATCGCTTGCAGAGCTTATAATCACCAGCATTACCTATACAAGTACTTTGTTTAACTATAAAGTAAATTCTATTGACATGGTCTCCCTGTTTCTTGCAGAGCTTATAATCACCAGCATTACCTATACAAGTACTTTGTTTAACTATAAAGTAAATTCTATTGACATGGTCTCCCTGTTTCTTGCAGAGCTTATAATCACCAGCATTACCTATACAAGTACTTTGTTTAACTATAAAGTAAATTCTATTGACATGGTCTCCCTGTTTCTTGCAGAGCTTATAATCACCAGCATTACCTATACAAGTACTTTGTTTAACTATAAAGTAAATTCTATTGACATGGTCTCCCTGTTTCTTGCAGAGCTTATAATCACCAGCATTACCTATACAAGTACTTTGTTTAACTATAAAGTAAATTCTATTGACATGGTCTCCCTGTTTCTTGCAGAGCTTATAATCACCAGCATTACCTATACAAGTACTTTGTTTAACTATAAAGTAAATTCTATTGACATGGTCTCCCTGTTTCTTGCAGAGCTTATAATCACCAGCATTACCTATACAAGTACTTTGTTTAACTATAAAGTAAATTCTATTGACATGGTCTCCCTGTTTATTGACATGGTCTCCCTGTTTCTTGCAGAGCTTATAATCACCAGCATTACCTATACAAGTACTTTGTTTAACTATAAAGTAAATTCTATTGACATGGTCTCCCTGTTTCTTGCAGAGCTTATAATCACCAGCATTACCTATACAAGTACTTTGTTTAACTATAAAGTAAATTCTATTGACATGGTCTCCCTGTTTTTACCATCTTGGGAGAGGCCTGCCAGGGATCTGTTTTTATCAGTTTCGAGGCCAACTGATAAAAAAAAAAAAAAAGATAATATATAAACGAAAACGGAGACCAACTTCCATTTGTTTCAGATATAGTGTTCATTTAATTTCAAACGCTAACACTCACTCTTAAGCAGACTCCAACTCACTGCAACCTGTTCTTCTTGGTTCTGACCTTGATAAAAGCTTTCCCATTCTATTCAACCTGTGCTGCCATAGCTAGCACGGCCCTCACTCCACGTATAAGCTTCTTCAGCTGTACACTCAGATTGTGAAGTAGGATTGGAGAGCAAGAATCACAGGTTTCTCATTGGAGGATACCATGGCCTCGACCACCTCCTTTGTGAATGTTTTTCCATCTCCGGATGTTCCAATCAAGACTGTCGCCTTGATTGCCTTAACAGCACCCAAAAGTCCCTCTACAGGTTCATGCTCATGAACCCAAGGCTTCTTGAAGTGTTGAAGCGATTTTTTACATGAGCTAACGATCAGTCCCTTTGAGTCCACAAGCCAAAGCTTCTTGCGAGCCTCTTCAAGTGGAGCTATCATCTGTTTTGAAATCAACAGCTATAAGCTCAGCTACACCAGTTCCGGCCTCTCCAGCACCAAAGAATAAGAATTTATGGTTAGCCAAAGTTCTGCCAACTAACTTCAAAGCTGCGAGAAGTCCGGATAGCACCACAGATGCTGTGCCCTGTAATACATGAGATAAATTCGCAATAAGAGTAACTTCCATTTGACACAAGACAGATTCCTAATCAAACAAATAGTGCTTAAGATATTTTTTACCTGTATATCATCATCGAAAACTAGATGACTTGATCTGTATTTTGCCAGTAGCTTGAATGCATTGTGATTTGCAAAATCTTCAAACTGAAAAGAACATTTATATAACTTGGCTTATCACCCAGCATATTGAGCTTCTATCTATTTTTGGCTGTGTCTCCCCAAGGCAGCTTCAATCTAGCAACTCTTTTCCTCCTTGAACCAGAATCTCTTCTTGTTAAAATGAAAGAAAATAACGAAAATCATCTCTCATGAAATTAATGTTTAAAGAAATAAACAAGGCACTGATGAGTGTTGCAGGAGGAGCTGCTTTTAAACATCAAATCACTACCATGTATTTAGTAATCATTGAAAGCTAAGGAAGTTTAATTTTGGAATAAATTGAAATAGGATGCGAGTTGCGACGAAAGAAGCGAATTTGCTAGGTTAGGATGGGAAAGGCAGGTAATTTTGAGTTCCGACAACTAATTAATGCACAAGCAAGCAACCTAAATTATACACCTTACAGTCACAATCTAACCACTAATACATAATATAACAGAAAATAAATCCATAAAAGCCAAGAACTACTTAACATAATTGAAAAAAAGTCAAGAAATACATAACAGAATTTATAATATAGGTTGAAGATGTACTGCTAAGCAGACAAGAGTGACTTAGCTATGAAGATCAAAATGCCAAAATGTAATAAGCTACGCGAAGAATGCCCCAATAAGAGACAGATTTGGAGTATTAGCCAAGTTGAAGATGTATTGCTTCTCGATCTGAAGTGAGAGGAACTCGCCTGTATATCCAGAAGCAGGAGCAGAAGCAGAAGAAGGCGGCATATTTGCGGCTTTGGCTTGGATGTCATCAGGCTCGGGCAATTTTCTGACACTACAAATAGATATGACGAGCATTTTCTCGTCTTTTATAAAGCCTGTCGCTAGAGCACAGATTCTGCTATCCTCCATATCAATAATAAGACTATCCCTTACATATAGGCCCCTTTTAGTAATGCCAGAGAATACATCGCCAAGGTTTTGGCATTTCAAGAGACAACCATCCGCCGGGTAGAGATATCCATGCAACCGTACCTTCCCACCCAGACCACAATCGGAATCCCTATCGGGGTTAAGAGCAACGATAACATCTCCCGATACCAACCTTCCCCTACCAGGAAAATGATCATCCAGCACAGGCCCATCCCAATACTTGAACATGTTTGTGTCCAAAAACCAGTGTTTTTCGCGGGTGTCAAAGTAGAAGAGCGTACGTGACCGAGTCTGAACACACAGCTTATGGCTGAGGACAAAATGCTCTGACACAATATTATCATTTACATCTTGACTAAGAGTGTAATAGAAAGGGGGTTGGGGTAGTACCTCCCAACTGGGATCGACAGATGAGGGATCCAAAACCTCGAAAGTGTCAAATCTGGCAGGCAGAGGCATATCGTTTCCTTCAAGTGATTTTCTGTAGATAGCATAAATCTTGCCTTCAATTGCTTCCACTATAAGTCTCGTTTTGATAGATTTCAAGGTGGTTTTAGATTCTGTCAAGGAATTTTTACTTAGATCGAATTTATAGACTTTCCTTGAGAATGGATGGCCAAAAATTAGATACTCCCCGCCAATCATATATATCTTGGATCCGGATTTGACAACGCCCAATGGATAAGGATAGTAAGAACGATTAGAATCTGAATATCTCACGGCAACAGTAGGTGATGGTGGGAATGGAGGTATAGCCGAAGAGGGGTTTGAATTCGTAATTTTTGAGATCCAAACGAAGAAGAAGAGTCCAAGTATGAACGTACAAATCTTTCTCCATTCTCGCCATGGCCGCTACAGATGCACTCTAGTAGAATAGACATGCTAAATATTTGAACTTGTTTGTTTATATAGTTGGTTTTCGCGGGTGTCAAAGTAGAGAGGTTACCTGATCGAGTCGTACTACAGCTCATGGGCTACCAGCAAGCTGTTTGTAGCTAGTGATCCTATTTCAATTTTGCTGTTTTTATTTTTCCATTAGTTTTTTAAAATCCTGTGATTATTCAAATCATTTAATTTTTCAATTCAATTTTATTATTTTTATTATTAGTAAAGCATAAAGTTTGGATAGATAAAATATTTCTATGATTTATTAGGCCAAAGATTCGATGTTTTGGAGTATTTTTTTAGATACCATGAAAGGTATATTCAGCATTTAGTTAGAGAAACTCTTTTAAAATGTTGATTGATTCAATTAGAAAATAAATTAAAGAAAATTTGTGACATATTAACAGGTGAAAAAACAAAAAAGAAAATAAAAACCATTTTCCATGTGTTTCAGAAACCCCATTTTCTTACTTTCAGAAAAATAGCTAACCACTTGGCATGAATCCATTCAATTTCAGTAATTCTGAAATTTATATCTTGAAACATCTTGAATTTCACGAGATTTTCAAACAATAATAACAGAAATGGCATTTTCAAAACTCGACCAGCGAGTGTGAGTCAACATATCAACAGTGAACATTGGCACAGGTTGAACAGAGCGAGTAAATTAACCTCAGCTACTATGCCTATAGCCTTCAAAAGCCTCGTCACAATGCAAATCCATGTCCCAATCCAACCTAGAATAAAACTAATAATAATTTGGAAAAAAAAAAAACAAAAAATAGGCCGAGCTTTGGAGGGAAAAATTGCACAGCTGAAACATAGACCTATAATGTTGGCCTGTAACATAATCTCCTCAAGCGGACTCTTTCCTGGTAGAAGAAAAGAATAGAGAGAGTTTCAGCAATTCAATCCCAGTGTTAGCAGCAGAATAAAGAAATGGATGAGATGTGCCAATAATTTGCGAATTATGCTTGCCTCAGTATTGTCATGATCATATCTAATCAAAAAGAGACACCTACAGCCTCTTATGTCGTGCATCCGCCTTTGAATATCTATAACATGAGCATCGTAATATATAGCCTGGTCTCTTCTTTCCTAATTATACCAATAGTGAACATAAGCTATAGTGCCAAATATATAGAAAAATTGCAAGATGCAGTTAAAATTACCTGAAAGCAGCATACAGTATCTCCCACTTGCACCTTGTGGCATTCTGAATGCTCAAGCGGGACAGAGCGTTCTCGCACAGCATTTTTTACATTGACCCATTCATCCTCCTCAGCACCAAATCCAACAAATCTAACCCGAACTTCCTTTAATAAATGAAAAAATTCCATCAAACTATTTATTAGGAAAACAATGAAAGATAATTAGCTTTGAAACATTTTTCTCATTTTAAGAATTCAATTCTTTTTTTTTTTTGTTTCAAGGCCTTGATCAATGAAGTATAATCTTCAATCGAAAACATAACTCATTTTTTTCGTTTTAGTTTTATGCCTATAACGATGCAATAACTTTGGCCTTTTACATATCAGTTTAACATCGCTACAATGATTCAGCTTTAATTAAACAGATAAGGCAGTATATTCTGATCTAAATGCTTACAGCTTCACCGGATGGAAGAAATCTGTGACAGAGGAACATATCAACATCGTACCTACAAAGCCAGAAGAGAAAGCTAGACATTAGCTTTGGACACAGTTGAAGAAGGAAACAACCTTTCCACCACAGACATTAGCATGAAGGTAATCATACAATGGATACTCAAAACAATCATGCCAACCAAACTGTATCAAAATTTCCATCTTCATGGATATTGATTAAATTTTTACTACACTTACCATTTAGTACTAGAAATCAAACTGTACAGTCATTCAAAAGTTTCTTCAGTTTTTTCTAATTCTAGCCTAAATGAAATGGTTCAAAAGAGATGCCTATAAGCTCTAAAGATCAAACTGTCTTTCAAATTAATGTTTTCCCATCTACAAAACATGTAAATACCCAACAAGGTATACTGAAACAATAAAGGACCAGATTCAACAATTCAAGACCTGGAAGCTCACCATGCTCCATCTTTTGATGACCTGGCTTCAAATTCCAACTCAGATAAATCAGGCACTTTCTCTCCTGCTTTTGAACCAACATTATTAGCTATTAGAATATAAAATCATTCTCTAGAAGATCGTTGGTTTCTGCATGAGAAGCAAAAGCAGGAAGATGCATTGGGTAGCATTGCAAGCATAAGCATCTAAACATTTAAGACTATTTGTAAATTATCTTGCAGTCAATGAGAACAAAGAAGGATAATTAAGAATGAGTGAAATGAAAGGGATAGGTAAAAGAAAGTTTCTTTATTAAACATTATATCTTTTCATTATTGCTTATTGCTTACCCTTTTGAGTTCATTCTGCACATTAGAGTAAACCAAGGACACAGCACAAGACTCTTAAGTACTAAACTTTGCACTTTACATTAGCACTTTTGAGCATTGTGAACTCTGGTGACATGTTAAACAATTGCAGCAACCACACTGCACAATCTATGCAACAATTTTTATCTTTCTTAATTTTGCTCATTCTTTCCACCGATTTCTGGATTTCCAGATGCAGATATTTTCTTTATTAACAGTCCCTTTTTAAAATTAAAATTAATGGACAATCACCCAAAAAATAACTAAAGGACATATGTACAGACATACATTGTAGGAAACCACAAATAACTTATCTAAGATCATACAAAACAAATAAATATAGACTAACTGAAAATGAGCATATCTCAGCAGTTAATACATCAATGCTAAATCAGATGAACTAGCCAGCATCTAGTTAATCTAATAAAACTCTAATATTCTTGTGCAGTTTTTCACGTTTGGCAGCACTTAAAATCATGTCAAAATATGGAGAAAAGGGAACACCTTTAGGCATTTGAGAACTTTCTTTTGCATCATTTGAAGGGCTACTTTTTGGGCAAGAATGGTCATCTTTTGATGCATCAGTTGAAGAAGCCACCTTGGATGCGTAATTGATTTGCCTATTTTGGAACCAACTTTGAACCTGGGCATGATGTAATGGTAGGAGAGTTATACAACAGATACATATGAGAAATACCCTCTTCCAGGACTAAATTGGCAATAACAGCAATAACAATCGTATAAAAGAATGCAAAACCTCAGTCCATTTAACAATAGGTTTCCCAGCACGGCCAGAAGAGTAACTGCAAGTCCATAGCAAGTGAAAATAAGGGGAGTTAGAGCCCAAACTAGTTACATATGCACATTTTAATTCATGGAATATATATGGGACCTGTTGTCTTCTCTTTTGAGAATACTACCCCATCATGCATAGGATTATTATTTATTATTAAGTGTTTCAAGAAAGAAGGATTGCAAAATTTTTGATATCTACTCAATCGCAAGACACTTCAGGACCATGATCATCAAAGTTAACCAAGTGATTTGATCTATTCATAATTGAATAAAGATGCACCTGAAAGCAACTTACTTAAAACTTCTTGCAATTTTTTGAAAAAATTCCTTGTCCATTGACTGCTTTGATTCCTCTATCAATTTCTCCATCTTCTGAATCTGTTGCCATGGAGGAGAGAAAAACAATCTAACATATCCACACAATAAACAAGGATTTTTCAAAGGAATGAACTGACATTATGAGCAAAAAATTCATGGTTGGAAACAATTACAGATTCCCAAATTTTCTGTTAATAGAAGCTTCAATCAAGACACCAATAAAATTGTTTACATCATATAAGATAATATCTAACATTTCCAATTAATTTTTCCAAACCCTTGCAGCTGTCTGAAATAAAAAGCTGAAACTTTCAAACTTTGTAGCAAAATGAAAAAATTTCTGGTATTGTAATCACAATATAACCGCATTACTATGTAACCATCATCAAAGGAACACACACAAAGTAGCAATTAAAAATGCAGAGTTAAGAAAAAAATATTCAATAAACTACAGCCAAAATTAAACGCTTAACATTTGAGCATAGGGAAAACCCAGATAAAGAATCGATAGATGGATAACAAAAAGCTCAAAGAAAAAGAAAATTATACCTCAGCCTCTGCAAAGCCAGAGAATTGCAATCTCTGCCTAGGGCGGAGACGATCCATGTACAGTCTCCAAAAATTAACGAGGAGAAAAAGAAACGGTGTCTTCTTTTTGGTTTAATAGCAATTGAAATATGATTAAATTAGATTTGGTAACCCTATGGAGAAAGAAAGAGACTTTTTGGGTAAAGTTTCAGATGAAATAGAGCCAGAACTAAAGGGTGATTTTTGTACTCGATTAAGCGCCTATTCAGTATTTATTCTCTCTATAAGGAAGATGGGTTTTTGGTCAAGACGTTGGTACCTCCGATATGACCAAATTGGACTATTCCATGACAAGTGGGACCCATTTCCGACTAGTGCCCTATTTCATTCGAGACAGAGAGAAGAAGGGGGGTGGGTGGGTAATCTTCTTCCCCTTTCGTCAATCCCTTGGGGCACAAATCTATTTGTCTCTGGTCTGGATTACTTCTTCAATTCATTTTATGCCTCCCAGCTTTGCTTAATCTTTCTTGCATGCTTGCTGTTCTTGCATACTTTTGGCCCTTTTGCACTGAGACATTCAATCTATCCCTTCTTAGTAGTTTTCTTTGGTTTCTTGATTTTCACATCAGGCGACAGTCCCATCATTTGGAAGTTGTGAGAGACACTGGACAATATCTTGGAGTTTTCAAAATCTAGAACATTTAATTATGTTCAGGCCTACGTGTCATAACTATCAGGTCTTTCTGCACAGAATCTTCTTTGCTTGCAAAATAGACACCTGGTTCTATAAATACTCCCTCTCACTGATCCGCGTTCCTCGGAAATCCAACTTATTCACTTGTAACCCTAATTTAACACCTTGTTTTATTAATAAGCAGAATGATTAATTTTTGATAGATTTATATTGCTGGACTGATTAATAGTTGAATGCACATCTAAGTTAAAAAATTTAAACTCCTAAACCTATTTTCTTGGAGAAGAAATACGCAGATTGACATCAAAAGAATATTTCATTTTGTGTTAAATAAAATAAACCTGTTCAAATAGCTTGTTGTTTGCTTATGAAATGATTTTCCCTTTTAACCTATCCACCATTTCTTGTTTTTGGTTGCAGCCATGCACATGATAAATTTTATTACAACTTAAAATTAATGATTGAAAGTTTAGTTATTTTATAATTGCTACGTTTATGAATATTGGAATTTTTTTTTTTTTTAACAAAGTCTCAACTCATTTTTAATTATTTTAAATTAAAGGGTAAAACCACCATAATTTATGTTTTCACCAATAAACAGAAAACCAAGATGATGTACTATTAACAGAGACCAAGTACACGGAGTAACGGAGAGGTCTTCCTATTTAACGGCATCGTTTTGAGTAGCTTTTATTTTATTAGTAGTTCATTGCAGTTAGTAACGACTTGTCGTTTGCTCTTTTAATTAGTTGTGGGAGATCGGTGACTGAAAATTCCAACATTAGGCTTGGTATAGAAAGACTGGAATTAGAAGAAGACATACCTTCAGACTGCAGAATATGTGGCCACTGTTGAAAAAATCTAAACCCAAAAGAAGTTATATGAGTTTTTTTTTTTTTTTTTTTTTTTCAAGTTACACGGCCAGTAACGGAGAGGTCTTCCATATTTAACCGGCATCGTTTTTTGAGTTAGTTATTTTATTAGTAGTTGCATTTTGCAGTTAGGTAAACGATCTTTTTGTCGTTTGTCTCTTTTAATTAGTTGTGGGATCGGGTGACTGAAATTCCAACATTAGGCTTGGTTTAATGACAGGACTGGAATTAGAAGAAGAATTATCCCTTCAGACTGCAGAATAGTGGGCCACTGCTCTGAAAAATCTAAACCCAAAAGAAGTTTATGAGTATTGTTTTTTTGTTTTTTATTTTTTAGATAGAATTTGTTTATACTAGTTACTTTTATGCTAAATGTATTAATATTTCAATACCGCAGTACAATTTTTTTTTTTTTTTTTTTTTTGAAAAAATTACTAGTTACTTTATGCTAAATGTAATTAAATTAATACCCATACAATTTCAATAGTTATACTGAAATTTATTAGAACTACATTTTACCAGTCAATCACATAGATATAATGCTAATTAATTCAAGAGATTTAATTATAAATATATAAAACGAGAAAAAGGATGGAAAATTTTCTCAATCCATTGCCAACCACAAGGAAAAATTTTCCTATTATTCATCTTTAGAAAATTTAATTTGAGTAAAAATGATTTAGTTCTTCCAAAACAACAAACGGGATGAGTAACATGTCATTTGAGTTGATGAAATGTGAAATTCAAGCATTTTACAAAATCTATGTATGGATCGTAAAATCAATAGAATTTCAAATATTGAAAAGTGTAATCTATAAATTTGGAAGGTTTTATTTTTTGAATAAAATTAAGTTGTTTAAATTACACTTATAATATGACAATGAAATATAAATTGATGATTTAAAGATGTCTGAAGTGGGACTCTATTGTCACGGCTGAAGAACGCAATGCTATGATTCTACAGAAAGAGGATAGCGCATCCCATAAGTGCTCGGTGGTCGGTGCGCTCTAAGAAAGTGTTTTAAATCAAAATGTTAACACTCAACAGGTGGCTGACAGTAACTAACACAACTAGTAATCTTTTTTTCGGAAAAAAACTGAGAAATATAGACTTAGTCTTTCAATTCGTTTAGAAGTCCCGAGTTTTCTTCGTCAAAGCTTCCAGATCAATGTAGAGTTGCTGCGTCTAATGTTTATATACATAATAATATAATGTGAATGACCGAAAAAGACTTTTGAAAATTAATGGGAACATAATATAATATTACCTACTACCAACCAAAAGGTGTATTCTACGTAAATCTGCATTCACATATTGTATTATTGTAGAGACTAATATTATACTTTCATCTAAAGAATAATATCATTTCATACTCTCTTTCTTAATTTCGATAATCGTCAACGTCAAAAAAGTAGACGCTGGCATTTTTGATAATCCAAAATTTACTTTTAATAATAATAATAATATTTTTATTATTATTTTTATGCTTCATCGGCACTTAAATTACATCTACAAGTGTTGTTATAATCTATTGTAATCAGTAATAACAATCTATTGGTGCTTAATGCTATCACATTTTCATACTTTATTATCTTAATTTACTTTAAATAAATTCATATATTTTATGAAAAATTCTGATGAAAGAAAGGAGCTAATTAACCTAATATAAACATTAAAATAGCTAAAAAGGAAAAACTTTTACTTTTAGCCATGATTAGCAATATAAAAAACTGGTTTGTTTTTACAACTACGCCAACCCTCAATATTTGACTCCCAAATTTCCAGAAAAACGTGGAAGAATTCGGTCAAACCTCAAAGTCAAAATCCCAAAAGCACAATGGGTTAAGAACATGAAATTCAGAATTCAAAGAGGGTAAGTAGATCGGCGCGCCTCACCGTGTAACGGAAATTAAAATTAAAAGAAGATAATAAATATTAATCCGCGTAATTTAATTAATTTTGTTTACATTCTTTAAAGATGTGGAAAGTAAAAAGTTTTTAGTCGAAAATATTTTAGCGGATATTTTCTACTTCTCTTATCCTTCAAAATTTTGAATTATCATTTTTTTTTTAATTTCAAATGTAAAAACAGTAAATAAAAAGAAAGTACCAGAATCAATATATATATATATATATTTCAAAGTCCAAATAAAAATTTCAAATAAGTAGTTTTAATAAATTAAATGTCAATGCAATTAATAGATTTGAAGAGAAGAAGGGTAGTTTAGTTTAGCTGCTACAGGCACGTGACTCCCTGCATCGCTTCTATCTTCTTGTCAAGTTTTTTCAATTCCCACCAATGCGTTGTCCAAATTTTACATTCATTAATTGAGAACCGGAATTGGTCTTTTCGCATACAATCAATGTATGTCGTTTTTTAATTCTCAAAGTTGGGAAACATCATCTCCAATTGAAACGACATGATACCACAAAATTATACTAAAAAGTACATTTAGTTACTTTCATAATTTTTTGTTTTTTCTTTTGGGCATTTCAATTTATAGATTAATTTATGAATTTTTATGTGCATTCATATAAAATTTCAAAGGATTGTTGTTAAGTTATCATTCACAATATTGGTTTTGCCTTGTTTTTCTTAAGGATGCTAAATTTAGCATAACAATAAATGAAAGTTGAAAGAAGCATTAATTAAAATTTCTTATTTTTCACATACAAGAAGACAAAGACGAAAAAAATTTATTAGACTACACGTATCTAAAACCTTAACTTAATCAACTTAAAAAATATTTGATGGGGAAGTTCAATTTGATTTTTATTTATTAAAGAAAATTGACCCATTATATAATTACTTAAATAAAATTAAATCCATAAACATTTGTAAACAATATACATATATTTTTTGGTATAAAAAAATAAAAAAAAAAGATTGGAAGTGAATTTGAAATTGCAATTTGTATCTTTCTTGCACAAAACATTTAACTCCAAAATAATTAAAATAAATGTAAAAAAGGAAAAATAAGTTGTTATATAAAATGTTAATATTCAAATATCACTAGAAAAATCTCATAAAACAAGTTTTTTTTTCTTAAAAAAAGAAAGGAATAAAGCTCAAATTTATTTATGATATACTATTTACAGAAAATTAAATTTTTAGGTTGATTTTAGTAGAAATTTTTAATAAAAGCCAAATTTTCAAATGAGTAATTTTAATGAAATTTTCCATTTTATATTGGTTAAAATGCTTCAAGGATTTATGATAAGGAAAATTGGTAATCTGATTTTTTTACATAAACCTATTATCCATTTTTACTTAATGAAGTTATCAATATATTTATTTCATTTAAAAAACAATCTCAATTAATTTTTTTAGTAGAAAATTTTATCCAATTAGATTAAAAATCTAATTATGAGTAAATTGTATATCACAGTGAAATTCATGTAAATAAAAACTACTATTAAAGAAAAAAACACTTTTACCGAACTAAGGACTTCAATTTCCCGTTCCGTTGCGTTTAAACTTAAAAACGCGTAACAAAGACTCTCTCTCTCTCTACCAAAAACGCGCAAAATTATTCTCTCTCTATCTTTTTCACTCTGTCTACAGTTCTCTGCACGTTCCTGCAATATGATTTCGCTGAAGAGACTTACTTTTGTGGTATACCCATTCATTATAGATTCTTTTCAAAGCAATTCTTTTATATTTTTTTTTATTTTCTTTGAATCAATTTGTACGTGTTGGTAGTCTTTTGTCTACGTTCGTCCTTTTGACATTGAAACCAAACCTGAACTTCCATTTTCAGAAATAATATTATTATATTATTTAAAAAGAAAAATTAGAAATTCTTGGTTTTCTAGTGCCTATATAAGGTGGGCTTTGCTCTTTCGTTTTTCCATACCAAACACAAAGAGCGTGTATCTTCTGTGTTGATTTCGTTTTTTGAGCTTTTCTTTGATTTGCAGAGAGTCATTCTGTGTAGAAGAGGAGAGATAAAGTTTTGGGCTTTAATGGAGAGTACAAAAACAAACGGTGTTGATTCAACTATGGAGAAGAAGAATGTAGCTTTGGGTGGTGGTGTTGAGGATGTTTATGGTGAGGATAGTGCCACGGAGGATCAGCTTATCACCCCTTGGACCGTCTCCGTTGCTAGGTGAAAATTTTATTGTTTGTGTTAAAAATGAAAAAACTAAAAATGAAAACTTTGATAAAGCTAAGCCTGTGTTTAGTTTCTTATATGGCACTTTATGTATAGTTGGTGTTTTTTTTTTTTTTTTTTTTTTTGTTAAAAGAACAATTAGAAATTCTCGGTATGTCTCTAGTGACATTACGTATAAAGGTGGCTTTGCTCCTTTCGGTTTTCTGGCATACCAAACACAAAGAGCTCGCTGTATTTTCTGTGTTTCGATTTGTTTTTGAGCTTTCTTTGATTTGCAGAGAGTCATTCGTGTGCTTAGAAGAGGCGCGCGATTTAAAGTTTGGCTATAATAGATGGAGAGTAAACAAAAAACAAACCCGGTTGTTGATTCAACATATGTGAGAAGAAGAATTTAGCTTTGGGGTTTCAGGTTGGCTCGATTGAGCGATGTTACATATGGTTGATAGTTGCCACGGAGGAGTCAGCTTATCACCCCTTGGGACGTCTTCCGTTGCTAGGTTTGCCTTTTTATTGTTTGTGTGTAAAAATGAAAAACTACAATGAAAACTTTTTGATAAATGCTAAGCTGTGATTTAGTTTCTTAATATGAGCACATTTATTGTATAAGTTGGTGTTTTTTTTTTTTTTTTCTGGACTAACATTATTTTAATTTTCATATTTTTCATATTGACTTGTGGTTTTGGTTTATATTAATAGGACTTCCATATTATATCTATAATGTCTTCTCTCTAATGTTCCTTTTTTGCTGTAAAATGAATATATATGGTTATTTAATTAGTAATCCCACGATTTATTCTTAACATATATTTTGTAGCCAGGATCTATCTCTCTCGTCGATACTAAAAATCTTTTTTTTTTTTTTTTTTTTTGGACACATTATTTATTTTCAGATTTTCTTGACTTGGGTTTTGTTTATATTAAGGAAAGTTATGATATTTATGCTCTTAATGTTCCTTATATTTTGCTTAATATATATATTTTTTAAATTAGATCCCACGTTTACTTCATAATTTTGTAGCCAGATTATTCTCTGCGAACAAAAATTCGCGTTAATTAGTATTTAAATTTTTGGATTAAGAAAAATGAGTCACAAAACTGAAATAAACAGCAATAAAGTTTTCTGATGAGTGATCAATCCATACATCTAAGATTTGCAGGAGTTGATTTCTTTTTTTTTATTATTATTATTTTTATTTGTTACAGTGGGTATACATTGTTGAGAGACCCACGCCACAATAAAGGGCTTGCTTTCAATGAGAAAGAGAGGGATGCTCATTACTTGCGTGGCCTTCTGCCTCCAGCACTTCTCACTCAGGAGCTCCAGGTTAGCTTAAATTGGCATTGCTAGCAATTCAACCCCACATATGATATTATGATTCCCGAATTATGTAGTTGTTGCTTAATTCTATACATAATTGGTTTATTAGGAGAAAAAGTTGATGCAATTGCTTCGTCAGTATAAAGTTCCTTTGCAACGATACATGGCCATGATGGATCTCCAGGTACTCCGCATTAATCATATATCTATGCGGTTTTAAATTAAGGGAAACTCTGCGAATTTTTAATTGTTGGATCTTTTCACTAATCGATTGAACAAATAATATCTAACTAAGCCTTTTATATTTTGCAGGAGCGGAATGAAAGGCTATTTTATAAGCTTTTGATTGATAATGTCGAGGAACTGCTGCCTGTTGTGTATACTCCCACAGTTGGTGAAGCTTGCCAGAAATATGGAAGCATTTTCAGGCGACCTCAGGGCCTCTACATCAGCTTGAAGGAGAAGTATAGCAGTTTGAATAGCATACTTGCATAATTCATATATAATATAAAAGAAGATAATGAGTTGTTATATTCTTTTTTTAGGGGCAAGATTCTTGAAGTATTGAAGAACTGGCCAGAAAGAAATATACAGGTTATTGTTGTTACTGATGGTGAGCGTATCTTGGGACTTGGAGATCTTGGTTGTCAGGTAATAATGCTCATATCCTATCTTCACATGTCAAAGTTATATGCACAAGCTTTTGTCCTTCTGTAAACAAATATAATTTTTTTCGATGTTTTCAGGGAATGGGGATTCCTGTCGGAAAACTCGCTTTGTATACTGCACTGGGGGGAATACGTCCTTCAGCAGTAAGTTCACTATGTTATAAGCTCTTTAAATAGTTACATTCTCTTCTAATTTGATGCCATACTGTTTCCCTTCCATACCGGACTTCGATGAGTTAGTTGATTTCTTCTATTTCAGCATCAGCAAAGTATCTAGTTCTTTTCTACTTCAGTTACTGATAAAAATTTCAACTTTTTATTCAACATCGCAGTGTCTGCCTGTTACTATTGATGTTGGCACAAACAATGAGCAATTGTTGAATGATGAGTTCTATATTGGTCTAAAACAAAAGAGGGCAACTGGACAGGTTTAACAAAATTACTATTTTTTTTTTTTTTTTACTCTTTCGAATCATTTTTATTTATATTTTCTAGCCCTTGGTGATTAATTCTGAAAGGTGTTTTGGGTTTTCTGCTGTGATGTAGGAATACGCTGAACTTCTAGAGGAGTTCGTGACGGCAGTTAAGCAGAGCTACGGGGAGAAAGTCCTTATACAAGTAAGTTATCGATTGTAATATCAAATATGCTAGATAAGAAAGTTTATTTTGAGTTTTGGGGACCTAATTTTTTCTTTGGAAAATGTAAATGTTCTTTTCAGTTTGAAGATTTCGCAAATCACAATGCATTCGAGCTACTGGCAAAATACAGATCAAGTCATCTAGTTTTCAATGATGATATACAGGTAAAAAATGTTGTTAACACTATTTGTTTGATTAGAATCTGTTTTGTGTCAAATGGAAGTTCTCTTATTGCAAATTTATCTCATTTACTACAGGGAACAGCATCTGTGGTGCTATCAGGACTTCTCGCAGCTTTGAAATTAGTTGGCGGAACCTTGGCCGACCATAAATTCTTATTCTTGGGTGCTGGAGAGGCCGGAACTGGTATAGCTGAGCTTATAGCACTTGAGATATCAAAACAGACGAAAGCTCCACTTGAAGAGGCTCGCAAGAAGCTTTGGCTTGTGGACTCAAAGGGACTGATCGTTAGCTCACGTAAAGAATCACTTCAACACTTCAAGAAGCCTTGGGCTCATGACCATGAACCTGTCAAAGGACTTTTGGGTGCTGTTAAGGCAATCAAGCCGACAGTCTTGATTGGAACATCCGGAGTTGGAAAAACATTCACAAAGGAGGTGGTTGAGGCCATGGCATCCTTCAATGAGAAACCTGTAATTCTTGCTCTCTCCAATCCTACTTCACAATCTGAGTGTACAGCTGAAGAAGCTTACACGTGGAGTGAGGGCCGTGCTATCTATGCCAGCGGAAGTCCATTTGACCCTGTTGAATATAATGGGAAAGTTTTCGTGCCTGGCCAGGTTTTGACTTTTCTTTGTAATATATATTTAAACTGGAAATTTACTGTAATCAGTTTCTTAACTCCCATTGTTTTTTTTTTTTTTTTTTTTTTTTACTTTTTCTTTGTAAATATATATTTAAAACTGGATTTACTGTTAATTCAGTTTCTTAACTCCCAATTTGTTTTTTTTTTTTTTTTTTTTTTTTTTTGGCCAGTCGAACATATGCTTACATTTTTTTTTTTTTTTTTTTTTTTTGGCAGTCGAACAATGCTTACATATTCCCTGGATTTGGTTTGGGGTTGATCATTTCTGGCGCAATTCGTGTGCACGATGACATGCTTTTGGCAGCCTGTAAGTAGACAAGACTATTGGAGTTATACTTTAATTGTACTGAATTTGAAGAAACAGTACTTAATTACTCTCATTGCTTATTCTTGGAACAGCGGAAGCTTTGGCTGCACAAGTGACACAGGAAAATTTTGACAAGGGACTTATTTACCCTCCATTTGCCAACATCCGGAAGATTTCAGCCCACATTGCTGCTAAGGTTGCTGCTAAAGCATATGAACTTGGTGAGCTTCTTTTCTGACGTGTACTTCTGTAGATGATGCATTTGATTTATATGCTTCATTAACCCTATCTAAATACTTTATAGGTCTGGCGTCCCATCTCCCACGTCCCAAGGATCTTGTTCAGCATGCAGAGAGCTGCATGTACAGCCCAGTCTACCGATGCTATCGTTAAGCCTGCGGTGTTTTTTTGCACATTTTGGGGCCTGCAATTTGCTCTGAACCTTTTCTGTTTCGATTTTAGTTTATCTGATTTTTATTCCTTCTTTTCAATGACTGAATTGCAATTCAGTCCTCAATCTATGATTAGTTTAGTTTAGTTCTCAGTCAGTTGGTATCAAAGCTTTTGCGGCTATCCTTGCCTTATTTTTCATTTCCCTGAGAACGTAGATTATTTCCTTTTATTCCACTTGATTGAATTATAATATTCGTGTATCGGAAGAAATCTATTAATAAGACGTTTTTCTATTTATTTACAAGTCTTTATTATTCCTCAGCAAACTTGATCTATGTTTACTTAATATGGTTATTTACTATTCTTATATCTGAATCCACAAACCAAACAAAAATGGTACAAGCTCCATTAAGTGAACAATTGTCATTTGGAACACTACTCACTCTTCCAAATCAGACAATTTATGGCTCGATGAAGCTTCAACATTGATCGCAAATACATATCACTTGTCACAGAACAACTTGATCCAAGTCACCAGACATGTTATGAAACTATGTATTTTCTTTCTTTTTCCTTTTCAGAAGGAAGAAATGAAAACGACTGATGATATATACATTACAGGTTAAACTCATTGCATGGCCACAAACTAAATCAGAAGCAGCAGTTAAGAAATTCCAAACTTATTTTACATCATCAGCGACCTGTGCACTACGGATTGCCCAAAAAGATTGAGGCTTCAGCTGCTTTCTTGTGGCAGTGAAAAGCCACCCCATTTGAGATTCACAATTTGCGCACTCTGTTATTGTCCATGCATATCTGCAAAATATGGCAAACGTCAAAAAGAGATCGTCCAGATAAGACCATGAGTTTCAAATGCAGTAATCTTCACGTACATAATCCATTATCCAAGTGAGAGAAATAGGGTATCAACAGTCCAAGGAAAAATTTGTGCCACAGGCTATTCAAGAAAATCAATAGTACATAGAGTTGTAAAATAAAGTATATACCCAGGAAACCAGCTGTATTCTCTATCTGGTTGCCCATGGAGTGCTAACCCATTTACTTTATAGAAAGTCATTATCTCATGCACAAAACCATGTGGGTTAACATAAGCTCCAAGAGGACCTTCACTAGACATTACCAGCATATCGCTTCGCCTGGCAATCACAGTCTGCACAAAGACAAAGAAAATAAAAGATAATAAATACCTTCATACTGTAAGCTTAGATTCTTACTTTTGTTTCTAACCAAGGGACTAAGCGGGCAAGTCTATTATTACAGGGACAAGCAGGAATGCAGGTAATGAATGAAGCGTTGGATACAGCACAAAATTTGACTACCTGACAATTTTTACACCGAATAAGATCTAAGCTTTTAAGTAAATCAATCTCCCGGTGCAGGCGATATGAAATACCATCAATCTCTAGAAGCTCCTGCCTTGTGGATTCAGACACAGGAATTTTACTGGCAATGTAAAATGATAAAAGATCTGGTTTTGTCACAAGAGCGTCCATGCTTGGTGCTCCAACTATCTGTTTCCACATATCTGAAAGATGTTCAAAACAAGAGCATTTAAGATGTTGGTAGAATATTTTCTGGTCAAGTCCACAAACAATTAATCCATAAGACACAGCAGAAATGAATTCCCTCTCTCTCTCTCTTTTATCCAACTGCATAATGAAGAATGTGACTTATGTAAATTCTTTAATTACATCTGTATAATTAATACTCTGAAGATCCAATCAACTTGATATGGATTTTCTTTGACATTCAACTCAAACACATAGTTACAAGTATATGGTCATGTTCATAAATTTCCTTTATACTGATACCTATATCAAAAACCAGATACACGTTAAATTATAGAAAATTCGTTATCTGATTGAACTACTTCCAGATCATTCATATATAGTCGGGTGGGTAAGGCATAATATATTCATGTTCACTAGGTATAACAAAAAACATTCTGTCCACTATAACAGTGAAACACGTGCGAGAATGTGTTTGGTGAAGACAACTCAAAAATGAAGTTATAATTGAACTTTCTGCGAACAAAGTACCTGCACCCCTTCGAGCAAGGCAATAAGAGTCATACATTTGATATACCCAGTAGGGCCAGAATGCTCTTGGAACTCTACGAAACTGGTTTAGGTCTGTATTTTTCCAGCACCTTTTGGACCCTTCCCCTCTGCGGGATCGCTTTCCTGGTGTGGAACCACACGCAGTTCCTAAGGTGGTCTTTTCAATATTTTCCTTATGTTCCAAATGCAATGAACCAATAGAGTCAGCATCACTTGCATGAGATCTTGTAGATTTCATTTCTGATCCAGACTTGTCATCATCACTGCTTGTTGATTCATTCATTGTATCATAGGAACATGATGAATCGATAGCAGATTGATGGATCCTTCTTTCAGCTAGTGAAAGCTCACTCTCATAGCTTTCTGCTGAGGTTGCCTCTGAATCATTGTCGCCATCCCCATGTCTGCATGATGAGACTTTTGAAGGCCCCATGCCTGAGATATTACGGCCATGAAAATTACTTAATGGTGGCAATTTTCCAAATGCATCCCGTGGTGCCCTTAATGGCAGATCTTCCTGGATAATTTGAACCTCTCCACAAGGCTAAAGAAATGAAAATATTAAAATATATGAGTCGTCAATTATACAGGCAGCTGAAAGAAAGGAGGAATACTCCTGTAACATAAATATGGTCTAACCACTCCTTCCACATCAATCCAACGGCGTCTTAAACAAATGCGTTGCTGGCCACGAGTTACTACATTCAGTGATCCATCCTCTAACCGCCGGTATTGTCGAATCTGTAAATTAAATATAATAAGTTAGAAAGGAAAAAGCCAGCAATTGCTAGATCAACAGGAAAACATATCAAATATGATTGCCATGACACATCAAATAAATAAATAAATAAACAGAATGGTTGATTCAATGACTGGCACATAGAACATCCACGAACCTATTTAGTGAACTCTAGGCAATTTTAATATTAGAAAATAAATATTCCAAAAACATTAACAATGTAACAGAATGACGTCATTATTATTGTAAGATGAACAGCATTATCACATCATTTTTCACAATCACAGTTCAATAAGTAACACTACTTCACAAGTTCACTACTCAGGAATTCCACAAAAAATCTTCATTGCTCACATCAGGAATGCACTTTGCCAGCAACCTAGATGACTGCACAGGTGACCTCCTTTCATAACATCTTGACATTGCATATTTTGCATATTGATTCCACAGTAAAATAATTATTCCTACAGCTTTTGTTTTATTTTGGTTTATCCATCAATATGTAAAATCCGTAAGTGTTTGCCAAAAACATATGCATCTTTAACATGCATTTACGTTTGACACTAAATGCCATGTTAATGGATCCAACACAGTAAAAAGTTAATTTTTTTGCACAGTAAAAAGTTAATTTTTTAAGTCGTATAAGTTGAGATTGAAAAAAATACAATTGCACACTAATCTTAAGTAATGCTACAACTGCCATGAGATATGCCAAATCCCACTCAAACAAATTGACATCCTCCCAATCACTTATGAAGAGTTAATAACCATAGCATACCGTACCTCTGCAGTTGTCCCAATAGTCGCAAACCTCAATCGTCTGTTACCACGCTCCCTGTAAGCCCAAACCTGGACCAAGTTTCAGTTATAGGGAAAAAGATCTTCAGAGAGGAATTCCATATAAAACAATTAAAATAATAGGGTTTCAGATGGTGTCCACCTACCACACCTATAGTGTAAGGAACATCAACTTGGGTCAATGCCCTCTCAAGAGCAGATATAAAATTGGGTTGAATAACTCTAAGAGGAAGGATGGCCCCTGGGAAAAGAACAACTCCTGACAAATATCAAGTGGCAGGATTAGAATATGCTGACTGAAGAAGAATGATGAAAATAGAAGGGCATATCATCAACACAAATGCAGATGGACACAGCTATGTTGCATCTTACTGCTTGTTAGTCCTCAGCTACATGAGAAGGCCATCAAGCCTCAAAACTTGCAAGGTTACAAGCTGCTAATTGCAATTATTTCAAGCTAATACTTGCATCTTCTTGAAATAATTTTTCACACACAAAAATTAAAAAGATACATAGTATTTAATAATTGAAGCCTAATTATGATACATGCATGGACAAGCACAAACATAAATTAAATATAGTGTTGTAGTAAAACTTCTAAAAAATTTATCAGAAATTATGGCAATCACCAATTGGTACAGATTACACCAATCATCAATTCTCATGCATGTATGCACATGTATGTGGAGGACAACATAAAAAATCAATGTCTTGTACATGGCATACCTTCAAGATAGAATAACGGAAGAGTTAATACTGCACCACCGTCTAAAAAGGCCAACCTCCGGTGAGTGTCTTCAACCTCTGGAATATGCAAATGGCATTGTCAGCCTCAAAAAATTTGAAAATGAAAGATACCTTCCTCTCCCAAAAACACAATGAAGTAAATACTGGTGCATGCTTACCACCAAGATAGGTGTGCAAAGGAGCCAAGATGGTGTTAAAAGTATATTCATGTGATGAGGCAGTGCCACTTTCCGGATGCATGGAGAGAAAGAAACAAACAGAAAATTAGGATCCCACAGCAATAATTAATGTGGTATACGCCAGTTGAAGAAATTATTTGGTAGTGGAAGGCATTTGCTCCAAGAAGATTTTTTAATTTAACTTCAATTTTGCCAATAAAAATATCTTAATTTTCAAAAATTTGCAATTAATATTAACATTAACATTTGGGGAAAAAAAGGACGTCATGTTAACCTTGCTTTGATCTATAGCATGAAATTTTTTATTTTGAAAATGTCAATAATTAACTACATTGTGTTTATATAATTAAAAGCCGTTAAGTTTGCCATAGGCAGAAAAGTAATGAAAATACCATGTTGTATGATTTATATTTGATTATAATGTACCGGACTATTCATGAACTTCCCTAGGCAGCCAAATCAGTATCGTTTTAAAAAACACAATCTGATATTTTGGTCTCTCAGTCTCTATCAGGAGCAAATAGGCATCGGGAAAAGGCTTGTGTGCATAAATTAAGCAATTAAACTCCCATAATCAGAAACAACGAGTAAACACTTGCAGAAATTGAATTTACATAGAGAGAGGGGGAACTAAACCAAAGGAAAACCTTCTGTAACTTACTTACTTACGTCCATTTCGTTGTTTTAGTTTCTCGTAAATTAAAAATTTCAATTCAAAGTAAAACAATATCTGGTCTAGAAATTCCACAAACAAACAGGAATTGAAAATATCTTTAGCTAATATGAGCTCGAATTTGAAAGTCCAGAAGAGTAAAAACCCTAATCTCTCAAATCGTAGACAGTGATTAGAACACGAAGTTAAAGTGAATGTTGAAATAAAAATTGATTTGCAATAGTGATTAATAAAGGAAACGAAGAAATAGAAATCGTAGTCATTACATAGCGTCAAGGTCATCATCCGATGAGTCCTCTTCACCCTCCACTTCCTCGACCTGTAATTCCTCAAATTCAAGCTCTCGAATCTGAGCCATCTGGTATCTCTCTGCCGCCGTAATGGCTTCGTCATCCATTTGGAGTACGTGAACGTGGATTTTTGGATGTTTTTGTTAAAAAGACGAACGGAAATGGATTTGTGCTTTTAGTATGTACCCGCCGTTGAGATCGCCTCGGCGGCAAATTTCCAGAACATATACTTGGTACTTCCTCTCTGGCTCTCTCTCTCTGTCTAAATAAATTTGCCAAGTCATGACCCACTCTCGTCATGACTAGTACTGCAGGTCGTTTCAGTTATTCTTACTCTTACTCTTATCAAATCCGTTCTTTTTGGAATAGCGTATAACAAGTGGCCGTTTGGAGAACGAGTAGTCGTTTTTATGCCGAGACTTTTGGAGGAAGGGCGGTTCAGTACTACGAAACCAATTTAATAAAACTTTTATCTATGGAATGTCTAGTCGTTTAGTTTTAAAAGGAAAAAAAGTCGTTCCATCTTTAGTAAATGATCAAACTATAGAGAAAATTAACCTGCATTTAAAGACTTTCTGCCAAAATCACTCTTATTAGTTATTACGAATATTAGGCTATGTTTATATTAATTGATAGGTTATATTTTTTGCACTTAAAAATATTATAATTCTTCTTTAGACTAATTATTTTAAATTGTAAACCTATTTTAGATGAAAGATTGGATGTTAATATCATTTTGATTAGACGGCAAATTAATGTAGGTGCTCATATTTTATTTGAAACATCCTCTTGTCACACCCCTTTCATATTTAGAAGTATATCCCGTTTTTTATTTTTGTTTCTTCAAGTTAATGAGGTTATTTTCTCTTAAAAACAAACCAATCAAATGAAGATATTTAACATGAATCAGGCAATCAGTGTCCTGAAAAAAAAAAAAAAAAAAAAGAAATCAAATCAACTCGTAATTTTTTTAGAACCACGATATCTATGGGTTTAGTTCAAATTGCACAGTTCGGATTTCTGAACACTTTACCCTCCTCGTTAATGGTATTGATATGTAGCGCAAATTTTTAAAATAACCGACCCGATCCTAACCGATCAGTATGTGGCTGGATGTGGTCAGTTTTCCCGACCCGTAAACAGTGATATAGCGGCACAACGCAAGCACTCATCCATTTAATTTAATCGGATAATACAAATTAAAGCTCTCTCAAGACAGTAAAGTGTCCCACGCCAAGACGACGACAATGGGACGTGCAATTCTTTCTCACTTTCTCCTTCTATCCAATTCCCCTCTGCGCCTGGCATCTTCACAGTACTCTATCTCATCAGTTCTCCGTTCTCTATCTGTCTAATTTCAGTGAAAAATTCACATTCTAGTGTAATCTCAAGCAGGTCGCTGGGTGGATTGCGAAGGCAATATCTGCAAAGTTCGGGGCTAATTCGTCAAAATGCAAGATACGCCAGTGGTTTCCGTTGCCATTGCACTGTCTCGCTTTCGGAGCCCGCCGGTCCGGAGAGCTCTTCCAGCTCTGTAAAGTAATTTTCACTCTTTGCCTATATTAAAGTCACTGCACAAGCTCTAGTTTAGGACTTGAAGACTGCTTCATAGTAATAGATGATTAGAATTGAGAATGTGATTTGAACATGTACTTCGAAGAAATATTTCACCATTTTTCTTAAAGTTCTGATTCAGTGGATGCTTTTGATTTACAGGAAGAGGATAGTATCTGGAGTCCAGCCTACAGGATCTATTCACCTCGGAAATTATCTTGGTGCTATAAAGAATTGGATAGATCTTCAGGTTGTCTTTTTGTATTTCAAGAGAAAGCATTCTAAACCTTTTATTCTTCTTCAAATAGCAACTTAATTTCAATTTTCATTTTTAACATTTTATATTGATTTTTAATGTTTACAGAATACGTATGAGACTCTCTTCTTCATTGTGGACCTCCATGCGGTATGTGCTTATAGATGTTCAATACTTTTTCAAGTTAAATATAGTGCTGTGGTGACGTTGGGCCAAAATTAAGCACACACTTCACTGTTGTTCGTGTGCTATGTTTTTTGTTTACCGCAGTCTTTATGAGCTCTATCAGTATGTTCTTGTACATTGTTAAGGTTACATGTGGTTACTGCTGTTCTGAAATTTCAAACCTCATTTGTCAGTTCTATGGGTTCTATAGTTTGTGAACCTGCGCTTATTTGCATATGTGACAGTTTGTTTGTTCTATGAGATGCTAGGATTAGTAGTGGGTGATGAGCCAGTGTCCTAGCTAATTGGGCTTAAACAATGAACCATGGGGTTTATTAGATGCCATTATGTGTGGATGTAGTAGTGAGGTAGATTTTGGGAGGAAGATTGTAAGAAAGGATGGTTTGAGCAAACTAATTTTGAAGGTATCCTGTTATGCCAGGGTTTCATATCTTTGACACGGTGCATATATGATTTTGCCCAACTCAAAGTTGATTGTTATTTGTTTTCTTTTCATTTCTTATGTGAGCTGAAGCAAATGCTATTTGATGTATTACAAACATTGCTCAAATTGTATTAAGCATTATTTTCTTAACATATCTTGGAAAGTATTCGCTTAGTGGGTGTCAAAAAAAAAAAAAAAATCACTTTCTTCTACCTTAAAGAAGGTAGGGCTTTGTGTTTCAAGTTCTAGTTGTTACTCCTTCCATCACATAATTTTCATAATCAAACATTTGATTAAATAGAGTTTACTTAGAAGATTAAAGGTTGATATTTTAATTTTGTTTATATCAAGATTTATTTAATGATAACGTAGTAGTTGGACTATATATTTGTTGACAAAGAGGCATATTAAATAAGGACAAAATAGTAAACTTAAAATATTATTTATTTCTGAAAAAGGAAACAGGACAACAATTTGGGATGGATGAAAAAGGAAGGTAGAACAAGAATTATGGGACAGAGGGAGTAACTGTTATTGCTTTCCGGTTCATGTTTTAGTGCCTAGTAATTAATTGTCCTGGAATTGAGAAAACAACTTTGTTTGTGACAATTTCCATACTAAGAACTGTGAAATTGTCCTACGTGCCACATCCATTATTAATTCAAAGAAACAATGCCAGGAAGTACCATGTTAAGCACCTCAATGCATTCATAATTATTGTTAGAAACTGAGGGACATATGTGTTTCACTGTGTGGCAAACTTATGCATCTGTTGACTGAAAGTGATGAGCAACTTGTGTTAAGGAGTGGTGCTAGATGTGGTTTCCAAATTATTTTCTCTCATTGTGTAGTTATTCCTTCTGAAAAAAAAAAAGAGGAGTGGATGGAGACTGTTTGTTTTTTAATAACAGTTCAAGCTATCTTAACTGCTGTAGATTTTCTATTTAACTTACAGATTACATTACCATATGACACACAACAATTATCTAAGGCTACAAGGGATACGGCAGCAATTTATTTGGCGTGTGGTGTTGACACTTCTAAGGTCATGCAGCTCTTGGTCCTTGATAATGCAGCTTATTATGCATCTATGTGGACATTTGTTGTTAGTAATTATAATAGTCTGATTTCTCTGATTTGTACATCCAGGCTTCTGTATTTGTGCAGTCTCATGTACGTGCTCATGTAGAGCTAATGTGGCTTCTAAGTTCTTCCACACCAATTGGTTGGCTGAACAGAATGATTCAGTTTAAAGAGAAATCCCGCAAGGCGGTAGGTCTATGGCTATCTGATAGTCAGCATTCAACTTCTTGTATGCAGTTTTTAAAATTTTAGTTTTCTATACAAATCCTGTATTTTTTTACTTCTCTGTATATTTTATGCATGAGAATCTAGTTAATGTTGCATTTTATGTTTTTTTTATCTTCTCATCTGTTTAGATTAATTATATATATTGGTTTTCACTTCTGCAGGGGGATGAGAATGTTGGGGTTGCTCTTTTGACTTATCCTGTTCTGATGGCATCTGATATTCTTTTGTATCAGGTGGTTTTTAAAACTTGTAGATCATTTGTTATGAAAATGAGTTTTATATAAAGGCGGTAGTTCTATGGCTTATCTGATAGTCAGGCATTAAACTTCTTGTAATGCAGTTTTTAAAAAATTTTAGTTTTCTATACAAAATCCTGTAATTTTTTTTACTTTCTCTGTATATTTTAATGCATAGAGAATCTAGTTTAATGTTGCATTTTATGTTTTTTTTATCTTCTCATCTGTTTAGATTAATTATAGTATATTGGTTTTCACTTCTGGCAGGGGGAGAGAATGTTGGGGTTGCCCTCTTTTGACTTAATCCTGTTCTGATGGCATCTGATATTCCTTTTGTATCAGGTGGGTTTTTAAAACTTTGTAGATCAATTTGTTATGAAAATGAGTTTTATAATATAATATATATATATATATATATATTTAATTTCATGTTAATTTCTTGCAAAGAAAATTATATTAATTCATTTATTTCTGCAAAGAAATAATATAAGGTAGAGGTTGGAGGTGTTTTGTGTGTGTGAGTGTGGTGGGTGGTGGAGGGAATAATAAACTGATTGTAGCTAGATTGTGATTGACAGTTGACTGAGTCAAGTTGATTTTTAGTGGTTAATCATGAAACCTCAACTCTTTTCTTTGTGCTTATTTACGTCTTTGTATTGATGAATGATGATAAATTGATAATTAAATAATCAAAATATACAAAATCCTCATACATTGCAGCATGCCTCTGTAGTCCGACTTTGTGCCAGTTGGTGAGGATCAAAAGCAGCATTTGGAATTGACTCGTGAGCTAGCTGAGCGTGTTAATTATCTATATGGAGGAAGAAAGTGGAAAAAATTAGGAGGGTGAGAAATTATATATTTTCTTTAGCATGATGTACACTCTCTTGAAAAAAAAATGTCATTGCACTTTTGGCCGTTGTGTTGAGATTTTTGTGTACTGGTCACAGGTGTGGAGGTCCAATCTTTAAGGTGGATTCTTCTTCTTGATATCTGGTTGACAATCTTCACATGGGATGATGATGTAACAAGTGATGATAGTAATCCTTTCCCTAATGCCTTTCTTGATACAGGTTCCAGAGCCTCTTATACCACCAGCTGGAGCCAGAATTATGTCTCTGACTGATGGTCTTGCGAAGGTGATCAACACAGTAATATTTAGTCTATCTATTTAGAATCAAGTCGACTGAATGTAACATATTTATCATACCATCAAAGGAAACAATTAATATGAATTGGAATTTACTGAGCTTTGTATATTTCCCACCTATTATGTTCCATTTTCGCTTTAATAATTTGCTTGATTACTTTCTTTTTATTTATGTTTGTAGAAGGATTTTCTTATACATATTGACATTTTCCTGTGCTTATCTTTATATAGATGTCCAAGTCTGCACCTTCTGACCAATCTCGAATCAATCTTCTTGACCCAAAGGATGTGAGTTGTTACCACTTGTCTTTCAATGTAGTTTCATTTTGATCACCAAATTCACTAAGTGTAATTAACCCTTAATAAAGGTAATTCCATTCACTTCGATCTTTGCTTCGAGGGAGACATGTTCAGGGCGCAAGTAACCATGTGGCCCTGACTTGAGCACAGGCTTGGATAAGCTAGTTGATCCTTAAGATTGGCCCAGCTTGACCATGATGAGGCCTACTCCCTAGGTTGGCTGGGTTTGGGAATTGCTATTACGTAGTGCCCTGCCTAGCTCACCAGGTTAATAAACTATTAATATTTCAATATATTTTACTGCTTTGTGCTGGGCTTGCACAGCATTTTAGGCCTGATTGGCTGACCAGGCTCAGGCTGAGGATAAAAAAAATCCTGGCCTCGACTTGGGCCCGGCCAACTGTTGAACATCTCTGCTTCACTAAGCTGAAGCAGAAGTAATGTGTCTGTTTGGTTGGTAAGAATTGCATCTCAATCCTGCTGAACTCAGTAATTAAAGTGCAAGCCACTGTTTGAAACTTTCCGTTTTAAATTGACACAGATCTCAAATGTATTGAATTATTCTCCAAGTTTTAGTTAAATCTCTTCTTCTTGAGGGTAGGTTGAGATGATATTGTTAAAAACTAGATTATGGTGTTATAATTTTATTGGCATCTGAAAGCATTTCATGAAAATCTTATTGTACTGTTATTATAACGTGGATAAAGATTAAGGAACAATAAAACCTCAGTCCTTTTGATCTTTTGTTGGATAACTAAAGTTTTGGAGCTGAGTTTCTATGAAAATTTCAATGAGATTATCTATTAGTCTTAAACAATTAAGCATGGATTCAAAGAATGTGGTTATGGTTCTGCTAATTTCTGGTTGTTTAACTCTGATACTCTTATTCAAATATATGATTATTGTTAATAATTTTTTCCCTGATGAATGATTAATACTATATCTCCAATTTCTTGTTTAAAATCTCATTTTACTTCCCTCAAAATTGATATTTTTTTACCTTTTATCTTGTAGGTGATAGCGAACAAGATTAAGCGATGCAAAACTGATTCACTTTCAGGGTTAGTTCTTAATTTGTCCTGCAAATTGAAAGAATTTTTCTTACTTTCAATTTCTTGCCAAGAATTTTCTACTGTGTAGCATCTTATTGTGTGCTTTTCCTTCTAATTTCTTACAGTCTGGAATTTGATAACCCTGAACGACCTGAATGCAACAATCTTCTTTCTGTCTATCAGCTCGTCTCTGGAAAGACGAAGGAGGTAATCTAACTTGTATCTAGTTTTCTTTGGTTTAGGAGCTTGACTTTGACATTGCTCTTATTAACTTGGAGATATTTTATAGTGAAAATTACTTTGTTAAGCACTTCCCAATGCAGGAAGTCAAACAAGAATGTCAAAATATGAATTGGGGCACATTCAAACCTCTTTTGACAGATGCCTTGATTGATCATCTACACCCCATCCAGGTTTCTACTCCTGCTCCTGCATTCTACTTCACAAGGCATGACCTGCATGGGGCAGTATATTCACTCACCATGCTGAACTAAACACACCTTCTGTTTTATCTTATTTTAATTTGTTTTGAACTAAACACGACTCTTGGTATTCAGATAAGGTGTTCTTATATTCAAATAGGCAACTCATTTCAATGACTCATGGCTTTTGTTGTATCCTATAAGTGCAACTGCTTTCTAACTTTTCCTATGGTTTTCATTTGAACTACCACCAAACAACATATGTCCTTGAGTCAGCTTTCTCAATCTCTTTATTTTATCTTTCAAGTGTGTTTTTAACGTTTTTCAATTTTGATACTGTAGTTGAAGAAAATTTTGCTAACAACTTTTGCTGACAATTCTAGTGAGAGTTGTGCTAGTTCACCTGGAAGAAAATATTTTCATGCGTGCTTTCTTCATCCCCTTTTGTTGATAGACTTTGAGTGCATATATAGCTTACATCCCTATAATATGAGAGAAATATATGTATATATGTGTGTGTATATAGATGCTGTCAATTCAGCCATGTGTAAAGGTGAGGGAGTCTACGTATGAATAGATAGTCATTCATATCTGGATGATTAGAGCTTATCCATTCTGGAATGTGTTATCTGTTCTGTGCTGTTTCCATCACTTAAGGAGATCTACTTCTGCCTATGCTTGCGTGGTGCAAGCACATCCTATTTTAACTATCTGGCTAAATGGCTGTTAGTGGGCATTATGCCTAAGTTCATATGTTATTCTATCTATGCATAAGTGTAGACATTTTGCTTGTTGTTATAAAGTCTGGCAGTCTGCCAAGGCTAAGATCATTTTATGCTCAATCGTTGTTTCATGGGTTGCCCCATTTTGCTGACAACTCTGTGGGGATTGTTGTTTTTTTGTATTAAAAAGATCACCAATTTGTATTTTATTGTTGATTGTTGTTAAATATTACTTAGGTCCCTATTATTTCTTCTATATATTTTCAGGTTCGATATGGGGAAATAATATCTGATTCAGCTTATTTGGATGGAGTCTTGGAAGAAGGCAGTACTAAAGCTTCAGAGATAGCAGATGCCACTCTCAATAATGTATACCAAGCAATGGGATTTTTGCGGAGATGAACAGAATCAATTCTTGGGGAAAATTTTAATTGAAAAAGATCTGCAAACTGCAACCTTAAATTTAACTTTTGGAGGATCTATTATTGCCCACAAGTACTTAGAGTACACCCATGAGCATATATTTGGCCAGTGAATGGGATAATTATTGGGAACGGCCACAAATTTTTTCTTGATGCAGCTGCTTCTACTTATCTTCAAGACAGGTGCCTCTTTTATTCTCTGCTGATTATTGAACTTGGTAATTTTACATAGAGTTTTTTCTCCATGCTGTCTGTTGTGCAATTGACCAGTGCGTAAATTTATGTTGATTTTATTTTTTCTCCACAGTTATTTACAATAAAATATTTCTGAATGAAAATTTACAATAAAATTTGTTTCTGAATGAAAATTGTTTTCATTTAGGCTTTTATTGCAAAGAACAAATTAACCATTCTCTTGTCTCGACTCTTGAGCGACATAATATACGAATTAATAGTACTGGTGAGTTGTAGCAATGGCCATTATGCTGTGGGGCATGTTGCCCTTGGAGTATATCAGTGTCTTGTGTCTACTGGAACAGATTGATTAAGAGGATGAATAAATGGCGATCTGATCAGCCAGGTTTTAGTTGAGTATGAATTATGCCGTAACTTGCGCTACTTTTTAATCTTTGACATGGACTTGATAGACAAATAGGAAAAAAAGATAACATTATTATGCTTCAATATTTCAATTTACCAATGATGAGGCTATGTTTTCTCTCCCTGGCGTATTTATCAGACATTGCAATTTCCATTTTTCACAATCACTCACTGAGCAACTATAAAAATTTGATATCTGGGGTATTCTTCTTGAAAGTCTTTATTAGAAGCTGAGCCTGATATTCCGTGTAGCATCTATCCTATTTCTGGTGGGACTCTTATCAGTACACGTGTGATGGCAAGAGGGAATATTGATTCTCCAGTGGAAGGATGAAACATCATTCATATTCCCTTCCCATTTCACCCACTCACATCTTGTCCTTTTTGCAAAGGAGATATGCGCCCACACATTGAGAGAGATAGATGCACTGCAAACGCGCGCGCGCGTGCACATACACACACACATGCACACTCTTACAGATGCACGTATACATTCTTTCTCTTCCTATCTCTGGGTGGCAAAGGAATAAAGGGGGAGGTCTGGCTCCTCTCGAACTCTTCCTGCTTTATATATATAAAAAAAGACTTACCAAGAGGAAAGAACTTACTGCCTGGTTATCATTGGTTTTCCTAATCCGCTGTTCTATCATGTTATCTTATCATATTACCAATCAATTTGAGTATCTGCTGCTTGTTGATATTACATCAGTCTTGACTTTTACCATAATTATGACATGTGTCCCGTTTGTTTTTAAGTTGGTATTATTAGTCCCTGATGTTTCATTGTTTATACAATTATGAATTTTCACTGCACTTTAATTCGTCATGTTTTAGCTTACAGAACACTGTGATCTCCAACAGTAAAAAATACTTCAGTCCTTGAGTTATTTGATTATGAAACAATTTATTTCTTTAAAATCTTGTACTTTTCAATGAAGTTAATTTAGTGACGAAAAGTTCTTGCTAATTATGGAAAACCTTAGCGTAGTATTGTAACTTACTTCTATTATGATAGTGGGAGTAGCTGATTCACCATAAAAAACAAATGCCAAGTGTGATTCGATGCAGAATGTCACATGCCTTATCATTGTGATATTCGAATGATCAAATCCAGTATGTATTGATTGCCCCTTACTGTTTAGTGCTATAGAAAATATGTGTAAAGGGATAATTCTATTTCTGATAACATAGATATATTATTAATAATGATGTACAAAAATGGGCTTTCTGAATGATCTGTACTCTGCTTGTGAGCTGCACCAGAATGAACCTTTATAAAAACTTTTGTGTTGGTATATACGATCTTCATTTCAGAAGGAAAAAGAGATGCTAAAGAAACTAATTTTTGGATTCTTAGACAGTGAGTTACGTCCCACTTAACACGCGTCGAAAATTAAGGCATAAAGGCCAGAGATCTTATCACGAATTGTTCCATGATTAAAAGTAAATTGGTCATTTTCAGGAACTCGATGGCTGTGTCAACGTGTGCGTGCGTACTGGTAGGCTGTCGTTTGTCTGCCACATGCCGGCAGTTGCCTGTGTGAAAGTGCATGTAACACCTCTTATTGTTATAACCAATAATTTAAATTTTATTCTTGGATCTTTATTCTTGATTAGACTTGTTTCTGGGCTTGGTTTAAGGTTTTAATTTATGAAAAGAAATTACGGGTCGGGTGAATCTTTTGCCCATAAACAAGTCTGTGTAAACAAGTCTATGCCTTATTATTTATTTATTTATTTTTTGCTTCTTTTGCTACCTTAGTAATTCAAAATTAAGTTGTTGGTGATGGTTCTCTTTACTAGAATGAAGTCTTCATGATGAAAATTGTACCGCTTAATTTTTTTCTTTGGGAATATATATCGCGGGGGCTAGTCAATTTAAACGAATAAAATTTTGAATATTTATATATAATTTGATAAACTGCAATACTTGAATTTCATCAGTGTGAATAATAATAATAATATATAATTACTCATAGTCGACATGCATGAAGATTACATTTACTTACTAATCAGATTATTCCCATGGTTATAAGTACAAAAATTTTTGAATTTATGAAAACTACTGGTCAAGAAGAAAATGTAAATTACATTATCTATCCACGTTCAGTTCAGGTATAGAGGCAGAGATTTCATAATCGAAAACATTACTCCTAATTGCACAAAGACTACGTTTCAGATCAAATGATTAATAAGGTGAAATTAAAATTTTTTTTATCTTATAAAAATGGTAATCTATTTTCAGATTTTAAGAAATAATGTAAACTTTTTTTTCTTACGAAAAAGTAACTGATAACGGAAAAGCATGGGGACACAAAAAATCCACACCAGTGGACCCAGGGTGTTGCTGTGATTATATATAGATTCACTTTCTACTTTTTTTAAAAGAAAAATGACACGCGTCTCCCCTGAATTTTCCCAGTTTTTTGTTTTTTTTTTTTTTTTTAAATCATTTTCTTCTTCCTCTTGGGTACACTATATATAGTAGCTAGAGCTGTAGGTATTCATTCAGTCGAGTCCATTAATTTAAAGGCAACTACTAGAATAAAAGAGAAGAGAATAGAGTAACTTATTATTGTGGTGCTGTACACATTTTCTTTCCCTTCGAAATGGACAGAAAGCATTTGAAACACCAGGTCGCCTGCATGAGGAAGTCCCTTTTTGATCAGGTTCCTCACTTCCTCTACTCAGCATCTCTCCTTTTTTAAAAAATTAATCGAATTTTTGTATTTATTTATTTAAAATGTTTAAAGAAAATAAAAACATTAGGTTCCGATAGATACTCAATTATTGAATTTCTATTTTAATGATGTTTTTTTATTATTATTGTTGATCCGTTATAAAATAAATACTTAATTGATAAAAAGATAAATTGACAGCACGTCAAATCTTTATATTTTATCTTTTTAAATAAAAAAAAAGATTAAGGAGAAAATTATTTTACAATTAATAACGCATTAACATTTACTATGTCAAACTCATTTTCACTTTTAGTTTCCTCATTTTTGCACATTTTGTTTATGGATAAAAATAATTAAGAAATGAAAACTCCATAGCTGAAAATTATTGCTCATTCTTTTTCCTGGACATTAAAACAGAGCTCCCTTAATGAAGGAAAGAAAATTAATTATCTTAATTATATTGCAGGGGTACCTTGATGACCAATTCATGCAACTTGAGGATTTGCAAGATGATGCAAACCCTAATTTTGTTGAGGAAATTGTGGCTTCCTTTTATAGCGATTCAGCTAGATTAATCCAGAACATAGAACAAGCACTGTAAGTGATGCCAAAACCATAAATAATCATCATTAACAATAATAAATAACTGTTATGGTCGTTAATGTGATACTAATTACCTTTCTACATTGATTTTTTACAGTGGTAACAGGCCTGTTGATTTTGGTAAATTGGATGATTACATGCACCAGTTTAAAGGAAGCAGCTCAAGGTAGCAGTTAAAATTTTATATACACTTACAGGGTTAAATCGAGAAAAGTATGACACTCCAGACACATTATTAAAATTGGACAATTACATAAATTTATCAAAGAACTTTGTTGTTTGAAAAAATAAAATAAATTCGTTAAGACACATTATTAAAATTTACTGAATACATAATTGAAGAAAAGTATGACATTCAAGATACGTTATTAAAATAAAATGAAATAATTAATCTTTTCCTATGAATTTTAATTTGATTTGTTATATTAAAGTATAAATACATGAAAGATGTTTGATTCTTGCTTACTCAGCATTGGAGCTAAAAAGGTCAAGATGGAATGCGCACAATTTAGGGAATACTGCTGTGCAAGAAATACAGAAGGGTAAATATTGCTAGATTCTGCCCTTTTATTTTTCTTTTTTAAATTAACTATTATTATTAATTTACTAATTTATAGAAAAAGAAAAAATAAATAATAATCAAAATATATAATTTTGCAGATGCATTAGAACTTTTCAACAAGTCAAGCAAGAGCATGCTACTTTAAGGAGGAAGCTAGAAACTTATTTTCAGGTTACTATTATGCATATGACTTTAGTCTTTATATAAGATGTAGCTAAATTTTATTTAATTATCAATTTTTTAAAAATTTTTATTTATTTATTTGGTGATTTTTTATGATTAGTTGGCAAGACAAGCTGGAAAATGCTAAGAATGGTTGAGGTGGCAAGGAAACCAATACAGAATACTAATTTCATAACTAGCAGTTTTCTATGTACTTTCACTGTATTACGTATAGAACCTTCCTCTTCAGCTTATATAGCTCATGGCTTGTATTTAGCTTGTCTGAAAATTATTATTATTAATATTTATGTATGTGAAGTATTTCCAACAATTTCTGTTTCAAGTTTCTTCGGATATATAAATCACGTCATTAATGGGAATTATATATATATATATATAATTTTTTACGTTTGTCCAAACCCTGTTTGAGTATTAATATAATAATTATTAGATTTAAATAGAAAATCTAATCAATTGAATTAAATTACATTTATAATATGATATTTTTACTGATCCTAATGTTTATCTCTCCATTTCCATTTTTATATTATGGATTAAAAATTAAAATAATTTGGATCTCTCACTATTGATATTCATTCCAAAATTGCCTAATTTAGGCTTTAAACTGATGACAGGTCTACTTTCTATTTGGACCTGTCCAGTCCAGTGTCCAACAATTAGCTATTTTTAGGGTCCATTATCTTTTTATTCCCATCACAGCCCATTAAGGAATTAACAACTTCTAATTATCGTTTTTTTTTATTTATTTATTTAGAACCAGTAGGTGTTAATTTTAGTCTCAATCGGACTATAAGGTATATTTATATTTTTAATATATATAGTTTGTTAACTTATATATAGTAATATTGTCATATTATTAATAATATATATATTATACGTATAATATTAAATTTTTAAATTTATATTTTCACTCTTACAGAAAAATACTATCAGAATATTCTCAGCTCTCTGGTTTATATACAATTGAGGTAGTTGTTCCAGAAATTTCTTTTCCACAAAGATAAACAATCTTCTAAACAACTTGATTTGTCTAAAATCCAAATCTAATCAACACCCTATTTTGGTTGACTCATGATGGTAGTCACGGCCACACTACTTTGTCTCTTCACCTCATTTATACAGCGCCCAAATATTCTATTTTTAAAAAATATTAATTAATAAATACATATTACATATTTCATGTATTTATTATAATTATTTTTCTCTTTTTAACTTAATAAATAGTAAATAAATTTATAATCTATAATCTACACAAACGTGGGAATAGAGGAGGGAATTATTGGATTTCCTAAAATAGTCTTAGTTTAATTTGGAATTCCTAATATATCATTTTAATTAATTTTTTATGCATTTTAATTGAAGAAAATAAGTTTATTTATCATTTTGAAGATGCTTTTTAGTTGTATTTTTAATGCATTTTAATCAAAGAAAATAGATTTCATTTATCTTTTTGAATATGCTTTTAGTTAGATTTTTATGCATTTTAATTCTAGAAAATATGCTTTTAGTTAGATTTTTATGCATTTTAATTCTAGAAAATATGTATATGTGTATATATATTCTCTATTTGATCATTTTTATATTTATTCGTTTTTATGTTCTTAATCACATATTCTCATGTTATATTATTTTTTAGGAGGTAAATAAAAAACATTAATTGAACTATTTTAAATAGAATTTAGATTCTTTTAATTTATTATGTTCTGAATTTTTTAAAATATGATTAAACACTTTATTATTAGACTTTATTAGTTAATTTCAATGAAAGTAGAATAATTTTTTAAATATATTATTTCTTTTACCAATATTATTGTTTACAACTTTACGTATTGATTTCCATGTGGAGCAATTTATTTTGTGATTTTGTATAAGGACATAGTCCAAAATATTATACGTTGTTGATAAAATTTCAGTTTAACTTCATTTGACGAAAATAATTAATGTAAAGATCAAAATCATATCTTATATTGCAACTATACAGAGTAAATCTTAATTTATTAATATCGCCAAATTATAAAATATTTTGCAGTATGGTAAATGTAAATTTGTAGTGATTTTGTATAATTAATTAACAATAAAATTAAAATTTTTTTATTAAAAGGAGAAGCAGAAACATCATTTTTTTTTCAATTAGATGTTATAATATAAGACATGTTAAATAAATTCATTATATATATAAGTGCAATATTAATTAATCATTGTACTTATTTTAATCTAAATAAGAATTTATACTTTAATATTATATTACTTTAATATTATACTAAATAACAAAATAAATGAATATGTAACGAGTAAAATCAACATGGTAACGTACGTCATAAAAGAATTAAATATTTATGAAAAAATGCATATAAATATAAGTGCAATATTAATTAATCATTGTACTTATTTTAATCTAAATAAGAATTTATACTTTAATATTATATAAATAACAAAATTAAATGAATATGTAACGAGTAAAATCAACATGTAACGTACGTCATAAAAGAATTAATATTATGAAAAATGCATATAACTTTTTTTACTACTACTTATTATCAGTAATAAGTTCAAAAAGGTTTTTAAAAATATTAAAATTTTAATATTTATACCTATCATAATAAGGAATCAAAGAATTATTAAAAAATAAATTAAAAAAAAGAGATCTAATTGTGATATATTCTTATAGCATAAATTATTACAAATAAATATGCGACATAACAATTTTAGCGTATCAACTTATCACTCGCATTATACATCATTTTGTAAATATTACATATTTTTTCACAAATATGAGCATCTAATTATCACTATGAAGAAGAAAAACTTTGTGCTCTTATTCGTAAAAGAACGAACTTTAGAGTACTAGAAAATTTGGGCCATAATCCAAGATTTTATTAGAAGTACATGAAAAGGAATGAATGCATTATATTAATTAATTATTATTAGCTTTTAAATTTTTGAAACCTCTTAATTAATCATAGCCACTAATTAAAAAAGAAGCATGCTATTGATAAGAGTGATTTGAGATTGGCCGGTTGGCTAATAGACAAACTTGTAATGATAAAAAGAAACAACAAGTGAAGAAAAATTTTAATTTGGAAAAGAGAAAAGCAAAAATGGGGTCCAAAAGAGCAAACCCTAAAGTGAAATTGGGGAATTATTATTATGAGAATTGCAGCCTTCTATCATATCATAATAAGTGGGATGTGAGGGTCCGCCATTAGAGATGTTCTTTGGTGTGATGCTAATGATGAAGAAGATGACTTTATTTATTTATTTATTTATCTGTTCCAATATTCATTGAACAATTCCATTGCTTCTTTGGAAAAAAAAAATCGTATTTTTTATAATTAGAAAAATGATTTTATTAGACTAATTTCTCATAGAAGAAACTTATTAGATAAATTAGTCGTATTTTATTAATTTTCTCATTTTGAACGTGTAGAAAATTAGAGAGATTAAATTTTCATCTAAAAAATTTTCATTACTCAAATGAAGGTCACTAAAAAGTAAAAATTACATATTTTCAATTGTAGATTCAATATTATTCTAATTCATTTGATGTTTTAAAAATAAAACAAAATTAGGATGTTACATAGCTAATAATAAAATGAATGAATCCAAAATTATAATTATAGTTGGAAAATAATGTGAATTTTTAAAAATTTACAGCTTTTTTTTTTGTAGAAAACAAGCTATAGAGTGTAAAAATTTTTTGACTCTCTCAATAATTTCCCCGGGATCGAACTTCTATTTTAATCCTTATGGAGATTGAGGTTACTTACCACCCTAATCAGTACGTTATTGTATTAAAAAAGATTTACTATTAGTAAAGGGTTTCAATATAAAAAAAAAAAAAAGAAAACAAAAAAAATAGTTGGGGAAGGGGGAGCGTGGAATAGCTAGTAGAGACATTTTGACAAGAGAGGCAAGTGGGTTTTACTCGGTAGTGGCTATTCCATTAGTAATGAATTGGAAGTTATTGAGAAAAAAAGAGTCAACTAAATTACTAGCGACCATACACGTTTTTTTTTAACTCAAGTCAATGCCAATTTCATTGTTATACTCACTTTCTTTTCTTAAGCTCTCATATTTTTTTTTTTCTCGTTTTCAAGTTTGGAACAAAATTCCACAGTATAAACTCTATTTTTCATTTACAGTGTAATTAGCATTCACCTCTTGCTCTCTAATTACTCTATATGTGTTCTTTTTCAAACTAAGACACAGACATATATATACCAATTGATACAAAATCGAAAAACCCAGTTTCCTCATAAACCTTTCTAGTATAGTTTCCTTTTTTAATTTCTTTCCTCATTTCTTGTTATTTGAAAGTAACTCACTAAGGATTTTCTTGTTCTTTAATTTTGATTCACTGGGATGGAAGAAGAATGGCATGGTAGTGATAAGGCAGCAGAGGACAAAACATTGGAGCTAAGATTGGGTCCTCCAGGTGAATTTCTTAATTACAAGAAAAATATTACAACCATAATCTATAATGGAGCTAAAAGAGACAGATTTGAAGAGAAAACAGGAGATCATGAAAAGCAATGCAAAAAATTTTCTTGCTGTGAAGGAGGAGGTGATTTATTAATTTCTTCCCCATGGTCAAAATCATCAAATGAGTCTTTATTACATTCTTTACCTTTCCAAAAGGAGAATCAGAGGGATCAGAATCAGGAGGAGATGCAAAAACAACCACAAGAACATAACTTACAGTGCTTAGATAATAAGGCATGTTCTGGTACTGTTACTGCTTCATTTCCTGCTGTTACTACAACTAGTACTAACACTTCTCATCATAAAAGGTAATTATCTTGCTTTTTCTTTTTTGTTCTTTCAAAAAATTAACCATCATTATTTTCTTCAAGCGCTGTTGCTTTCTTTTCTGATGAATCTTGTATACATAACTTTATTTTCTTTAAACAGAAATAAAGTTCACTAATGCTTTGCCGATATTGGATATGGCTAATACATAATTTTTTATTAAGCAGTTTAATTTCCAGGAATTAGTGTATTTTAATCCACTAAAAGTCTGTTTGTCTTTGTGTTTTTTTGATTTTTTGACCTGAAACAAGCAGAGTTACAGCTGCAGCGGTGGTGGGATGGCCTCCGATCAGATCATTCAGGAGAAATCTTGCAAGTAGCAGCAGCAACTCAAAGCTGACTGCTACAGATGATTTAGCAAACAAGACTTCAACAGAAGACTGTACTATAAACCCTCAAAATTATAACTGCAAAAATGATTTATTTGTAAAAATAAATATGGAAGGTGTCCCTATTGGAAGAAAAATAAATCTCAATGCCTATGACAGCTATCAGAAACTTTCTGTCGCCATTGATGAGCTCTTCAGGGGTCTGCTTGCAGGTATTTTATACAAATACAAACTCAATTAGATGAATTCTCTTTGTAACGATAGTAATTCTCATTATTATATGATTTCAAAAAATCCTTTTAATTATTGATTTGCGGGTTTTAATTTTTTTTTAGCTCAAAGGGAAACTTGTGAAGCTAGAAATGTGAACAAGATTGATGTAGCAAAAGGAGATGCAGGTTTAACAGGAACTGAAAGTGGGGAATATACTCTTGTTTATCAGGATAGTGAAGGTGACACGATACTTGTTGGGGATGTCCCTTGGCAGTATGCTTCCTAGTTCTTACGCTTTCAATCTTTTACTACTTTTTGTCAAGTCATAGGCCCTATTCTTTCGCTCCCACCATCACATTTCAGGATAAAAGATAATAAACCCTTGATAAGTTTATAATTAACTTATGAAATGCAATATTACTATTTGCTTGCAGAATGTTTGTAAGTACAGCAAAAAGGCTGCGCGTGCTGAAGAGCTCTGAACTTTCCACCCCACGACGTGAGTGTACTTCTGTGATAATAATGCACAATTTTTTATTTTTATTTTTTTAAAACTTTCTAATTAAAGCTTATTGGAAGAAGAAGACAACATGACGATGGATCTTTTGTCACTTTGATCAGTTTCGTTAGGTAGAGGAGAGCAAGACATGACATCATCACTAGCTCCATAGTGGAAATTGGAAGATGAATATTAAGCTTATAAAGAAATATCAGTGGAGATCCAATAAAATCCTTCTTCATTAGCAATGTAAAATTAATTCTGTTTTTAAATATTTTTGTAAGATATAAGCACGTGCATGTATATGTACATGAAGTTTGGTTCTTTCAGTTCAAGAATTTGCAGTAGGGAAGTGACAGATTGATGTATGAGGTTGGTTTTTGATTTAATTGACATGAAACAGTAATATATATGTATATAATATCATCATCATCATCATCATCATCATGAGTCCAAAAATGAATCAAAAATGAGCTAGAAGAAGTTTGTGTACACTAAATATTATTCGAGTAAAAGATTTACATGCACTTTATGATGATCATGATCAATTCATAATCAGATAACTTTATGATGTTGATGATCTTAATTATAACTATGCCCATAGAGTAAATGAAACACATCATTAGGTTAGGTGACATTCATTAATTTATTATGACTAAAAGTAATTAATATTTAATAAACTTTATCTATAGTGATCATTATTATCAAAATTTTATCCAAATAACATTTTTCGCCCGAGACAGAAAGCATGTATAGTAAAAAAAAAAAAAAAAGGTTTAATAGAACCTTGGAGGAGTGAGATGGGATAACATAGGTCCCTTCTCTCTTAATTAGAAATCTCGAGTTAAGCCATGAATATGAAGTCTCTTTAAACACTCAGTTGCGCCCTTTATGAGCTTGCCCGGAGTGAATCCGAGAAGTATATCTCATGTTAGACAGAAAATCTTGTAAGTAGATTTTCTGTTGCTTTTTAATTTAGAAGAAGGTTTGAAAACCAAGTACTTATGGCGGGCCGGTGGGCCTAAACAATGAGAGGCTACAACGTGGGCTCTTTCTAAAACTACCCAATTAGCCCATAGGTATTCTTCAAGCCCATGGAATTATCATCATCTTATTCTATTCTCCAATTATCTCATGCTAAATTAGTTTTGAAACCAATCAAAATTTTAATTTTTCATACAAGAATCAATCAAGACAATTAAATTTATGACATTGGTTAATATATATGGCAATAATAATGATTTTATTAATAAAGAAATATATTAAATAGAAGTAAAATAAAAAATATAAAAAATTATTCTATTCTAAAAGGGAAACACGACGGTAATTTGAAAAAAGTGAAAAGGTAAATTAAGCCTACATTTACAGAATGAAGAGAGTAATTTTATTAGAACACTAGTGATAATTAAAATAGTCATGCTTATAATATGATCACAATACTAGTATTATAATATATAAGATATACTAATAAAACTATTATATAATATTATTTATTACAATAAATACATAGAAATACTAAATATAAATTTTTTTAAAAAATAAAACAAGATACATCCATCATCCACTCAATTCGTTTATTTTTTTTTAAATTCAATCTAATCTTATATGAAACCCGCTGAATCGAATCCACTCTGTAACACTCTATCTAGATGTGGAGGCGAGTAATGGAATATATACATATTTAATTTCATTGATGAATACGAAACTCGTTCTATACTCAAACTATTGCCATCTCTAAATATCAATACATATTAGATTCTAAATAAAATTTGAATTATAAAATTTAATGTTATAAATGACTTCAATATTGTTGAGCTAACATTTTAGTTTGTTGTCCACGTGGCATCTCATATCCTGCACTTACAACTATACATTCATTTGATTGACTTAAAAAAAGCTGTCATTGGTTAATATATATATATGCCAAAAAAAGGCATCATTTATTAAAAAAAAAAAAAAAAAATCTGCAATTAGGATTTTAGAAATCTGAAAAGATTTATATTTTTTGTCAGTTAATTACTTTTTGAATGCTTTATGGCCTTATTTTTTCTTTTTCTTTTCATTAGCATCTTCATCTTTTAAAATTATGGATAAGCCTTTTGATTAATTAGCACTGTAGTCGTAGAGGCTGTACCGCCGTCTGTCAATCAGTAGATGGTGTTTGCGACCAAGAAATGTCAGTTTTTGGCTTCTTGCTTCTGCTGTTGTAACCGTTTATGGCCAAATGTAAAACTACTATTGGCGTTAATGGCAATTTCTCAACTGAAAGTTGGAACAGTATATGAACCTTTTTCTTAATTGAAAACGCTATTTATTTGTGTGTAAAAAAATCAATTATAGCTATTTGGTACCAATTGTTAAATATTAAATCATATCAGAGAGGTATGGTAAATACAGTGATGTATACTATATTATAAAAATAAAAATAAAAAGAATTTTTTACTACCTAAATTCAAAATAATATAGCTCTAGTTATTACAAGTATAAAAAAATTGAAATTGATGAGTAGCATGATAAAGAGATTGAAAGAATAGTATCATAAATCAATCATAAGAGAAGAAGAAAGGAAAAAAGAGCGAGAAGATATGCGAAAAAAGAAAGGCGGCATGAAATAAAAAAACATCAATTAATATAATTTTTTGGTATCATTTTGTTTTTTTGAAATCAAACAAGATAAATGATGAAAGCAATTTCAAATAAACTTATAAATAAATGAGGTTTAATTAATTAAACAAAGCCAAAAAGATTAATTACAATGTTTGTGAACATATACGTTATATGATCGATCATATCTCTTCTTTTTGAACATAAAAAAAGTATTATAAAAACTGGGAACTATAATGTTAAAATCTGAAAGCATTTAACGTTTTAGATAACCTTTTCAGAAGAATTGTTGAATTTGAGAATCTTATAGTTTCTTAAATCACATTTCTTCAATGTGTATGCATTTATTGTTAGAACATTTTTAAACATATCATGATAATATTAAATGTTATAACTAATCATCTTGCTAATTTTTCCGACATAAAAGTTTCAGAAAACCGAAAGCTATTACGTAACACATTAAATGTCTTAAAATCAACTTTCTAGCTACATTTACAAACTTAAGAATTTTATATTTTCTTGAATTCCATCTCCTCAACCGGACACATAAACACTATTCTAAAATTAAAATATTAATATTTTATAAACATATACTATATAATATATAATAATATTAAAAATAGAGAAATTCACTGTGAAAGTAAAATATTCCAATTTCACTAATATAAATTCTCTTCCTCAAAATTTAAATTTTTTTCTTTATTGCACTAAAATGACAGTAAAAGAGAACATTAATATGAAAAAATAAAGCATTCTCCATATTTAACATGGTCTCTTAAAATATTTTTGATAAAAAGAAAAGAAATAATTAAAAAGCTCATGTGAACTCTGTGTATATATATATAGCCCTAGCAATTATCAGGTGCACTTGGCAAATGAAGGCGGAAACGAGCCATGTACCTCTCTGTCAATCTTTTTCCAATCATATTGATCCACGTATGCAATTTTTTTTTTCCAAGAGTAAGAAATATCCACTATAAATAGGAGCTCCTGGAGGTCTCAATTCCAGGCCACAGAAAGTCTTTCTCAGAGAAAAACACTGTCTCTGTCTGTCTGTATATTGGCATTTCTTTCCTTTCTGTTTGCCTGAACAATATTGCTTCTAAAAACTCGTCAAAATTTGCTCATTGCATAGGATGAGTTCATTTGTTCATCGGGAATTTCAACATGAGATATGCGAAATTACTGACCCTAGAGAGCTTGACGATGATGGCAGACCCAAAAGAACTGGTAAAAATACATTAGCCCACATATAAGATTTCCATTCTTATACAAGCTAGTGAATTTCCTTCATTTTTCTTTTTTTTTTTTTTTCTTCAAATTTTACACCCTTAAACTGTAGAGAGCTTCGAGCCAGGAAACCTCCTCTATGCAAAAACAACTTGGAGGATATGGGCTTCATGTAAACAGCCTCTCTGTCCTGCAAAAAAGAGGGAGCTTGTAGAGCTTAAACTGGTTTTTGAGCTCTAACTTGAAATTTTACAGTTTTAACTAGTAAATTTTCATTTGTTATTTTATTTTTCAGAGTCTGTCGAACTTGATCAAACAGGCACTCCATTACTGCTAAACTAATTAATGGTTTTTATATAAATAATTATAATTTGTTAAAAAAGTCATTTACATTCTCATTTTGTAGATATTTCTTTTCTTTTTAAATTTTGCATGCATGATGGATATAGTTGTTCTTATTCCTACACCGCTCCCGTGTTTTTATTAAACTTGAATATTTTATGTCAATTTTATATTAATTAATAATAACTCGAATTATTCTCCAATATATACTTACCCATTTATTCCAAACTTCAAAGAAAAAAAATTTTTCCTTTTTAAGATAAAGTCGAACAATAAAGTACTTGTGAAATTAAATAGGTTATTATTTAATTAAATTAAAATATTATTATAGCTAGGCCTAGGCCGGTTGATAGGTGCATATAGAGGGTCAGTGAGTGGTCAACCGAGTCCTTCCATACATAGCAACGTCGCTTTTAAAATGTTGGCAACTACCGCCCTTACATAGCTTCCACATAATGTTTTAGGGACCAACTAATTAGTAATTAATGAGATTTTTCATTAATTTCTATAAATTGGTAATATATTTATTTATTAAATTAAAATATTATTAATAAGCTTAGGGCTAGGCGGTTGATAGTGCATAGAAGGGTCCCGTGGAGTGGTTCAACCGAGTCCTTTCCATACAATAGCAACGTCGCTTTTAAAATGGTTTGGCAAACTACCGGCCCTTTTACATAGCTTCCACATAAAGTTTTTTAGGGACCAACTAATTAGTTAATTAATGAGATTTTTTCATTACCATTTCTATAATTGGTAATATATATATAAGTATAATATGGTATATTTTTTTTTTTTTTTTTGTGGCAGGTTTTTTGTGGCAGGGACTGTGTGGACTGCAACTGCACATATAATAACAGCAGTGATAGGATCAGGAGTGCTCTCACTGCCATGGGCTATGGCACAGCTTGGATGGATCCCTGGCATTTTTACTCTCTTGAGTTTCTCATTCGTCACCCTGTATACTTCCTGCTTCTTGGCTGATTCTTATCGAACTCCTGATCCTATCACTGGCAGAAGAAATCATACTTACATGGAAGCTGTCAAATCTAATCTCGGTAATACTTCTTTCTGAGTGAAAATGACTTAGATCTCTTAAGTAAGATGTCGAGTGTTTGATTTTTGTGGATGACAAAAATTTTCGTTATGAGCATTTCTCTTAAAAAAAAAAAAAAAAAAAAAAAAACATTTTAATTAGATTAAGTTTAACTAATACAAACAATTATTACATTTTTCTAAATTACTTGGTAAAAAATCGACCAGGTGGGAAAATGTACAAGATTTGTGGGTTGGTCCAGTATACTTACATGGGTGGATTGGCAGTAGGCTATACAATCACAGCTGCTATAAGTACAGTGTAAGTTAACCATTAATTAGTTAATTATGTAAGTTAAGCATTAATTAATATTATTATTATTATTATTATTATTATTACTTTTTTTTTTCTGTGTTAAATAAGGGCCTTGCTAAAATCAAATTGCTTCCACAAGAATGGGTTTGGTGCTGCTGGATGCAACTATACCGCAATGACATATATAATAGTAGTTGGATTTGTAGAGATTGTTCTGTCTCAGATTCCAAACCTCTCTACAATGTCATGGCTCTCCGTTATTGCAGCAGTCATGTCATTTGGCTATGCATTAATTGGAATTGGACTTTCATTTGCAAAAATCACATCAGGTTATTACTACTTTATAAATAATTTCCACTGTTCTGAAAAATTAATTAGAATCTTTAACTAACCAAAGCTTTAAGTGACTTTTCATCAGGGAAAGGAGAAAGAACAACGTTGACAGGAGTGGAAGTAGGGATGGGTTTAAGTCAAGCTGATAAAGTTTGGTCTATGTTGAGAGCCACTGGTGATATAGCATTTGCTTGCTCATTTGCCTCCGTCTTGATTGAAATCCAAGTAGGATCTTATCTAATTGTGATTATCTTTTTTTTTTTTTTAATTAATCAACATTCTCCTCTGATGTCTGGATTTGAATTTCAGGACACACTAAAATCATGGCCGCCTGAAAGCAAAGTGATGAAGAAGGCAAACAAAATTGCCATATTAACTTCAACTGGTTTCTACATAATGAGCGGTTGCCTTGGCTATGCTGCTTTGGGTAACGGAGCACCCGGCAATTTGCTCACCGAGTTTGGCTTTACTGAACCCTTTTGGTTAATTGACCTTGCTAATATTTTCGTTATGGTGCATCTTCTGGGAGCATATCAGGTATTGTCACAACCAGTGTTGAATGCAGTTGAAGCATGGGCAACCAAGAAATTTCCAAAATCAAGTTTTGTGGCAGAGAATTACCCATTTAAAATTTTCAGGAAAAAGATTAGTGTAAACTTCTTCAGTTTAATTTGGCGAATAATATATGTGGTGATAGTAACTGTGGTTGCTATGGCATTACCATTTTTTAATGACATACTTGCTCTGCTCGGAGCCATCGGATATTGGCCGATGGCAGTGTATTTTCCGGTGGAAATGCACATTGCTCAGAAGAAGATAGAAAAGAAATCGATGAGGTGGTGGTGTCTCCAGTCGATGAATGTGGTTTGCTTAGTTGTTGCCATAGGTGCTGCTTGTGGGGCCATTGAGGGACTCACTCATTCTCTTCGAACTTCGAATTTCTTTGAGCTTTAATTAAGAAAAATCATGTACTAAATTAGCAATCTAAATCAGCTAGCTTAGTTACTGTTTTAGCTTTATTAATTCGAAGTTTATGCTTATTTAAGCAAATGTAAACATAATGTTTACTAGTTTCCCTATAAATAATAAAAGGGTTTTATGTAAAGTATACGCTCTGTCGTTTAATGCTTGCCTTGTGTGCTGCACCTGCACAGATGATTAATTTAAGGATTTTTAGATTATGTCCAAAACCAATCAACTGGTCTTGGTGTTATAAAAGGGACAGGACAGTGATATTCTATTCTATCTTCGTGACGACATAATTCAGCTCGTCACCCTGGCTCTGCTTCATAATATAACAGAAAATACAAACAAATCCACAACATAATTGAGAATAACCAAGAATTCATAAAGCCAAGAAATCCTCATATAACATAATCGAAAAAAGCCAAGAAATATGTAACTTAATTTATAATGTAGGTTGAAGATGTAATGCTAAGCATAAGAATTTGACTTTGCTAAGAAAACCAAAATGCCAAAATGTAATAAGCTAGGCGAAGAATGCCCTCGTAACAAAGAACTTTGGGGTATCATCCAAGTTGAAGCTGTACTGCTTCTCAAGCTGCACTGAGAGGAACTTGCCTGTGAGGAACTTGCTGGTGTATGCGGAGGCAGAAGAAACAGCAGGAGGAGAGGCATATTTGCAGCTTTGGCTTGGATTTCATCAGCCTCAAGCAATTTGGTGACATTAAAAATAGATATGGAAAGTACTCGCCCTTATTCACGATCGTTCCCTAGTGCTAAAGCACAGATTCTGACATCATCTCAATAAGAAGAACATTATGTACATATAGCTCACTTCTAGTAATGCCAGAGAATATATCGCCCTGGTGTTGAAATGTCAAGAAACAACTATCCGCCCAGTATAGATATCCATACAACCGTACCCTCATACCTAAACTACAATAATCACCATCGGAATACAGACCCGTATCTTGCTGAAAAGAGAGGATGACATCTCCCGAATACAAACCTTCCCCCACTTTGAATGAAATTAGCAAGCACAAAGGAGTATATATATTTGAACATGTATTTATCATTAAACAGATTCATAAGTTTCTAACTAACCAAAACGTAATAAGAGCTAGGCGAAGAATGCCCCCTTAACAGAGAGAATTGTAGTAGCCAAGTTGAAGATGTATTGCTTCTCAATCTGCATTGAGAGCAACTCGCCTGTATGTCCAGAAGCAGAAGGCGGCGACATATTTGCAGCTTTGGCTTGGATTTCATCAGCCTCAAGCAATTTGGTGACATTAAAAATAGATATGGAAAGTACTCGCCCTTATTCACGATCGTTCCCTAGTGCTAAAGCACAGATTCTGACATCATCTCAATAAGAAGAACATTATGTACATATAGCTCACTTCTAGTAATGCCAGAGAATATATCGCCCTGGTGTTGAAATGTCAAGAAACAACTATCCGCCCAGTATAGATATCCATACAACCGTACCCTCATACCTAAACTACAATAATCACCATCGGAATACAGACCCGTATCTTGCTGAAAAGAGAGGATGACATCTCCCGAATACAAACCTTCCCCCACTTTGAATGAAATTAGCAAGCACAAAGGAGTATATATATTTGAACATGTATTTATCATTAAACAGATTCATAAGTTTCTAACTAACCAAAACGTAATAAGAGCTAGGCGAAGAATGCCCCCTTAACAGAGAGAATTGTAGTAGCCAAGTTGAAGATGTATTGCTTCTCAATCTGCATTGAGAGCAACTCGCCTGTATGTCCAGAAGCAGAAGGCGGCGACATATTTGCAGCTTTGGCTTGGATTTCATCCTGGGATCGACAGATGAGGGATCCAAAACCTCAAAAGTGTCAAATCTAGGAGGCACATTCATATCTCCTTTAATTGAGTTTCTATAGAGAGCATAAATGTTGCCTTCAATTGCTTCCACTATAGGCCTCAGTTTCATAGATTTCAAGGTGGTTTTAGATTCTATCTAGGAATTTTTACTTGGATCGAATTCTTAGACTTACCTTGACAACGGATGGCCAATAATTCGATACTCCCCGCCAATCATATATATCTTGGATCCGGATTTGACAACGCCTATTGAATAAGGATGGTAAATACGATTAAATTCTGAATATCCCACGGCAACAGTAGGTGACAGTAGGAATGGAGGTATAGCCGAAGAGGGGTTGAATTCGGAATTTCTGAGAGCCGGACGAAGAAGAATAATCGAAGTATGAAGGTATAGATCTTTCTCCATTCTCGCCATGGCCTCTACAGATGCACTCTAGGGTTTCGTAGAATAAACACGCTAAATATTTGAACTTGTTTGTTTATATAATTGTTTTTCGCGGGTGTCAAAGTAGAGAGCTTACCTCATCGAGTCGTAACTACAGCTTATGGCTTCAATTTTGCTGTTTTCATTTTCCATTAATTAAAATCCTGTAATTCTTCAAATTATTTAATTTTTCATTTCAAATTTATTGTTTTTATTATTTGTATTTTTAACAAAGCATAAAATTTGGAGAGATCCAAGATTTCCATGATTTTTCAGGTTAAAGATATCGTATTTTGTACTATATATTTTCAGATACAATGAAGGTATATTTCAGCATTAAAGTTTCTTCTCTCATTTTTAATTTTGTATATTTAGCGAGGAAAAAGAGCACGAAAGATGATGAGATGACTAATTGGTTCGACAAATGCAGAAAATTAATAATAAAATAGTCTATTTTCTAAAAGGTGAGGAGAAATTTGGATAACAATGCATCTGGCAATATTTTTTTTGTTCTTTTGGGTATCAGAGAAGGAAATATTAATCTGTATTTATTAACAAATTATATGGTCGTACAAAATTCACAATGTCATAGGGTTAAAATTACATATTTAGGGTTAAATTTATATATTCAGCTATAATTTATAGGTAATAACTAATAAAACTTCGTCGGTGAATACAGATAGAAGGTTGATTTTAACCTAGACATCAAGAAGAAGAACATATATAAAGAAAGAAGCGAGATTCAAAATATAAAAGTCGATATTTGTATTCTCTACTTCTTTATTGCATTGTTGAGTCAAAATCTGTTATTACTCATTGATTAGTCTTCCAATATGGACTATCTGCAAGCTTTTTCTAATATGCCTACTCTTTTTAGTTAGAGGACTCCCCATCGATGATCGAGTCAAAAAGGAACTTTGGCCTTTCATGGGTTTTAAGGGTACTCAAGTTCATTATATTAAAAAATAATTGATTAATTTTATCTCTTGTTAAGTAGTAAATATAATTAAGTAGCTTTTAATCATATTCTTATACAAAAATTTCGATAATATTTTTATTGAAATTATTGAATCTCCGTATAGAAACTCCTTTCTATTATTATATATTATATATGAGGACCGCAGATAAATTTTATAAAGATAACATGGAAAGGAATATATATTATTCTAGATATGTTTGAATTGATTTATTTAATTAAGAGTTGAAGTTTTCAAGTGGCAAAATCTTTAAGTTCTATTGTAGAATTTATTATGTCAATGAAAAAAAATATATTAAATACTACAAAGAATGTACACCTTTAATTAGCAGAGATTCTATACATAAAGTGAGGCTACATGCAAATTATAATCTTGAAGCATATATGAGATTTTTTTTTTTTTTAATTAAAAGCCAGAATATATATCTAATTTCATTTATTTGAGATAGATTTGGAATTGAAAAACTAACTTTTGTTAAACCAAAAGAGGAAAAAAATAATAATTATTAAAAAAAAAACATTAAAAACAACTTTCAGTATCTCATAAAAAATGTCTGTAAAAATATATTACCCTAGCTAGATTAAGTTTTACGATGGTAATAAAAAGTAAGGTAAACTAATCAAATATTCAAAGTTATTTCTATGTAAATAAATTTAAATTGAAAATACTTTTTGATTACACCAAAATACATTTCATTATACTTCACCAAACGTAGCAGAAGTTTCTGGAGATTTATCTAATTGTGTAATGACAATTCCAATATCATATAATTTCAGAAAATAAAAAGAAAACCTATTATTAGTAACATTTGATGTGGTACACATCTTTTTATTCTCTTTCAAAAGAAGGGTATTTGGGGATAAAATGATAGCCTAATCTTGATATGAAATTAGAAGACTAGAGATAGAACGTCATTGGCCAATTTGATTAAAAGACAAGAAATGAAACATCATTAGCCAATTTGATTAAATTCGCATGAATGTGTAATAGATATTCGATGATTAATATTCTACTTTTTCTTTTTTTGAAAATGATTAATATTCTATTTATACATCTCATTTTCGGTAAAAGAATAATAATCCGAAAGAAAAATGTGTCAATAGCTTATCATATATAGGTATAGAATAATTTCAAATCAAAAAATATATTAAAACAAAACATTTTATAATCTTACTTTTTCTCATCTAACTCAATCCTCTATCTCACCTACTCTCACTCTCAACAACCCACCAACCAAGTTGATATATCCTGTATTTTTTGTGAAAAATTTGTTAGCACCAACGAATTGATCGTCTCTAAAGTTACGAATTTGGCTATATTTTACATATTTATGCAATAACACAACAATAATTTTAAGGGTTTTTATTTTTTATATAAAACAAATTTAAAAATTTTTATTTTTATATGCAAAATATTAAATTAATATAATTTTTATAATTTTTAATAAAATAATTTTTATATTTTCAATTATCATTCTATAATATCCTTGCGTATTATTAAGTATGGTAAAAGTGAGGATAGAGAAGAAAAAAAAGTGTACTTTCTCTCAAACAAAAAAAAAAATTACTCTATTATCTCCGCTAATAACTTTTCTTTCTCTCACTTTGAACCAAACTCTTGTTAGCCGCCGTTATTGAAAACAAAAGAAAAAAAATATAAAAAAATTAGTTTTTGCTTAATCCCACATCGGGGAGATAAGCAAAGTGAAGGTAGTGATTTGGCTATAAAATGTCTTTCTCTCACTTTGAACCAGAACTCTGGTTAGCCGCCGTGTTAGTTTTGAAACCGCAAAAGAAAAAAAATATAGAAAGATAGTTTTTGTTTAATCGCACATCGGGGGAGATAAGCGCAAATGAGAGGGGTAGTGATTTGGCTATGAAATGAAGCAATGTTTAGGTTTTTCAAACACACCAAAGAATTATTTTGAGGGTTTGTATATTAGGAGGATGTGTAGAGAAGGTCTCTTGGAGTATAAAATATTTGGGGTTGTTTTTGAGGGTGTTCGGGTAGAAAGATATTTTGTAAGTTGTGGTTGTGTAACTGAATTTGGGCAGTAGGTGAATATTTTTCTTATGTTGTTGAGCAGGGCCGGTGTGTTTTCTCCATTGGGGAGTTTTCCACGTGTAAATGTATCGTGTTCTTTATTTAATTTCTCAGTGTACTTAGTTTTATTTTCTCATATATGTCCTGCTTGAAAGCGATCGGCAGGGCGGGAAAGAATAGCGATTTCCCAACAGTGGTATCAGAGGCCAGTGTTTAGGCGGAGCTGTTTAGTGTGAAAAGAATTTTTTTAATGTTAAGGGTATTGCGTCTGGTGGTTGCGGCTTAGTTTTGATCTGCCAACATCAGGAAATACTAGTTGTTTAGAAATTATTGTATTTTAGAAAAGCAGGGGGTGGAGTTTGGGAAGAGGGTGGGAAGGAAGGAGTCTTGAAGCTGTGGAGCTTTGCTTTGCGTGTGTGTTGAGTAGTCGATGTGTGGAGATGGTGGCTCTGAGCGAATGAATATTGAGTTATTCTATTTCTGAAGTAATATTACCGTGCACGTTAACTTGTTGTCTTAGAAGGCCGGTATTTTAAGCTCGGGACCACTTTGTTGATCCCTCCGTCAACTGAGATTTTAGGGTTGGGGAATGGTAGGTGATTGTCTAGGAGATCATTGTGGTCTGTTCCTGGGGTTATGTGCCGAAGTCGTTTACTTCAGTAATTTATTTGGGCTTCACTGTCATAAGGGCACAAGTAAGCATGTTCGCTATTGAGAATGTGAGATTGAGAAATTTACGGGGGATATGAATTTTGCACTGTGTGGCAAGTGCAAGTCAAAGTACGTGGTTGTTCAAGTCTGGATGCAGTAAGGTTTTTGAAGGTAACCGATATCAGCGGAAAGAAATTCAGGAAAAGACATTAGAGTGGAGAGCTCGAGAAAAAATCCAGGATTTAGCGATGAGAAGGATATGGAGGAGCCTGGATAGTCCAAAGCGCGGTGGATATCAAAGCGGCAAGTCAAATTCGCATGTGTCTAGCAAAAAATGTTCTTGCTAATGTGCTTGGATTGTCCACGACAAAGAAGTTGTGGGAGAAATTGGAAGAATTGTACCAGGGCAAAAATATATCCAATAGGTTATATTTGAAGGAGCAATTTCATACGTTGAAAATGGCGGAAAATACAAAGCTGTCAGATCATCTGAGTGTTCTTAATGGCATCGTCTCTGAATTAGAAACTCTTGGAGTGCAAACCGAAGATGAAGATAAAACTCTCCGACTCATCCTGTCACTTCCTTCGATCACTTCCTCTCGACCATATGGCACATGAACCTATTCTGAATATTGGGTTGTTGAAGGAAGTGGTGTATTCGGATGTGGGGTGTATGCGGGATGTGGGGTTTAGTAGAGGGCTCCTCGAGTATGAAGAAGACTGATATGGAAAATGAAAAGTTAAATCATGATGAGGATCAGCTTGTATTTGTCGGGGCTGAGCGTCAAGCGCGGGGTACCAGAAAAGGAATATAAAGCTTGCCAGAAAAGAGGGAAGGTCGTTGGGCGTGTGATGGGCTCAAACTGGGACACGTGAGAGGACGTTGCGGGGGGAGGGCGGGGCCGGACGGTGGTGAGCTGATGTCGGGCGTAGAAAGATCTACGGGTGTTCGCGTGGCCATTGAATCTCCTGTGGCGAAGGAGATGATGTGGATCTCTCTTGTAATTGAGGAGTATGTTCCTCATGGCACTGGATTGTAGACTCGTTAGTATGCCATGAAACGAGGAGGATTGATTGTAGCTGGTCCCGGAATGGCACGGCATGTGTGTGGACAGGTTGATGGCAAATGTGATGGTGGAAAAAATATGTCGCGTATGCGCTAGAATGAACTTGCTCAGCGAAGAAGTCAACAGGGAGGGTGGGTGCGACCATTAACCCATGTTAGCGGGGAGTTCGACATGGGCCGATGGAAAACATTCTATTGGGAGGTCGTGGGGTAACGGTGGGTTTCCAAAGGTGGCAGATGACCTGCTTTTATTGGGTGGGAGGGTATGTGGAGTAATTCTGGGACGGATGTAAAAATTATGATTGGTCGGGGTGAGGGGTAGCAGACAATGTTGTGCTTTTTTTTTTTTTTATTTCAAGGTGGGAGATTGTTAGCTGCCGTTGTTGAAAACGCAAAAGAAAAGATAAGATATAAAAAATTAGTTTTTGCTTAATCCCAACGGGGCGAGATAAGCAAACGTGAGAAGGTAGTTGATGTTGGCTATAAAATGGAGAAAACAAATGTTTAGGTTTCCAAACACACCAAAACACACCAATATTTGAGGGTGCGTTTTATATTAGGATTTAGAGAAGGTTTTGGGAGTCTCTTTGGAGTTATAAACATATGTTGGGTCGTGTTTTTGAGTGGTGTCGGGTAGAAAAATTATTTTTTATTATGGTCTGTACACAATTTGCCTCCATAGCTGAATATTTTTAAATTGATTGTTCGTGTTTGACAACGGCCCGTAGGTTTTTCTCATATGGGGAGTTTTCCCACCGTTAAATTATTGAATATTTTTCTTGATTGTCGTTTGACAACGGCCGTGGTTTTTCTCCATTTGGGGAGTTTTCCACGTTAAATTATCGTGTTCTCTTTAATTTCTCACTTATTATTTTATTTTTTCATTTATTCCTGCTTGAAGCCGATCCGAAGGGCGGGAAAAATAGCGATTTTCCCAACAACTCTTTCTCTTTCAGTCTCTTTCCTCAAACTAAACAATCCTCCATCCAGCGGATCTACAAAAATAACAACTTGCTATTCTCTTTTAATTCCTAACCATTCGATGAATCTGTCCAATGTTCACCGGCGATTCTGGTTAATCAATAAAATCGATGGATCAAAGTAAGGATAAAAGAGAGATGACGTTTGTGAATTTGGCAATGTCCAAGATGAAGATCTAAATGGCGTTCGTTTTTCATTTTAGATCATAGGCCAGAGTTGCACGCATGGATTTTGGTTTAGAGAGAGAAAAAAATCTGTACTTTCTCGATTCTCTATTTACAAAAGTAAATATAAATTTAAGAGGGCATTATAGATAATTTATTTGAACTGTGCTAGGCACAAGTTGTGTCATTCAGCGTTACTCTGTATATAAACCCCAGCCTATTGCAAACACAAACACACTGCAATCCTTTCAACTTGCAGTTCCTTTCGGTACTCGTATAAAGAAAAAATATATATACACATATATTTGAAAATGAATACAGAGAGTGTGATGGAAGAAGATTTCCAAGAAGAAATGTGCGAATCTGGTATGGTTATTTCTTCCAAGGATGCAGATGCAGAGCTAGACGATGATGGCAAACCCAGAAGAACTGGTATTTATATAATTTAATTTTTAGGTATCAAATGAATATTTTTTATTTATATTAAGTACAAAAAATAAGAAATTTCAAATGATGCAGGAACTATGTGGACTGCAAGTGCACATATAATAACAGCAATTATAGGATCAGGAGTTCTATCACTTGCTTGGGGTATAGCACAACTTGGATGGGTAGTCGGTGTCTTCACCCTCTTGTCTTTCTCTTGCATTACTTATTATACTTCTGGTCTTCTTGCTGATTGTTATAGATACCCTAATCCTGTTACTGGCAAGAGAAATTACACTTACAGAGACACTGTTAATGCCTATTTAGGTAATTAATTACACCTCGATTAAGGTTTCAGTTCTTCATAATAAATTGTATATACAAATTAATTGGTTTTGAATAATCAGGTGAAAAAATGCAAAAGACTAGTGGGATTGTTCAGTGTGTCTTTCTGAGTGGCTCTACTATCGGTTACACAATTACAGCATCTATAAGCATGGTGTAAGTTAATTGGAATTTAATTAATTGTGTTTTTTTATTAATTTTAGTTTAGAGGAGTTATTTATTATTCTATTGATGGGTTTTTTTGGTTCTGTTTTTAATTTTTTAGGGCTATTAGAGAATCCAATTGTTTCCATAAGAAAGGGCATGAAGATTCTTGCAAATTTTCATGTAATTGGTACATGCTTGGATTGGGGATTACAGAAATTTTTGTATCTCAAATCCCTAATTTTCACAAGCTCTCTTGGCTTTCCATTATTGCTGCTACCATGTCTTTTGCTTATGCGTCAATTGGGCTTGGACTTGCATTCTCCAAGGTCATTTCAGGTAAAATTATACTGCTATTTATCAAAGTTGAATCACTAGTATAGTGAGAATAAGTAAGTAATTTTTAACAATTAGCTGTATATCATAGCAGAACTTCAAAACAGATGACCTTATATATTCTTTTAATTGGAGAAATTTTTATTTTTTATTTTTTATTTTTTATTTTTTATTTTTAATGTAAAACAGGACAAGGAGGAAGAACAACTTTGAGCGGAGTAGAAGTTGGATTAAATTTAACAACAGAAGATAAACTTTGGAGGATATTTAGAGCAATTGGAGATATGGCATTTGCAAGCTCATATGCTCCAATTTTAATTGAAATCCAAGTAAGAAAATCAAATTCATTACTTAATTACAATTAAATCCTCTTCTAATATTGCAATTTTCATCGATTATCAGAATACACTGAAGTCATCACCACCAGAAAATAAAGTGATGAAGAAAGCAAGTGCAATAGCTGTTTTTACATCAACAAGTTTCTATATGATGTGCGGTTGTTTAGGATATGCTGCTTTTGGGAACAATGCTCCAGGCAACATGTTAACTGGGTTTGGGTTTTATGAGCCATTTTGGTTGATTGACTTGGCCAATCTCTGCATTGTGGTGCACCTTTTGGGAGCTTACCAGGTTCCTTCCCATCTATCCACTCCTACACTGACTAATTGCTTTGTGAATCAGACCAATTCAACTGATTTGGGTCACTAAAAATCTGATCAAACATAATTTGAAAACAGTGTACTATGTTTACTAAATTTAAAACAAGTAATTTTTTACTTTAAAATTACTTTAAAATAATAATTTAGTGATCGAATATTTGTCTTGTGATGTAAAATATTTATCCTTCACTTTAATAATTTCTTTTGTATCAATAAAATAATACATGATAAACATTCCAAAACTCTCAAATTTAAATCCCAATTCCTATCCCAACCCAAATTATATAAATTTAAGCTTATATATATATATATATATATATGTATGTATTCTTTATTGCAATTTTTTAACCCTAACAAAATTGCTTTGAACAGGTACTAGCCCAGCCAGTATACAGTACAGTAGAATCATGGGCCAGCAAGAAATGGCCCAACTCCAAAATTGTAAGCAAAGAATACCCACTAAGCCTAAGGATTGGGAAGAAAGATTGCAATTTTAGCATTAATTTATTAAGGATAATTTGGAGGACAACATTTGTAGCAATTGCAACTCTGCTTGCAATGGCTCTTCCATTCTTTAATGACATACTTGCCCTTCTTGGAGCTGTTTCCTATTGGCCCATGACAGTCTATTTTCCAGTGGAAATGTGTATTGCACAAAAAAAGATTAGACCACAAAGCCTAAGGTGGTTAGGGCTTGAGCTATTGAACTTAGTTTGCTTTCTTATTACTATTGTTGTGGCTTGTAGTGCTATTCAAGGTTTAAATCAAGGTCTCAAAACCTACAAGCCCTTCAAGTTCTAAAAGTACCCATCAAATTAATTTCTTCTTGTTACTTTAATGAACTTGTAATAGCTTGTTAATCTAGATTTGCTACAGTAATCTTCAATTTAATGATTTTACCTTCTATATTTGAGATACGCACTTAGAGTTTGTTCGGTAAAATTTATTATTTTGATAGTTTTTAGTTGTTTTAATATTGTAACAAGTTTAATTAATTTTTCATAAAATGTTTAAACCTAAACATTATATTAATTAACTTTTTATAAAATATTATTTTAACTTCTAAAAATTAATTAAAATATTATGTTAATGTAAAAATAACATTTACTTAAAACGTTAAACTTATTTAAAAAGCCAATGTGGATCAAACAAGGCTTGATCGTTGAGCTATCAATTCAATAGTAAAAACACGTCACATGGACATGTTTCGTCATGTTCCACTACGTATCTTATATTTTTCTTTTTGTGTGTTGTTTCTATCTTCAAGCATAATAAACGTGTAAATGATTTTCGATTTTCATTATTTTCTATAAGGACAAAAGCTCCTACAAGCTTTATTGACCCTACACTAATAGAGAAAATAATGAAAAACAAAAAAAAAAAAAAAAAAAAAAAAAAAAAAACATGAAAATAACAAAATTAAAAATAGAAAAAAAAAAAGAGGTGCGATTTCACTTTATTTTTATTAAATTTACACGTTAATCTAAATTAATGAATTAAAGCTCTTTCATATTTATTGTTAAATATACTCTAATTAAGTGAGGCGTTCACTTTGTTTTTTCACAATAAAAAATATTTTTCTTGTTCTTCCTTCTACCTTTTGCAAATAAAAAAAATTTAAATCTCTTTATTTATTTCCTTTCGAATACAAAGAGTGGAATTTTCCTTCCTCTTTCATTTCTTTCGTCTCGGTTCACTAACACAGACCTTTTAGAGACTAAATTCTCCTAAAAGCATTTTAGATTGTAGTGGTGTGCAAAATCAGTCCATATCATGAATGAGTTTCTTGTGAAATAAATTCATTAGAATTTAAGGGAACTATTGAAGTACTTATCTTTGTTCTCTTTTTAGTCAAGTGTCTACATATATACGAAATTTTTATGTAAGTTAGCCAAAAAAAAAAAAAAAAAAAAAAAAAAAAAAAAAAAAAAGAAGAAGTGGAATATTCACTTATTTTTATTAAATTACGTTAATCTCAAATTAATTAATAAACTTTCATATTTTGTTAAATATCCTATAAGTGAGGACGTTATTGTTAATTTTCAATAAAAATATTTTCTTTCTTCCAAAATTTCTACCTTTTGCAAATAAAAAAATTTAAATTTATTTTATTTCTTTCGAAATACAAGAGTGGATTTTCTTCTATTATTTTCTTTCCTCTCGGTTCCAAACAGACCTTTAAACTAAAATTTCTAAAAGCATTTTAGATTGTAGTGGGGTGCAATCATGTCCATATCATGAATGAGTTTTCTTGTGAAAATAATTCATTAGAATTTAAGGGAGACTTTGAAGTCTTTCTTTTTCTCTTTTTAGTCAATGTCTACATATATAAAATTTTATGAAGTAGCCAATCACTGCCTACTTGTACTCATCAAAAAGTTCCATTTTTCTTTTTCTTTTTCTTTTTCTTCCATTGATGGATCTCATAAAGCTGGAAGTGGGATTAGATCACCTACCATTTGAACATATGGATTTATTTTTACTAGTCCAATTCTAAATCTCTCTTATGATTAACCCTATAGGTTTATTTTGCCCTAGGTTAGTTCAATATCCACAATCCAAGATGTCATTTGGGTTTTCTTTTTTTTTTTTTTTTAAAGGTAAGATTTGATTTGGTTAGTTAAATTTCAACCTAGTTAATGATTATCTGAATGTAGTAATTTTGTGGGTTCCAATAGTAACTCCCTATTTTAATTTGAGAAGAGTCTTTAATTAAGCGATGCATTAATGAATTTAAGTATTTTAGTAATTAATTAATTCTTTCCTTTGCTTGCAATCAACATTGTATTTCATCATTATAGATATTTTTAGATGCTTAAATATAAAGTAAGGAGCTTTCCATACGTTACCCTCTATTTTTCACTTAGCATCACAACCTGAAATACCTAACTTGTAGCATGTGAGTTGAGAATTTGAGACCCTTTATAAAAAATTTTGATAAAAAAAAAATAATTCACTATAATTTTTTAAGTATTTGTTTTTTAATTTGACAAGTAAAAACATTATTATGCACATGTCTCTAAATTTGGTTGTCCTATTTATATGAATAAATTTAGTGTCACTTTCCTTCTAGGAGAAACAATCTGTAGTTTCTACTCAACCTACCCTCTAAACTTAGAGAATAGTCTCATATTGTATATATTTGAAATTTTCTACTAGAAACTGATTATTTTTTTTTATTGGGAAAATAGTACAATAAAAAAAAAAAAAAACAACTAATTTTAGCATATATACCCACAAATAAAAATATATATTACTTATTGATGAGCCCAAAAAAATATATAAAATATTTCCTAGAAACATTAAATTGGTTAATATACAAATATACTAATACTTAAAAAATTATAGTAATAAATATAAAAATTTTACTTGGCATATTCAAATATGAGGAAGAAGTGCAAACTAACTAATTAACTATACATAAAAGTCAATCAACTACTCTTAATTATGTGATATAACACATGATTTTCTTCTAGATCTCTTTTTCCATTTTATTTTTTTTTAAAAAAAATAATAAAAAAGGATGAGATCACATCTTCTAGATCCTAATATTAGTAATTTAATGAAGGTTCAATGAATTGCCAATTGGCCATCCACCATTACCAGTTAAAGTCTGCTTCTATCAAACAAATCCAGGAAAGGGGCAGCCACTGAATATATATATATAGATAAGTTTGAATAAGGAGTTTTCCTAATTGAAATAGTCAACAGTCAACAACTAATGGATAGTGATGGAGTAGAAAATTATAGTATGAACCTTCCTCTCAAGTTGCCTCCCCTTTTGTCTCTATCTTTCTGCTTGTAAGTTGTACTGCTTTGACAATTTGACCAATAAAAGTGAGCCTTAAAGCGTAAAATTGCTCATTATTACATCCAAAACTACATAATTGCCCCTGAAGAATCGATTTGGTTCTGGATTGAATTGAACCGATGAAATTGAAAATTGAATACAATTATTTTAAATTAAATAGAATTGTATCAAATATGTTCAATCAGTCGATTTGGTTTGATTTTTAGACAAATTTAACTTATTTTTATAATCGAACCAAACATAAAAATTAAAGCAATCTAAAATTATGAATTAAATCGAACTGATTACTTTCAACAATTGAACTAAAAAATTAAATTAAATCAATTCATTGTAATATTACAATTTTAAGTAAATCGTGCTCAATCTTGGAAAGAAATGGTAAATTGCACAAGTCAATGAGAGAATTTATAATGAAATATAGTATGAGGCACTTTAGCATAAGCATACACGAGGGGTAAAGATAATGATTTGATTCGAGAAAAATGATTCTAATTCCAAAACCACTACATTTTCTATGGGTGTAGTTTGAAAATGTAGTCGTTTTGGAATTAGAATCATTTTACTATCTTGTCAAATTATTATTCACGTGGGAAATTAAGTTTACCTGTCATTTTCTGAGTTTTACTTGTTAGTTGAAAGGAAATGATTTATTGTTAGATTTAACCGAACCGTGTTAGAACAAATAACTTGATACCACTTTTGAGGTTTGACTTTTGACTCGTCCAATAACTTTTAGTGGTGGAAATGTAATTATTGTCACTTACAGTGTCATTTCACCAAACTCAACTCTTACATATAAGATAATACATGACCTCCTTATGTCGTATCGCCAAATTTGAAAACCAACCGTTACCTTCCGCTTCTTTCCCGGCAAAAAAAACAAAAAACTGGAAACTTGAAAATGTCCATGCTACCCCTCCCATTTCTAAAATTCCCAACGGTCCTCTTCCTATTCTTTGTAACCACTATACCCTTGACTGTAATTTCACAAAATGCCAACACAGAACAAACTATTCTCTTGAAGCTCCGGCGAGAACTTGGCAATCCACCGTTGCTCGAGTCATGGAACTCCTCATCGCCACCCTGCAATTGGAAAGGGGTTCAGTGCATCGGCAACACAGTTACCGGACTTGTGCTCAGTGACGTGAACATAACAGTGACAATTCCGGCGACAATCTGTGACCTGAAAAACCTAATTTCTCTCGATTTATCCCTCAATTACATACCCGGTACATTTCCTACAGTTCTTTACAATTGTTCAAAGCTCCAGCATTTAGACCTCTCTCAAAATTACTTTGTCGGTCCAATCCCTGATGATATTGATCGTCTTTCAACTCTCCAGTATATAGACCTCGGAGCTAATAACTTTTCCGGTGACATCCCAACGACAATTGGTAACTTAACGGAGTTGCAGACACTGTTTCTTTATCAAAACGGGTTTAATGGGATTATTCCAAAGGAGATTGGTAGTTTGGCTAATCTAGTAAAGTTAGGATTAGCCTTTAATCCATTTATGCCTTCAAGAATTCCAGTAGAGTTCGGTAATCTAAAGAAGTTGACTTTCATGTGGATTAGATTCGCTAATTTGATTGGTCCAATACCGGAGAGTTTTTCCAATCTTTCAAGTCTTGAACATTTAGATTTGGCAATGAACAAGCTTGAAGCTAATATGCCAAATGGGTTGTTTTTGTTGAAGAATCTGACTAATTTATATCTGTTCCATAATAAATTGTCGGGGGAAATACCACAGGTAGTAGAAGCATTTAATTTAGTAGAAATTGATATTTCTCTGAATAGCTTGACTGGTTCAATACCAGATGACTTCGGTAAGTTACAGAGATTGGAAGTTTTGCTTCTGTATATTAATCAGTTATCTGGTGAATTACCATCAAGTATAGCTCTACTTCCAAAATTGAGTATTTTTCGAGTTTTCACTAACAAATTGAGTGGAGTATTGCCACCAGAATTTGGACTTCATTCCAAACTTGAAGTTTTCGAGGTCTCAAGTAATCATTTCAGTGGTCGATTACCTGAAAATCTTTGTGCTGGAGGTGTTTTGCAGACTTTTGTTGCATTTTCAAACAATCTTACAGGGGAGGTGCCGCAAAAGCTTGGAAATTGTACTACTTTGAACACAGTTCAGCTTTACAACAATAAGTTTTCTGGTGAGATACCTCTAGGTTTTTGGACAGCAATCAATATGACATATTTGTTGCTAAGTAATAATTCTTTCTCGGGCAAACTTCCAAGCTCAGTAGCCTGGAATTTGTCCAGGTTGGAAATTAGCAACAACAAATTATCTGGTCCAATTCCTACTGGAATCTCTAGTTGGAGGAATGTTGTTGTTTTCAAGGCAAGTAATAATCTGTTTTCAGGTGAAATTCCGGAGGAATTAACAAGCTTGTCACGTCTTAGCACTCTTTTTCTTGATGGTAATCAGTTTTCCGGTCAACTTCCATCACAGATGATCTCCTGGAAGTCGTTGACTGATCTAAATCTATCAAGAAATGCACTTTCTGGCGAAATCCCAGCAGCAATGGGGTCTTTACCTGATTTGCTTTATTTAGATCTGTCTCAAAACCATCTCTCTGGCAACATCCCATCTGGGTTTGGCCAATTGAAGCTTATATACCTCAACTTGTCATCTAATCAGCTTTCTGGTCAAATCCCGGACCAGTTTGATAATCTTGCTTACGAGTACAGTTTCTTGAATAATTCTAATCTTTGTGCAGTTAATCCAGTTCTGAACCTTCCAAATTGCTATATTATGTATCGCAGTTCAAATAAACTGTCTTCTAAAGTTCTTGCTATGATTCTTGTTCTAGCCTTAACTATCTTTGTAGTTGCTGCTATATTGACTTTATTTGGAGTTAGAGATTACCTGAGAAACAAGCATAAGCGAGAACTGGCAACATGGAAGCTGACCTCATTCTCGAGAGTGGATTTCACACAAGCAAATATTTTGGCGAAGTTAACAGAAAATAATCTGATTGGAAGTGGAGGGTCGGGAAAGGTATACCGGATTGCTGTGAACCGTGCAGGAGATTCTGTTGCTGTTAAAAGGATTTGGAATAACAGAAAATTTGATGAGAAGCTTGAAAAGGAGTTCTTGGCAGAAGTTCAAATACTGGGCACAGTTAAGCATTCAAATATAGTGAAGTTATTGTGTTGCATTTCAAATGGGGATTCGAAACTTCTTGTTTATGAGTATATGGAGAATCAAAGCCTCGATACATGGCTTCATGGGAAGAGGAGGAGATCATCATTAGTAACAAACACAGTGAATGATTCTGTTTTGGATTGGCCAACAAGGTTGCAGATCGCCATTGGAGCTGCGAGAGGCTTATGCTATATGCACCATGATTCCACCCCACCTATCATACATCGAGATATCAAATCAAGCAATATCTTGTTGGATTCTGAATTCAAAGCAAGAATTGCAGACTTTGGATTAGCTAAAATGTTGGCTAAGCAAGGAGAAGATCATACAATGTCTGCTGTAGCAGGCTCGTTCGGTTATATTGCACCAGGTAAAAAGCATAAGACTCCTTTCAAAATGCTTTACAAAGTACTTGTATTATGTAGATTTTGTTCAACTCAAAAATTAATATTGTTTGTATTGCAGAGTATGCTTATACAACAAAAGTGAATGAGAAGATTGATGTTTATAGCTTCGGAGTTGTTCTCCTCGAACTAGTAACAGGAAGAGAAGCTAACAGTGGAGATGAGAATTCCAGCCTCGCAGAATGGGCGTGGAGGCAAAGTGCAGAAGGAAAGCCTTTTGTTGATTGCCTCGACGAGAAAATTAGGGAACCATGTTATCTAGAAGAAATGACAACTGTATTCAAGCTAGGGCTCATTTGTACAAGCAAATTACCGTCTGCAAGGCCATCTATGAAGGATGTATTGCAGGTCCTACGTCGATGTTCTCCAAGGGATAATAGAGAGAAGATGGGAATGGAGTTTGACGTTGCTCCTCTTCTTGGCAGTTCTACTTATCTTTCTAGTTACAGGCGCAGTAAAAGAGTAGCAGATGATGACGACTTTGAAAGTGGCTTAATTTACAGTGATGTCTAGTAATAAATAGTTCAGCTTTTTCTTTCTAGGGTGTATCATATGCTACAGGCCAAAAAATAATCCCTGTTTTTAACTAGCAGGTTTCTCAGTTTCAGTCATCCCAATCCCCAAAATAAAATTTGCACGTAAACCAAGTCAACATGCCTCAAAAATGTACAAATTACCATAAATTACAGAAGCATTTATCTGGATTTTGTTCAGGCAAGTAAAAAACAGGAAAAAACAGAACTTACTGCCACGTCAGAAAAATTTAGCCATTAAACCAAATGTTTCATGCAAGTAACCAAACAGCACATGCTGCCACAAGTCAGAAAAACTTGGCCATTGAACCACAAATGTTTCGCACCAAACAAGTGTACCAATTCGATTACATTTTCACAGGTTTGAAAAGAACAAAAGAGCTAGTGTACAAAGGCCTATAAAGAAGCACAAAGAAAGAAAGCAAATGCCCTCACAAACCACACTGAACTTGATTGGTCTCGTTTGATGTACAAATAGGTTCCAAATTTGCGATTCACTCGTTCTGCCACACCCAAAGGGAACAAAGAAAAGAGCTCAATAACAGCAAAGAATGTCTCCAATGCTTCTGGGAAGTCCAGAGCTTCAGCAGTGCTCTATAACACAAACTAGATGACTGGTCAAATCACCAAGCAAGGCACATTGCTATGAACTATTGATCCTCTCTTACTCCACAATATAGAGCTTGTGCACACACCTGGTACGATGCCATGAAAGCCAGCAATTAATTTTTGACACTTACCGAATTGCTGACACGCCTTTCTAAATGTGAAGCGCATTAAATGACCGATGCCAAAATGTTACGCTTTTGACTTCAGATTCAACCTGCTAAACAAGAGCCAACAAAAAAAAAAAAAAAAAGCTATGACTATGGATCCTCTCTTACTGATCCACAATATAGAGCTTGTGCAAACACACACTGGTACGAAATGCCATGAAGAGCCAGCAATTAATTTTTGACAACTTTACCGAGATTGCTTGACACGCCTTTACTAAATGTGAAGCGTCATTAAATGACCGATGCCAAAATGTTACCTTTGACTTCAGATTCAACCTGCTAAAACAAGAGCCAAACAAAAAAAAAAAAAAACAGGACCAGCATTAGAAGATACCATGGTTTACAACAGACACTTTATAGAGTTCAAATGCATCCTTATTCAGCTGGCTCTGCAAAAGATTCCGAAACCTACTCTCCATCTTGAGAATTTCAGACTTCCATTGCCAGTACTTGGCTAAGAAAACAGAAGAGCAAAACTAAGAGTTAGCTTTGTGACAAGGTACTCAAGTGAAATTTAAAGGGATGAGTCCATGTATCGTGAGTCAGATACAAAACCATGGCTCAGGTTCTTAAGCACAGTACTGGAAATAAGCACGTATTAGTGGTGAGGACCTGCGATCACCATATGCAGCAAAAAAAAAAAAAAAACAGGACAGCATAAAGATACCATGGTTTACAAAAGACAATTTATAGGGTTCAAATGCATGCCTTATCACTGGCTTCTGCAAAGATTCTGACCTATCTCCATCTTGAGAATTTACAACCTTCCCAATTGCAGTACTTGGCTAGAGAATACAGAGAGCAAAACTAAGAGTTAGCTTTGTGACAAGGTACTCAAGGTGAAAATTTAAGGGAGAGTCATGTATCTGAGTCAGATACAAAACATGGTCAGGTTCTTAAGCACAGTTACTGGAAACATAGCACGTATAGTGGTGCAGGACCTGCGACCACATATGCAGCAGTTAGGAGGTAAAAGAAAAAATGAAACCCAGCATATAAAAGAGAAAAGGAGCAATTAACAAATTTAAATTTATCTGCTAACACATTCTTAATCAATGAAAGCACTACCAAAACCCATCTTACTCACAAGTTTTTTAATTGGAATTTTTCACAAGACGGCCCAGCTAATATTAATCGACTAGCTGGGTCATCAGCGGGGTCATCATAATGACTCAGCACAACAGAAAGAGAACAAAAGGAAATCATGTGAAAAAATGAAGCAATTATACTACAATAAGTTAAAATAAGCAATTTAGATTTGGAACCTCTAATTCTTCTGGCAAGCTATTTTGAAATGCTCCGCTTGCATTCAAACACCCATTCTCCAGAAGCGAATCCAAATCTGCAGCACATATAGCACCCTGCAAAGATCCCACTCTCACTATCTCCAGAACTTCGAGTATTTGCCACTGCCATCCGCAACAATCTGTAACCCAAAATCTTCAAACAGAGTAACTCACCTCACAATTGAGGTTCTGAGCACTGGTATTTGAACATATAACGCTTTCAGCAAGTTCTACAACTGCTGTCTGATTACATGGTCTGACTAACTCCTCTTCAACCTCTATAACTTCCCCTCCCCATTTTAACAGTCTGTTGGGAGAACCATTTTCCAAGGAAGCCGATATCAAATCCCCATTTCTGTTCTCATTTGTGACGTTATGTATTTTCCTAATTTCAGAACTTGATATTTCATATGGATCAAGCAACTCCTGCTTAAGAATTGTTTCAACCGCCAGATCAGTTGGCTCTACCTCATTCCTGCACTCAGCTGGCTCTACATCACCCCTAACCACTGCCGGATCATACAAACCCATAACTGTTTCACCCACCTGCATCACATTCCCCAAGATGCAGTTTTCATTGCTTGATGGCCCTCTACATGACCTAGCCTCAGAATTGTTGTCAACATCTGCAGCAGTTGAACACCCTAATTTAATCCTTTCACTGAAGTTGGCCAGAGATGTTCCACCGCACCTACTCGTACTACTTTCTGGAGACACAGATTGCAGCCTTTGTGGGCTTATAGAGGCTCGTTTCTCTGGTTTATCCGGCCTCAGATCCACCTCTTCATGGTCATTCTTTCGCTTAAGATGTCCCTCAGGTGATCCAATCCGAGATGTTGCAGCACCATCATTTGATTTACTAACCTGCTGGTTGAGATGCCGTGAAGGGCGAGATCGCTTATACCCATCAGGGAAAACAAAAGCAGGAAGCTGCCTCCTACGAACATGAGAAACATAGATATCCATTCCTGGTTTCCAAAACATGTACATGTTTATCTCTTGCCTAAATTCGTCAACTGTTCCCCGTATATCAAATTGCTGGCCTTCTTGACCAGTAACTCCCTCTCTCCTCTGTAAGCCCATGAAGAAAGCACAATGCGAGCATTGCTTGGATGTGTCTACATACTCATTCGGATACGGATGGCACTGCAACACCCCATTTGTATCCCGTTCTATCTGCAAAGTGGCATATGAAAAGCACCAATAAGGAAAGACACCATACTGAATCACTTGGGCACAATGTTTCGTATATGTGAACTGTGAAGTACACGGGAACAAACACTAGAAACAGAATAATATGTGTTCCTCTTCAAAAAGTAAAGCCCTTGCCTTCAAAGTAAGTTGTCTAAGCCGGGACTCCACCCAGCCTTTCCAAGCCAGCAAATCATCCGCATCTGCTGCAATAATATCAATTTGCAAGTAGTTTTTGTATGCTTCAAAGAAAAGATAAGGCTCAAACAGAGCACTCCATTGAGCCTTGTTTAGCTCAATCTCCTGCATGGAAAAAATTGACCAGAGTGAAGGCATCAATAGTATAATGTGGGCAGCTGAAGTAAAAGGTGAACACTCATGCACACACCTCACAGATCTTGTTACCATATTGAAATTGCTCCATCATTACACGGAGGGTACTTATAGAGACATTATAGCTAGAATTCATACAGGGGTATGCAGGAGTTATTATTGGCATATGATGAAACCGGTCCCGATGGTTTTTACGAGGATCCCATACAGGAAATCCAAGTTCATCTTCTTCTATAGAACACAGCATCACAGGATTTGGCCAGCGCCATTGTGTATATACTCTGAAAAATCGAGAAACTAGCATACTGGGAATTGCATTGGGATAAAGCTGGCATAGCCGTGCAACTAAAAGAGCCCAATTTACGCCACCAAGGAAACCAGTAACCTATACGTTGGTTAAAAGCAAATGAAAAAACCATAATATTGAGGTGAAACATCAACTGCAAAGGGAACTCTGCTCATCTTACATTTGAATAAACACCACGCCTTTTAGCCCAAAACTTCAAACATCTAAGTGTTGTTCGAAAGTGCTACAATTTGGTCAAGGATTAAAATACTGTCAAATTAACAATATAATCAAATAAACCAGGTAAAAAGCATACAATATGTCCACCTCAACATTTGGCACAAGTTTAAGAATTTGATCTGCAACTCTACACCCATTTAGACTTCGAACAGTTTGCTCATCAATATCGTACAGCACAGACCCATGCGAAATGTCCAGATCCTGAATTGTGTTGACAAGTTCGTTCCAGATCAATCTCAGCAAGCAACAATTAAATACAATTTCAACATTATGTTACATTCAAATCATTAAAGCACAAAAACATAGCATTTCCCTATTTGAAGATTAGCATCCTGATTGTTAAAATGGATCTAATAAGGGTAAAAATCTTGCATCCAGACATGCTACCAGACTTGCATGTGAATCCACTCTCAAGAACACAGACAAAAGAAGAGAAGCTTTCAATAATTGAAATGCATGCTTCCAGGAAAGTGCTACGTCTCATGAATATTTTATAAGCATAGAGAACTTACTTCAGGAACAACCAAAAGAGAAATACTAGCATAAAGAAGATCAATTGATATCCCCTGGAACTTGAATTTCATAACTGGGACATGAGCATCTGGAACTGGTTGAAGCTCCGTAACTTCATCCATTTCGGACAATATGTCATGCAAAATAATGAAGAAATCTTCCTGGGAAAAGATACTCAAAATGTTAATGAAAACCATAAACTATCCCTCCAGATTCCTAATGCAAATAGGCCAAGTTTATGAGTGACCTCTCGATTCACATAAGACGGCCCAACGCACAAGGTGTCTATGTCAGCTCCAGGACCATGAACCTGTTAAAACAGCATTTAATCGCTACATCTCCATGTAGAGGAGGTACTTATTTCAATGCAGGATGGAACCAAAATATTACATCTTGTAAAAAACAAAATAAGTCCAAAAGGTAGCCTACTTTTGGCTGCAAAATACCCAGTTCTTTATATTAGGGAAGTGAAAGGTACAAGAGAGCTGGTAGCACATTACCCTGCTACAATGTTAGCAGTGGGATAAAAAACTAACCTGTTACATGAGTTTTATGAAATTTAAGCCAAGAATCTGAGAAAGGTGGCACAAACACTTACCCCTATCAATTACTCGTTTTACAGCAAAGCAGTTGTTACTGTCCAGGATATGAGTATGATGTGCCTCAAACTTCTAAAACTTAAGTTCTGCTCCCCAAGGACTATTTAATTAGGGTGGAAAAGTTAACAATTTTATTGTACTTTTTTTGGTCCACAGTTCAAGAATACCCCCAAAAAGGAATCAGAGAGCAAAAAATAAAAATTAGAACACATTGCTAATTGTCTTTCAACAAAAATGCAGTCTAGCGCTTCAAAAATATCAACTAGTTAACCCTCCTCAGTACCATGTAAAAGATTAATTTACAAAGCTACCTCACCCAAGAAGTACAATTGAGAAGAAATAAGGAAAGCGATAAAAGACATCAAAAGATAGTGCTCAAAGAACATAACAAATCCTATAAAAAGTCATACTTACCCCCAAACGATAAGACCCAAAAGTAAAAATGACAGCATTTGCTTCCTCCACCATCTGATCCGTGTAGCCCCTTTGGTGTGTCAATTGTTTAACCCAACCTTTGACAATCTGTTAGAGGTTGATTTCCCCATAACCATTTGCTCAAGATAATCGCATTGGTATAGAAGAGAATAGGAACCAGAAAGGAAAAGCAACAAGATTGCCAAAATGGAATAGAAACTTCTTTTCATAATTAAGATCAGTAATGAAAATCTGGAGTTCAAATCATACACGATTACTTATTTAAGGCAACAATAAATCATCTCTATCACACCAGGAAAAGCAAAGCATACTAGTAAAACATGAGCACCAAAACGTTTCTTAAAACAAAACTATTAACAATGCTTGGCAAAGATCAAACATCCATATTACATATTAAAAATTGATAAAAGACACATTTAATTTGGATGAAATTTAGATGAAACCTCCATTAATCACATGAAAACTCACTCCCCTGAACACACCAAAAAACTCTAACCGAGCACACAAAGCAAAGGAAGTAAAACGAAGCTAGCGATTAGGCAAAACATAACTCCTTTTATTTAAGTTCTGTAGCAGCAAAAAGTATTCATACTGTAAGGTGTTGCCAAGGGTATTCTATTCACATTTCACCAAAATAACCATAACTCCCATGAATAAATAGAATATTTCATATAGCACGCTATTCCATAACAGTCAGCTTTCACCTAAATGCCATACAAATCCTTTGAAACGTCAAAAATGGTTCTTTAAGAAGATAGTGATTCATCAATAATGAAACCAAATCCAATCCGTCCAAATGCATGCCTTGTGTTTCTTTAACAATAAATATCCAAAACTACCTCCCGTGTTTGCCTTTCCACAAGAAATCCCTGAGTTTTCCACAAGTCTTTAACTGATTTGTTTATAGGTTGACTATCAATATACCTCAACTCCATAAGTAGAAATCTCCAACAATAATGCAAATCAATCTATAAATTAACTGCTCTTACTAACTACAATATGTTTTATTAATTCAGTCATAGTGCACGCAAGCATATAAATTTAAGCGTTAGCAAATATTCAAATACCTGATCTATGCGACCAAGCACCTCTTCTCTCTTCATAGTTTTCTCTTTGCTCTCGTACAGCCCCGAATCCACCAAAAACTTTAAATTCAATCCAAATACAGCAAAATAATAACATAAGCAAAATTACAAAATTAATTTATTGGATCAATGTCAACTAAAGATTTTACCTTCTCCAATTCAGCATTTCGATGAAGATCAGCCTCAGTGGGGCCTGCGAGGGAGATAGGTCTAGTGATTCCATACCTCTTAGCAGGTTGAGATGGCAGCGGCGAAGCTCCATTAGGACTCGGAGAAACCACCATTTCGATTCCCCAAGAGACACAAACAAAAACAAAAATAAACTAAGCAAATAATTTAGGGAAACAAAAAACCACAATCACAAAGAAAGCGCGAAATTGAAAGAAGAAAACAGATCGAAACCCTAATTCGGTAATAGAAACGAGGTGGAAGACTCAAAGAAGGTCAAACAAAGCGATTTCGGAGAGAGAAAGGAACAGTGAGGAGAGATCGAGAAGAAGAGGAAGAGAGTAAAGAGAGACAGAAAGAGAGAAAGAAAGGCGGGCGGGGAAGGCTTCGGTGGGCTAACGGATTGTTTGGAAAAAGCAGATTAGAAGCTGGTTTTGGAAGTTTGTGATTTGTCAGAGTGTTAACGGTGTTTAATCACTAAACGAACGAAGAATAAGTTACGGTGTGCACGCGCTTTCTCCGCCTTCCTGTCTTTCCCACGTGAATATTGTTTGGTGTTCTATTATTCTCTTTGAAGAGACTAATCATAATTAAATTTTATAAATTGTATTTAATATATTAGTATATAAAATATTTATTTTTCTCATGGGTTAATTTATTAAATTATTATACTATAGAAATTTCAATAAATTATGGGATCATAGAAATTGTGATGACATTAATTTATTTTAAATAATTATAAAATTTGATTAATAATGTCCAGATTTTAGTTAAAGTTTATAATTCAAACAATATTTTCAGATAAAATTTTAAAATTCAAATCATTCACCATGGATAATATATAAATCAATAATATTTAATATTTCATTATTAATAATAAAATATAATTTAATTATTTATCTGTCACTCTTCCCACGTGAAATATTGTTTCTTTGGTTTCTAATGTATATCTCTTTGAAGAGGACCTAAAATCAATGAATTAAAGTTTTATAAAATTGTATTTAAAATATTAGTATATAAAATATTTTATTTTTCTCAATGGGTTAATTTAATTTAAAATGTAAATTATACCTAATAGAAATTTCAATAAAATTAATGGATCATAGAAATTCGTGGATGAACATGAATTTATTTTAAATAATTATAAATTTGGATTAATATATGTCAAGAATTTTTAGTTAAAGTTTATAAAAATTCACAATATTTTCAGATCAAAATTTTAAAAATCAAAATCCTTCACCAATGGATAATATATACATCAATAATATTTAATATTTCATATTTTATTGAATATAAAAATACTAATTTAAATTTATTTATAATTTGAATAATTATCTACAGGGGAGGAACATATGAAAACAGAAAAAAATTAAAAAATTCCTATAACTAATCATCTATTAATCTCAAATAATTTAATAATAAAATATAATTTAATTATTTATATTGAATATTAATTCTACAAAACATAGAAAAACAAAGAAAAAATTAAAAATTCCTATACTAATATCTATTAATCTCAAATAAAAAATAATTTAGTTTAAATTTGACATATATAACTTAAATGATTTTAAAAATAGAGTTAAGTAGAGAGATATATAGATAATCAACAATTTAAACTTTTTCAAAGCCTAATTATCTTTAAAAAATATAAAATTTCTAATAAAAACTAAAGAGATATAGAAAATTTTTGAAAAATGAAATAGAGGTATACATAAAGGAAAGAAAAAAATGAAAATTTTTCAAAGATAAATATTATATACATGACTTTTTATTACGACTCTTTAATACATGAAAAAATAACCTAAAAATTTAGTCAAATTACTATTCCTATTCTTTAATTAATATATAAAAAAATAATTTTTAATGTTTAAGTAACTTCTTTTATTTAGTTTATTAATATCACTTTATTTTTGCTATAAAAATGTAAGGTCGAGTAAATAAAATAAATTTTTGATAAAAAAATAATAAATTCAAATATAAATAGAAGCAGAACAAATATTAATGACAAAAAAATGCATCTCAATTAAAAAGTTTGGGTTTTTGGCGTAATAATCTGAATATACAACCTCTGCTTTAATTTGCATGCCAATAAAATGTAGTGAACAGTACATATAGTGTACAGTACAATAGCACTAAAATATATTTAGTTGATCTATTTTTCTAAATTTATATAACATCTATTTTTTTACTACTCTCTCCGATTCTATATCTAATACACTTGCAACTTCGTCTAATAGCGTGAGCTATAACTACTCTTTGCTTCTGTTCCTCGGATAACTGTCTCTCCTACCACACTTTTGTACCCTGCATTTTGGATTGACATATCAATACCAATCATGCTTAAGAAAATAAAAAAATAAAAAAGAAACCTTAATGATTATTTTTCAAAGGAAACTTTTGGCTAGCTAGTCAAGTGAAATTGTCCGCTTCTTCTTTATTTACTACGCGATCAATATTAATTAGCAAAACAAAAAAATAAAAGAAAAACAAAAACCACGATAAGAAAGTTATATTTTATTAATACTAAACAAAATATTGAAAATTACTAATAGATGGAGACCTTTAACTTTCAATAAATGAGTTTCAATAGAAGATGAGATATTAGAAAACAGAGATCACTATTTATATCATAATTTATTTAACATATAGATAGTTAGAACAAAATAACAAACTAAGATTTTTTAAAATCATAACAAAATAAGATTTTCAAAATCATAAATAATTTATATTATATAGTTTGTAAATTGTAAAACTGAAAAGAAATGAAAAAAAAAACACAAATACTGAAAAAATAGAACACCGAGTTAGCATTTTTAATATATTTTTTATTTCAGGATTATATATATATATTAGTGGAATCTATTAGTTATCCTTGGGTTAATTTAACCCGAAGGAACTAAAACGCAGCATTTCTTTTGTTTCATTTCTCTTCTTTTAATTTTTATGACCTATTAATATTATTCGTTTCTTTTTATAATGGTTATTATTGAGATTTGGTCTCTCTCTAAATATTTCTTTTTTTATTTTGTTTGTTATGTGTAGTTGAATCTTGAAAAGGAGATTGTAATAAATAAAAAAAGGAGATTGTAATAATAATAATAAAAAAAAAAGCTATCTGTCTTTTTTTTTTTTTTTTTGAAAAGGAGATTGGTAAATAAATAAAGAAAAGGAAGATTTGTAATAAATAATAGATAAAAAAAAAACAGCTTATCTGTCTTTTTTTTTTTTTTTTTTCTTAAAATGACCCTTAGTTGTTTTTTCCTCCCTCTAAATGTCGTTGAGCTTTCTTTCTATATGCTTCTATATGCACACTATGTCAATTCCCTTAGAGTGAATCTGTGTTGAATTTTATCCGCAAAATTAATTTTTTATAATTAAAAAATAATTTTGGATTGTTCAGAGATCGATGGTATTTATAAAGAGATAAACTTGGTGTTTGAATAATTTTATCTTTTTTTTTTTTTTTCTTATTACCAATTTGTTGTTTTTCCTCCTCTCTAAATGTCGTTGCTTTCTTTCTATAGCTTCTGCAACTATGTCATCCACTTAAGTGATCTAGTTGATTTTATCAATTATTTTTTATTAAAATATTTTGGTTGTTCAGAGATCGATGGTTTTATAAGAGATAAATTGTTTTGAATATTTACAAAATACTGCATTATAATCAGTGGGTCCCACTAAAATGTTAGCAAAATCATTAACTAATGGTTTTTAGCTAGTGAAAACAAATAAGCCAAATCTTAAATGTATAATTTATTTATAAATAAAACTTCCACTTAAATTTAAAATAAATTACTAGTTCAATAGTAAATTATAACATTAATTAAAAAAAAAATTATAGCATTATATATCTAAAAAATGTTTTTTTTTATTTAAAATAATTTGTTCTATGGTTGAAGCCCATTAAATATGATGCAGATAATTACAATATGGCCAATAAACTTTAATGATTAAAGGGGAAGATGAGAGGGCACATTTGGTAATAAAAAATTACAATAGAAATGAAAATTTATTAATTTGTTGCAATAGTACTTTCAACCCCTCCCATTCTTGCAGACTAGACCAGTGAAAAACTGAAAATTGAAAAGCCGTTGTCGCACAAGTTGTAAAGCCGACTGGCCAAATACCCTTCCGCTTTCGTTTCCGCCCGCCACTGTCGCCTATATGCTCTCTCGCCTCTCTCCGCTCCTTCGCCCTCTCTGCCCTCCTTTTCCCACCTCAGCTCCAATGGCGCGTGTGTTACCACGCACCGCCTCTGTCATTCTCGCAAATTCTCCCTCTATTAATGCCATCTCCACTGTCTACTATCCTTCAAGCCTATCCTTCACTCGAAAGCCTATTTGTTTCAATGACCCTTTGTTATCGAGATATTCTTATTTCGCTAAAAAGTTTCACGCTGTATGCAGAGAAGGCGATGGGAGGCTTCTGCGGCCAATAAGCGGGCGGGTTTGGGCGGCACAGAGAGGATACCGGAAAGTGAGGAGGCGGGCGGCGCGGAAGAGTGAAACGGAGTTGGAGCTCAATGTTAGCATTTGCATTGAAGAAGAGCTGCCCGATGATCCCGAAATATTGGTATATGAACTACCTTATCTTTAGTTGTTATATGGTTGCGAATAGGAGACAATTAAAGCAAAATTATTTTCGTCTTTTAATTGGCAATTTGAAACATTAATTTTTTGTATTTTTGATCACTTTTATTGAGCAGAGTATTGCAGAATTGCTTCGTCTTAATGTGCCAATGGCAATGAAATTAGCGTTTGATGGTTTAAAAGATTCAGCTTATAAAACCAGAGACACTGCTATAAGTGATGTTGGAGGATTTCAAAGTGTTGAGTTGTCGGTACTACTTTGCAATGATGAGTTCATTTGCAAACTTAATAAGGAATGGAGGGATGAGGACCATGCTACTGATGTTCTCTCCATGTCACAACATGTTCCTCAACTAGAGCTTCCAGTTGTAAGTGGTACATACATAATCAAATTTGATTTTCTCGTTTTATCTCAGGGTGTCTTTTCATTCAAAATTGATCTGCTTCTGTGGCGTTTTCTAGCTTTTCAAGGGCCCCTTCACTTAGTTCTTCTGGATCAAATTGTAGTTCTTCGGTAGAATCCTACTGACCCCCTTTTTTTTCCTTTTCATTTTTTCGCAGCTTATGTTGGGTGATATTGTCATTTCTGTTGAGACAGCTGCACGACAAGCAGAGGAAAGAGGGCATAGTCTTGTTGACGAAATACGCATCCTCCTGGTTGGTGGCTGGATTGAATCATATTGTTTAATTAATATGCATGCTTTTATCTGCTTTGCTGCTTTATGGTTTTTGGCTGTGTTCAATGTTCAATGAATGTCATAAGAACAGTCAGTGACCCGTAACTTTCCTTCATATGTAAGATAATCATAAATCAACACTCAAGATAATATGATCATGGGAATTAAGGATGATTGGGTGAGTCATTCCCTTAATGTTCCTACATATGTGCAGGTTCATGGGTTGTTGCATCTTTTAGGATTTGATCATGAGATTAGTGAAGAGGCTGAAGCAGAAATGGAGAAGGAGGAGGAACTTCTTTTAAAGAGTCTTGGGTGGAAAGGAAAAGGACTAATTCAGAGTGCATATGATGCTGAAACTAATGTGAATCTTCAAAAAGAAAATTTGGATGGTAATTAATATGTATTATTGCTTATAGATTCAAAGGCCTTCATTCTTTATTTATTTTGGAGGCTATAACGTGCCACAAATGCAAGAGTTGGCAATGAGATAATCTTACACACATGATGTTAAAAGACAGGAAGAAAGAAGGCAGTCTTCGATTCTACAAACCAAAATTCAGATATATCTTTTGCGATATGGATGGTGAGAACAACTTGACATCACTTTGAATATCCATGGCTGCAGCACTCAGATTCTAATTATTTTTCCTGTCTACCTGAATGCCAGGAACATTGCTGAACAGCCAAAGTCAAATTTCCTTGACAAATGCGAAAGCTCTGAAAGAAGCTCTGTCAAGGGGTGTGAAAGTGGTGATAGCAACTGGAAAAGTAAGAAACTATGGAATCTTACTCCTTCTTTCCAGTTAACTATTACTGGGATGTTTTCAAACGCCCCATACATTTTTTTTTTTTTTTTTTTTTTTTCCTTCTTTCCAGTTAAACTATACTGGGATGTTTTCCCAAACGCCCAATGACAATGTTTTTTTTTTTTTTTTTTTTCCCATTTTCCTTGAAACTATAAGCTAAAAAATATCATTTTGTCGGTTTACTTTACTTATTTTGTCCTAAATGCTGATGACTTTCTCTTGTTATTTTCTCATTAATTGAGCAATTGCCATGTGTCTGAAGGATCCCAGTTTGTGTTTTTTGATTTGAAAACTCTTAAACAGCTCGTCCTGCTGCAATAGTATTTTTTTTTTTTTTTTTTTTTTCATTTTCCTTGAAACTATAGCTAAAAATATCATTTTGTGGTTACTTATTTTGGTCCTATGTGATGACTTCTCTTTGTTATTTTTCTCATTAATTGAGCATGCCATGTGTCTGAGGAGGATTCCAGTTGGTGTTTTTTGATTTGAACTCTTAAACAGGCTCGTCCTGCTGCAATAAGTATTTTGAAGATGGTAGATTTAGGTGGTAAAGATGGCGTTCTCTCAGAGTTCTCTCCTGGGGTTTTCCTACAGGTTTTTTTTCTTTCTTACTTGTTTCTTGTCATTGTTATGCAGTTACCTTTTCTCAACTAGGATTCACAAATCCTCATTTTCAGATTTATATTATTGAATGATCTTGTTAGAGACGTTCTTAAACTTGGTTGCAGAGCTCTTGTTAAACATTGTACGGATTTTTATAATCACAAAGCATATGCATAAAAATTTTCTTAAACTCAACTTAATGGAACATATTTACCTGTTATAAAAATTGGTCTGCCGGTCTCTGTATGGTTTTCCAAGAACATGGTATGATAAGTGCTCTACCGCTCTTTCTTTCACTCTATAGCTACTAGAAGCAAGAAAAGAGCATTGCTTTTTCAATCTTGAAGCCACTCCATATCCCTCTTGTGGAAACTGATCTTAGGCTTTTATGCGACAAAAGGAGTTTGAATCTGTTTAACTTTGTATGAAGGAATTTATGAATATCAATGTTTTCAAAGCATGAAATAGATCAGTTAGAATTTTCAGTTTGCAATGATTAGATAACATTTTCATTTCTACAATGGGTGAGAAATCAAGGAGATGAATCTGTAAAACTAGTCACTCAATACATTCTGGGATGAAATCGTTAGATATGCAGCAGTTTGGAGCGCCATAGCGCCAGTCAACTATCTTAACTTCATGAAAGCTATAAAGATATCTACAATTCTTAGTATTTTTAGATCTATTGATGTATAACCAGACACCTTGTCTTAAGATGCTACTCCTTTTAAAACTTTGTTGTGCACATTCTGCCTCCTATTATTTTCTCGTACGCCTTCCCCTTATACCAATGAATCGATTTCTTTTTCTTATGGAAATCTGTTGAAATTCCTCTTTTTGCCAAATACTGTAAAGCCTAAAGGCCCCTAACTAGTTAATAATCTTCTGCTTTCATTTAATGTTTTTTGTGCTCAGTCTATAGCTGCTGATCTAATTTCAATTTATTGTTTCATTTCAGGGGTTGCTTGTTTACGGTAGACAGGGTCGGGAAATTTTTAGAAGCAACTTAGATCTAAGTGTCTGCAGAGAGGTAATTGTTTTATTATGACTGTTTTTGACTTTGTTTGGTGTTATGAAAATGTTAAAAAACCTGGATGCTTATATTGTCCAAACACGCGTAGGATAAACTGCTTTCACAATTTTTGTCTGTGGATGTGGTGTTTTGTACAATAGGAGTAGTTTTGTTAGCATATGGCTTTGCTGCTCAGTTTTATTGCATATTTGTTTGCAGTTACTCGTTTTAGTGTCATCTGAGATGAATATTATGCTGCAGCAGTGATTGGCCTAATTCTCTATGATTAGGTTTTCCACCTCTCTTGTTGTGTGCAGTGCTGCAATTTCATGTTTGTAACATGGTTGCTGGAGAGATAACTCTGGTGAATGCTGTTTCACGGACTAAATTGTTGGCTTAAAAAATTCATTTCATTTGCTGCTTCTGCTGAATGCTTTCATCCGGAATTGTTAAATGACTTCTATTTTAAATTTTAGCAAGGCTTTACCCTCTATGGGAATACTTGTGGCTGCGGACAAGACTATTTTAACCAGAAATTCATTGATTTCATCCCCTCTTCCCATTCAAAAAGTCCATCATATGCTGTGCTGTTAATGATAATTAGTAGACCTATCCAAAATTGTTTGTCTTTGCTTTGGGTTTGACAGGTTTGTAACCAACATGTGCATTATTATCAAATTTTCTTGTTGTTGATTGGGTTGTAATTCATAATTGCAGGCATGCTTCTACTCTTGGGAGCATAAGGTTCCTCTTATTGCATTCAGCAACGACCGTTGCTTAACGCTGTTTGATCATCCTCTTGTTGAATCATTACATACCATATATCATGAGCCAAAGGTGCTTTTCTGGTAACAAAAACCTTGATATTACCTAAGCAACTTTTGCATGGATGCGCATGATTAATGAAAAAAAAAAAAATTTCAGGCAGAGATCATGCCTTCAGTTGAAGACCTCCTAGCTACTGCTGAAATACAGGTATAGTCACAGACTTGGGCTTGTATTCATTCCGATATCTGAAGCATCAAAATAGAAACAGTACAGATGTGTTATATATAAAAGCTGCAAATGTTGTCAAAGTAGTTACATTTATAATGCAACCAAGAAAGCGGGAAAGATTAAATTACCATTTTATTACTAACAATTAAGGTAATAAGATTTGAGCATGACAGATGGCTTGAGCCATGTCTTTTATTTAGTGGGATTAACTTAGTTGTTTACCTTCCAGTTTGAATTTGGTTAATGATACTGATCTCTAACCTGAATGTTCTCGGGGAAATTGGTGCTAGACTGAGATACTTAAAGGTGTTTCTCCCTCTTTTTTTTTTTGACCCTTCCAATCCTTTGGATTTGCAGAAGCTGCTCTTTTTAGACACTGCTGAGGGAGTGGCTACTTCATTGCGGCCATACTGGTCAGAAGCAACTGGGGATCGGGCCAATGTTATCCAAGCTATCCCGGACATGGTTGAAATTGTCCCTCGAGGAACGTCAAAAGGGAGTGGAGTCCAAATGCTGCTTGATCATTTGGGTGTCACTGCAAAGGAGGTATAGCTGAATATGCAAATTGCTTTTTATTCTTTTCCTATTTTTTCTTAACTGAAAAAAGAACTCTTCTGAGAGTTGGAGTTGTTATCTTGCTTTTATTGTCTGCCTTACGGTCCATGCTGGTGAACAACAGGAAAATAACCAATTTCTAGTGAATAGTGCAAATCTTCTACTCGGACAATTTACATTTGCATGGTGATCTCAAATCTTCATGCTAGAGGATTATTAAGAGAGATGAGGCATCTAGCAAATAGATATAATGGCATTAGGTATTATGAAAATGATAAAGCAAAGAACAAAGAAACAAATATAAAATATGGAACATGGAGAAAGCTATCTGGTCAAAACTGTGACAATCCTGTATTTCTCTGAATTTTGATATTGAAGATGCAACCAGTTAGAACTTGTTCCTTACTGATTCTAATTACTTAATTTTCAGATAATGGCTATTGGTGATGGGGAAAATGACATTGAGATGCTTGAGTTGGCCTCTCTAGGCATTGCTCTAAGCAATGGATCAGAAAAGACAAAAGCTGTGGCTGATATAATTGGCACCAGCAACGACGAAGATGGTGTAGCAGATGCCATCTACCGGTATGCATTCTGAGCTTTTTGGTTCATGTGTGAAAAACTTATCACAAAGATCACAAGGCATATGATATTAGATGGTGTGGAATTTGACCTGTCAATTTTGTTTTTTGTTTTTATTAGTGATTAGGTAAGCCTACCAAAATAGAATAGAGTAGTTTCCCTTCTTCCCTTATTTATTGAATGAATAAACAGGGCATTATATCCTTATATGGGCTCTGAATACAGTTTTGCTCTTCCCTCATTTCATCGAGTGTAGTTATTTTTTTCAACTTCATTGAGATTCTTATGTAACTTACATATATAAAATTGACGCCATTGGGATTCAATATGCATTCCTTCTTGTTGCTGTTGTTTATGAAATTCAGAAATTGGATGGCACTCAAACTATTTGCATCTATTACGTGGTTCTGAAATAGATAAGCAACTCCAAGTTCTCATCTCGGCTTTCTAATGCAAATATTATAACATTGCAAAGTGATTTAAATTTAAAACTAAAATACAGAAATATAACAGAAAGACATCACTTTTTCTTTATAAATTAACACAGCTCTATCCAGAATCACAAATACAAATACTCAATACAGCAGAAACCAAGTTTACAAGTTTTGTAGTGCTTGTAGATCCCAACATCTTCAACTGTAAAAATATCCAACCCATGTAGGTAGATGCAAGCCTCCAAACCTAAAAAGCATTTTTCTCAAAGAATAAAAGAAATAGAAAGGCATACCTAAGAAACTAAAGACCCTGATCAATTAGATAATCCCCAAGCCTTTCCACAATCATATTGCATTGACCAGGAGTTAAAGGCTCATCATATACGCCAATTATCAAAGCCTGATTGGTCTTCTTGATAGTTACTCCGCCAGAGCCCTGATATATAATGTTTGGCCAACAGAAACAAGCAACATAAAACATCAGAAGCCAACCTTTTTGTATGAAAAAACATTTCTTCAACGCTAGTAATACATGAGTTCACAACATTGTCTTACACTAAAAATTACTCCACTCTCCACACTTCATCAGTTCCCAACTAGACAACATTCCAAAGGAATAACTTTTACACTACATAACTTTTGCAATACCATAAATGAAATGGGATTCAATCCCCTGTTTTGCCTATATATCTATCAAGATTTAGCTTACTGTCAATTCTCATTAAAGATGAGTGAATTCATATAACATTGTGCCTAAATAGATTCTAATCTAATTATTCTCTGGAGTTGGTTAAGAATGCTAATTGGCTATTCTCCAATATATAAGCATGCAATTATTGTTTAGTCAATAAATGGAAGAGAGATGGCAAAATGAATACATATGCAAGTATAACATGTGCTGGGGAAGAATGCATTCACCTTCTTTCCTCGTATAACAGCCCCTGGTTCACCCTGAATCACCATGTACTTTGTGCCACCAAGAAAGAGGCCAGTTGGTGCAAGAGTTCCAGGTTCAGCAAAATCATTCATAATTCCAGTTACTTCTTCAGCTGTAAACTATCGTGCCAAAACGAACAATGCAAATGGAGTCGTTTTACATTTTTAAAGTAAAAACTTAAAAAAGCCATCTTTTAGTTTACAAAAAAAAAAAAGAAAAAAAAAAAAAAAAAAACTTAAAAAGCGAACAATCAAATGGAGTCGTTTGTACATTCTTAAAAAGTAATAAATTAAAAAAGCACATCCCTTTTAGTTTACAAAAAAAAAAAAAAGAAAAAAAAAAAAGAAAAAAACTTCCACACGAAGATTTGTCAATTCAAACCCAACCGACAGAAAAATAAATTCGTAATCTCCAAAGTATTATTCTAATTTCCTAAAAAAAAAAAAAAAAAAAAAAAAAAGAAAAAACTTCAACGAAGATTTGTCAATTCAAACCCACGAAAAATAAATCGGTAATCTCCAAAGTTATCTATTTCATCGAAAGACCAAGCAAAAAAGAGAAGGCAGCCAGATCGGAGAAATGAAGAAGAAAACTAACCTGAGGAAAGGTAGAGCTCTGAGCCCAAACGGTGCCGTCTTGTCCGATGATAGCAGCAGAAGTGAGGTGGTTGCCATCAATATCACACATCAAGTGCTCATCAACATACTGCTGCCACGACATCTTTGGCTTCGCTTGATCGAAACAGAGAGATAGAGAGAATTGAAGCAGCTCAAGCGAGAAGGAGATAAGAATAATAAGTTAGATATAGGAATTGAAGGAGAATCTCCTTCAGAAAGCAAAGCAGTATGGTTGCGTCAAAACTAAGCTCTTACTACAGTTGGTCGATGGTTACGCGCTTCCCTGCCGCGGACGCGGTGCACTGTCTTTTGTGGGTCCCTTCCTTCTATTTTCATTTTGTATGGGCTTCGATTTTGCTTTTAGGCCCAGTACCTAATTGTAATTGAACCCACTTGATCAAATTGAACGCAAAAAACCCATTGAACGTGCAGACAACTGGAAGCCCAACATGGGACGGAAACTTTTCCTCTCACTGAGACTGATATAGTGATAGGGATCACTTTCCTTTGTCTTTTGCGATCACAGCAAAACATTCTTTAGGTTGATTTCGAAATAAATTAATTTTATTTTTTTAGTAATTTTAGTATTTTTAGGTCTACTAGTTTTCCAATACAATAAAAATAATAAATTATCCAATTAATCAAGACTAGAATATATAATTTGTTCATGATCAGTCAATTAGTCGTGAGCTAAGCAGAGAACCATTTTATGATTTTAATACATATGTTACGGTAATCAGACATGGATTAAGATTAAAACTGATACAAACAAAGACTGAAAATGACAAACAAGAAAAGCTTAATTTAAAAAAAAAAAAAAAAAAAAAAAATTTAAAAAAAAAAAAAAAAAAAAAATCATTTTTAGGTTCCTATTGGTTCTACCATACTCTAAAAAAAAAAAAAAAAAAAAAATCATTTTTAGGTCCTATTGTTCTACATACTCTGTTTACACAAGAAGCATATATGAATGTACTTCAGAAATTGCAACAGCAAGGTGTCTTTGTAGCCTAATCTCCTATGAGTAATCAATTGAGAGTACTTTCTCTCGTAATTCTTTTCTTCTTCTTCCATGTCAAAGCTCAAAGTCCATCGAACCCGAGTTCCTATTCAGGTGTCCTCAAACCACTCCGTCCAAGTCTTGCAGTGGTCGTTGGCATAACCTCAATCATGCTTTCTGTAACATTTCTTGTTCTTGCTTATGCAAAATTCTGTCGTAGAAACAGAAATGATCATAGCGACAGAGATAACCAACATTTGAATGCTCTTATTCGGTCAAGGTCAAGATTTTCAGGCATTGATCGAGCTGTAATCGATTCACTTCCTTTCTTCAGGTTTTCTTCACTAAAAGGATCAAAACAAGGCTTAGAGTGTTCAGTTTGCTTATCAAGATTCGAAGAAACCGAAATTCTTCGATTATTACCTAAATGCAAGCATGCCTTTCACCAGAACTGCATCGACCAATGGCTTGAAAGTCACTCTAGTTGCCCTCTTTGCAGGTACAAATTCGACCCTGACAACGATCTCAAGAGTTTCAGCTATTCTAATAGAGACTTGCAGTACCGTAATCCTTCAAATTTAACTGATGATCCAAATCTTGAACTTTTTATTCAAAGAGAGGAAGATTACCGTCACAGCTCATCAAGATTTAATCTTGTAAGCAGCTCTCGAGGCAGCAGCAACAAACAAGAATTGTTACTTGCTGATCAGGAAAGTGATAATTATAATAACCAGCAGTTCTTGCATAAATTGAAGCACAAAATTATCGTCTCTGATGTTATTATCAAGAACCGGTGGAGTGATGTTAACTCTTCGGATTTGCTTTCTTTAAACTCAGAAATGCTTAGTGCTATTTCAAGCAACAGATTTTCCAATTCAAGATTCTATAACAGTAGTATTCTGTCAATGAATGAAGATATAGAAAAGATCAAAGAAGACATATTGGAGAGGAAAAGATTGTATCACTCCAAGATTTGTAGCAGTGAAAGAAGTAATTCTTTTTCAAGTTCATATAAGGAGGAAACATATTCGAAAATAATCAATCATGGAGAGAAGAGATCAATGTCTGAAATTACAATTTGTTCAAGATTTAAAGAGTTAAATACGAAGAGTAATAAAAGCAAAGAATTGGAAATATTGCCAAGGAATAGTGATAATAAGGAAGATGAGAAAAGGAGGCTTTGGTTACCTATAGTAAGAAGAACAGTTCAATGGTTTGCAGGTGAAGAAGGAAAGTACAAAAGACAAACATCAAATGTGTGATGATGATCTTAATTAGCTTCAAATTTTGTAAGGTTTTTGAATTTCTTAATGTTGCTTATATATTACAAATATTGTTAAAATATTTCAATTTTTGGGATCTTTGTAATTTTATTAGGAATTTTTAATTTTGATAAATTTATGTAATATCTTTGAAATTTTTTTTTTTTTTAGTTTTAAATTTTTTTAAGTGGCTATTTATGGAGTATTAATTATGTAATAATTGTTTCTAAATCATGATGCTGACATATCGACTTGCATCTTCGTGTTGTTTTTCAGCAAAAGAATCTATTAATTGCCGTTTCAAACTTTCCCCATTGCCTATTTGACTTGTTTTGATATTTTATTAGTTAATTTATTATTAATCTCTTAAGTTGGTAATAAGTCACTATCAGATTTGTATGTATTAGTCTTAGGTAGTGAACAAAATACCAATTAATACAATTAGGAGACATTTAATTTTTCCCATACACAAAAATCCATCTAATTTTTTACCTCATACAAAATAATTTTTTGAAGCTGTATCCCTAAAGTTCTATGAATTTATTAAAATACCCACATACATGCAAAAATTACCCGTATATTATTGGGGATATGTTATTAAAGAAAAATTTTTAATTAAAAATATAGTTTTAAAATAAATACTTAAAAAATGCATAATTTAATCACTTATATTTCTTCTTTTTTTTAATCCTCAATGTTGCAGTCAAAGCTTTTTCCGTGTAAAAACTTTTTTTTCAGACATCAGATCAATAACCAAAGATAAAAAGTTTAAACACTTATAATATAATTAACCCTATCATGAATTGATTAAAAAAAAAATCCACTTTCCAAAAAATGGTTAAATTTATAAGAAATTGAGCTACATAAATAGTAAAATCATAATCTAATAATCTATCGGTATACATGAACATAATTAACTAATTAATATTGAAGTATGGCCACTGACATGTTATGTTATTAATCTAGAGTCTATTCAGCAAAATTAATTGTTGTGGTAACGTTTAACTATTAACTGCTCGAATAACTTTTTTAATATTCTAAAAAGCTAAATATCACAAAAGTTAACCTTTTATATAACGCTACTTTAACCCGTAAAAACTAATTCAAATGCTAACGCTACGTTATCAAATATCACAAAAAATTCAAAACACTAAAAGCTACTCAAAAAGCTATTACAGAACACAATCTTATTGCTGATATAAAGATTCAATAATAAGGAAGCAAATTAATTAACAAGGCTACCTATCTAACCAATAAATTAAATCTAGAACTACATAATTACTACTTAATTAAATCTAATTAATTAAGTAATTAATACAAGTGGTAACCACCTTGGTCAGAGCTATCAACATCTGAATTACTAGTAGTCTCACAACTTCCTCTTTTAATAACCTTCATTTCTTCTAAGCGACTAATACTACTACTTGGGCTTTCATTTTTTCTCTTTTCCTTATTTCTTTTTCTCCATTCCCATTTCCTAACCAAATGTTTCGTGAACAAAAACCCTAAACCCACAAAAATTGCCATTGTGCTTCCTCCTCCTATACCCACCATTGCCACCAAAACCCACACCGCACCCCACCCTTGTCCATGTGGCAATATTGTCCACATGGCGGCAATGTAAGCGGCCGCCATGAATGAGGTGGACGCCCACATCACTTTATGTGTCACTGCCAATAATTTCATCATCGATCTTCGTCGAAAAGGGATAATGCTGACTAGGAAAATAACAACCCCTAGTGACAGAAACACGATCTTCGTCGAAAAGGGATAATGCTGACTAGGAAAATAACAACCCCTAGTGACAGAAACAGTGCTAGAATATTACATACCACGAAAACCTTAAAAGAAGTATGCATCCCCACCATACTTTTTCCTGTAGTTTGGTTAAACCCACCAGGCGGGTTTATGCCGGCTGCGAATGTAACAGTGGCAATCAAAACTGCGACGATAATAATTGTATTACGTGCATTACGTAGACCTTCGCTTTGGACTTCTAACTGTTTTTCCCGGCGGCGATGCTTGCAGCGGTGGTGGCGATGGATTACGTAGACCTTCGCTTTGGACTTCTAACTGTTTTTCCCGGCGGCGATGCTTGCAGCGGTGGTGGCGATGGTGATTGGGAGAATTTGGAGATGAAATTTGTACGTTATTAGAGGTGTTTCCTGTGTTTTGTATTTGTTGAATTTCTCTGGAAATTGGTGGCATTTGGTCACCTCTCTTGCCTCCTGCATCTAGTACTGCTGGTATAATCGCCAGCGCACCAGAGTTGCTGACGTCTGACTCAACTACGTCTAGTGCAGTTTGTCCCTTGCGGTTTATAACATTCACGTCGGCGTTCATTTTCAGTAGGTAGATCACCATCTGCTCTCAAATCAAATCAAAAGAGCAAAGGATACTGCAAGATTAGGGTTTCGATCTGTGAAAAAACACTAATGGGAGAGACAATCAAGAATCGAGAAACCAAACTACTCTCATGCTTAAAAAAGGAGTTATAGGTGAGAAAGAAAAAGAGACTCTCACAGTGCTAAGTTTTCCAGCAGTTGCTAGATGCAAAGCAGTATTGCCATCATTATCGGGCTTATTAATAAGCTCTGTGGTGTTGAGATTCTCCTTCAGGTACTTAATAGCATCAAACTGGTTGTTTTTAACTCCCAAATGAATGACTGTCTCTCCATTTTTTGTTATAATCTCAGCAGATTCAAGGCTGACTGATAGAATCTCGTCGATGATGCTGAGTCGGCCTTTGATTGCAGCCCAATGGAGAGGTGTACGGCCAATATTATCTTGTAAAGAAGAAAGGTCTGTATCAAATCTTAGCAATTCTCTGGTTGTCTCGAGATGGCCTTTGCTGCAAGCCAAGTGTAGAGGAGTGCACCCGTTCTTGTCCTTCTTCCATGCAAAATCTGGCCTTATTTTCAAGATTTCCTTAACAATTTCTGAGAGAGAGAGAAAAAAACATTATTTAGACATTACATGAGCAGGATTTATATATTATAGTATTCCAAAATGAAATTAACGATCATCAAAAAGGAAATTAAATTAAAGAAAAAGCAGTATTATTTTAATTAAAAAGAAAATTTCCCTGAAAATTATATTAAAAGACCAGAAAAAAAAAGGACAAAAGAAAAACTGATAACAATGACCGATCACTTAATTATGTTAAAACTCTTATGGTCCCGAATTCCAAACACTATTTGGCCTTACACGATATTTCCTTGGTTTCACACTATCATTGGCTGCCTACTTTTCTGCGCCGGCTATTAATTGTGTATTGTATGGATGGAGGAAGTCGGTGGAATCAGCTGCATTTTTCTACTTGCATTTTAAAAATGTTCTACTGTGCATGAGTAGGGATAGAAATTGAGCAGGTAGCTTATATAGCTTCCAGATTCATTTAAAAATTTATTTTAAAATATTAATATCTAAATCTGTTTAAAATTTTAATATTTATGTTCGTTCAAATTATTTAAAATAACATCTAAATTTACTTTAAACGGGTTGGAGCGGATTGAGTATCTTAAAAACTCACTCTGTTTATGTATTTAGTATCTCACCATATCCATTTAATATAAAATAAAACTAGTAAATATATAAAAAAATTAAAATAAATTTTAAATTCATAAATAAACTAAGAGAAACAAATAAAACTAGCAAATATCATAGAAATATTAAGATAATTTTTGAATTTGTAAAAATCATATTTCATATATAAATTAGGAGAAAAAAATTAAGTTATCTTAACTATATCCACATGTGAATTAAAAAATTCACAATATACATTCATAAATTAAAAATCTATTATAATATCATTAATATATAAAGTAAAAGTTCATCATAAACTACTAACTCTTCTTCTAAATTAATATTTGCTCCAATTCAACTTCCAAAATATAAGATAAAATGAAAAAACTTATTTTATTATAAATAATTTTTAAAAAATTTATATGTAATGGATATTTAAACGGGTACCGGTGATAGGTACCCGTAGCTTTAAACCCACACTCGATCTAAACTTAAACTAGATAGTAAATTTAATACTTGCACTCATCTTAAATGCATTTAATTAACATCAAATATGCTTTAAACGAGTTTTTACAAGTTAGATACGTGTGAAAACCGCCCTTCCATCCATATATATGTGAGTGGTGCGTTTCCTATCTAATATCTATACATCATCATTATCATGATCATCGTGGGAGTAGAATTACCTGTATGCCCTCCTAAAGCTGCAATGTGAAGAGAAGTAGTCAAGCTATCAACCTCCGACATGAGTAACCAATGAAAATTCAAGAGATAATTCACCACCTCAAGCTTCCCTCTTTCACAGGCCACAAACAGAGCACTTTCATTATCTCTGTTCACCTTATAAACCACCCAAGGATCAGTCTCTATCAACAGCTTCACCATCTCCAACTTCCCTTCTCTGCATGCTCCATGCAAAGGGGTCTCCATCTTCTCATTAACCTCAGACACCATCTCCGGCCTGAGCTTCACGATCTCTTTTCCCAATTCTAGATGCCCATGAAGCGCTGCTATGTGTAGAATCGTGTTTGATGACCCTGAAGGGATTTTTTGGTTAATTATGTTTTCATTTCCTTCAAATAGGCTAAGGAAGGTAAGCACATCGCCTTTCAGGACGATCTCTTGAAGTCCTCGGTCCATTTTCGAAGATTGAAAAGAGAGAAAGAGAGCTGAGAGAAACTAATGGAGGGAATGGCTTGTAGGGAAACAAAAGAAGAAGAAGAAGAATTGAAAAGAGAGAAAGAGAGCTGAGAGAAACTAATGGAGGGAATGGCTTGTAGGGAAACAAAAGAAGAAGAAGAAGAGGTTAATAATAATGGAGGAGGCATAAAGCAGAGCCCGCAAAGGCATTTCCATTCCACAATGGAAGAAACCATGAAGTTTCTCCGCAGTTACAATGTATGGGGTTAAGGGTCCTTATCATTTTTTTTTTTTTTTTTTTTTTTTATTTCTTATCATTGTTTTTTTTTTTTTTTTTTGAGAAAAGATTACTTATATTATCATTATCATTATTGTTATTAATTATTAGTTTATTCTGAATATATGTGAGTGGCCTCTATTAGTCATTGCGTGTACAATGGACATGATTTTTTTTATTTTTGAATTTTTTATAACTAGAATTTATTCTTTAGAATTAGTTTATGTGCTTATACTCAAAAAAATTAATTTATAATTTATTTATTCGAAATTTACCTTTAAGTGTTGAGATAGAAATCTAATCCTAATTAATTGAGAAAATGATAAGAAATTCATTATTTGCCTATTCATTAGTTTATTCTGAATATATGTGAGTGGCCTCTATTACTCATTGCATGGTCAATGGACATGATTTTTTTTTTTTTTTAATTTTTCATAACTAGAATATATTCTTTAGAATATATTGATTAGTTTAGAATTGTTCTTGGTAGGTTTTAATACTATTGTAACTCCATATAATATTTCTATATTTTTTACCCTATTTTGAGATGGACCGTCCATAATAGGCTGTGATATTTTTATCTGCAAATTGTATAATATTTATTGTGCATAATGTCTAATGGCGAAAAAAATTAAATATAAATTTCTTTTTCATTTAAAAATAGTTTAAAAAAAAGGTTTAAAAAAAAGGACAATTGAAGACTTTTCCCCGTTTACTTGGATTTGTAGTGAACCTGCCGACTCAGCGGGCTTGGGCCTGCAGCCCACTGAGTTCTAGTATTTAATCATGAGCATTAATGCGTTATTTTTATTATTATTCGTAACACACGGTAATACTAAAATAAATTTTAAAAACAAATTGCAATATTATATCATGTTTCTATTCTCCATCTATATATATATATATATATATATCCACAAAGTCCTAAGCTTAATTTCTATATTTTTAACCATTTAATATTTTTTTTTTCCTATTTTGAATTGCATTGTTCTAGGTAGGTTTAAATATTATTGTAACTCCTGTATAATATTTCTATATTTTTTACCCTATTTTGAGTTGGACCGTCCATAACAGGCTGTGATATTTTTATCCGCAGATTGTACAATATTTATTGTGCATAATGTCTAATGGCGAAAAAAGTTAAATATAATTTTTTTTTCATTTAAAAAAAGTTTTAATACAAGGACAATTGAAGACTTTTTCCCGTTTACTTGGATTTGCAGTGAACCTGCCAAACTCTCGGACTCAGCGGGCTTGGGCCTGAAGCCCACTGAGTTCTAGTATTTAATCATGGGCATTAATGTGTTATTTCTATTATTATTCGTAACACACGGTAATACTAAAATAAATTTTAAAAACAAATTGCAATATTATATCATGTTTCTATTCTCCATCTATATATATATATATATATATATTATAATATATATATATTATATATATATATATTATATATGATCCTGAATCAAAAAAAATTCTCAAAAACCTTACTCGGCACTTTCTCTTTTTTCTTTTTTTATAAATTTTCTTTTTTTTTTTCTAAAAAAATCTCCACAGAGTTGATGTGGCATTTTGTTCTTTGAGCTTTTTCTTTTTTCTTTTTTTATAAATTTTCTAATTTTATAAGTATTTTTTCTTTTTTTCAGCATTTTATTTTCATTGGATAATCTTTCTAAATGTTTTCAGATAATAATTAATTATAATAATTAATTATATCTATTTAATAATCATGATCATGTTTGAAACTTAAATAATACAAACTACTTAAATCAAATTTTGAAATCTAATCATTATTCATTCATATTATATATAAGCTCCTTAAATATTTTAGCTGTTCAATTGCAAAAGAAAACAAAAGAAGCATAGTAAGTAACAGAGTTTCAAGTTCAAATATCTTAATCTATGATTGCTAATGATTCTTTTATTAATTATTTTTTATTTTTTAATTATAAATATTGGTGTTAAGTTTTAGTATTATAGATTTTTGCCTTATTTTTGTTCTTTCACTCTCCTTTCAATCCTTTTAGGCCGCAAGCAAGAGGATAAAGAACTACCAAATCTGGATACAAGCTTCTCTTTTTTTTTCTTTTTTTTCTTTTTTTTTTTTTTTTTTTTTTATTTTTTTTTTTTTTTTTTTTTTTTTTGAGGATTAAATTGTTTTTATTGTTGTTTCATAAAAATATAATTTTATAATTATGGTAAATTGTGATCAATTAAATTTGATATATATATATATATATATTTATCCTTTTTGAGCTTCTCAATGCAATGGGAACAAGATACTGTAATCTGAAAGGTTAGCTTCTTAATCAGTTTATTTTCATTTTCTTATGTTAATACAGTGTATAATAAACCAGCTCATCATTTAGCTTATCTTGCTTTGAGAGATGATACGGGCTAGAAAGTATGGGTGGAAGAATGTCCTTCATCTATTGCTGTGTCTGATAAGTTGGCCTTGCTTTATAAAATTAGTAGTTTCATTCTAAAAAAAATTCTAAAAAAAAAAAAAAAAAAACATAATATATAGTATATAAATTATTTTTATTTATTAATATTCACAAATTCAGTTTACTAATTAAATAATTTATAAAACATTATCATAAAGAGTTCTCAAGCTATCCTTTATTATTATTATTATTATTATTATAATAGATATATATATATATATAATATTATATATATTAATATATAATATAATATATAAAAAGTTACCTTATCATTTATTCATTCAATAAAATACATTTTTAAAAATAACAAAAGAATTTGATAATTCAAAATAAATACATTTATAAATAAATATATTTAAGAAATAAAAAGGAATTGAAATACCTTATCATTTGTAGTTAAAACAATATTCTTGTAATTTAAATTTTATCTAAATATTCAAAAATTATATTTAAGGAATCAAATTTTCAAAATTAATATTTATTAACAATAATTATTTATATCTATTTTCAAGTTTGAATTATTAGATGACTTAAAAATTTAAAATAATTAACATATTCATATTTAAATATTTGATTTTTTTTTTTTAGTTTAGAATGAATTGTTTAATTTTTTGTATCCATTTATTTATAATAATTATATATTTATTATTATCATCTTTATGGATAGGATTTTTTTAGTATGTTTTTCAAATTTATAATTCTACAAAAATAATTTAACTAATACTTCTTGTCTAGAACTTTTGTATTTTATATATTTACCCCATTTTAGTTTATATATATATATATATATATTGTCTAAGACTTTTGTATTTATGTATTTACCCTATTTTAGTTTGTTTTATATATACAATAATATTATATTTTTTATTATGTATTTACCCTATTTTAGTTTATATATACATATATTATATTTTTATTTACTTCTTCATTTATCTGAAGTTGCAAGTTATTTTTTAAAAAATATTTTTTTATATGTACAGTAAAAAAGTAACTTCAAATACAATGTACAATAATAAAATAAAAAAACAATCTGCGCAACGCGCATGCTTTCACTTAATTATGAAAAAAAAAAAAAGGCTAAAACAAACAAAACTAAAGTCTAATTAGTATTGTTTCTTCATCATCGTCAAATATACCCAACTGTTTTTTGAACAGTAGATGACACTACCACAGCAACCAAACAACTATCCATCTTATAGTTATGTCGAGCCAATGGAAGAGTGCACATTTTTAATTCTCTACTAATTGATATAACCAACCGGTACCAATATGTCCTCCCTTGTTTATTATTTTCCTTCTTCAATTTAATGCTTGGCTACCACTTGAAAGTATTTTATTTATTTATTTCTGGTAATTAATTTTCAAAATCTTTTCTTTAGTTGAATTCTTTTTTCTATAAGTATTTTTCATGTCATTTTCATACGAGGCTAATTTCCCGACTACCTATGTTTTTCTACGGATTAAAACTCTTAACTTTATAAAGATTCTTCCCTAAACTAAAATCTATTTTCTATTCATTTTTTAATTAGTTTCTTTATGTCATTAAGAATAAAAGTATACAAGATATAATATTATAAACAATTAAAATTTATAATTAAATAGTGTTAAGTTAGTAAGTGAATAAGGAACTTTCGATGGATAAGATGAGATGCACGAGTCCTTTCTTCCTTAACTACAAGTTTTAAATTGAAATTTTGAATACAAAATCTCTTTAAACACTCGAAAGATGGCATTTTTCTTTTCTGTTTGGGCATTCTTAATGCGAATTTGAATTCATTTTAAAATTGGATTTCAAACACTAGATGGCTAAATCAAAAAAAAAAATATATTAAGTGAATGAGTACTGAGGAAATGAAGAAACAACATGTGAGAATTACTTCCATTTGCCTTGTCTAAGGCTGAGAAAAGTTTGGTTAAGATGGAAAAGTCGATCTGATTAATTAAGTTCGGTTTTTAGGTTCAATTATTTGAATATCAATGTGGTTTAGTTTGAAATTTTAAATATTTTCGGTCTCGATGTTTAGTTCAATTATTCAAGATATGTGATTTTATAACAAAACCTACTGGAATTTATGTGATTTTAGACCAAACCTACTGGAATTAACTGAACCAACCTAGACCGAATTGAAAAGTTTTGTTGGATTCCAAATAAATTTCATTTTGGCTTCAGTTTAAGAAAAAAAAGTGAAGTTCGGTTTTTTTCGTTTCGGAAGACTGAACCACTGGTTGGACACCCCTATCTGCCCCTGTCCTACACATGGGCCAAATTTCTAAGAGCTATTCATAATGGAAAAAACTTACCTAGACTTATCTATGTTCCCACCTATGGACCAAACTAATGAAATTCAATATTTTTATTGAATCGAAAGTATTTCTGATTATACACTTAGAGAAAAAAGAATAAAGTCGAAATACTTTTTAAAAAATATTAAATTTTATTAATTTGATCTATAAATGAAGATATAAATTAAATTTAGATATGGGTTTTAGAACGAGAATAGACGCTATAGTAACACAAAACAAAGACACGGAAGGGGCCTCGTTCTCTATGTTGGAACTATATGCTAGTGAGGGTTCAGAATCAGATGGTCCAATACACATTGCATGGTGATGTGTCTTCCAGCACCTATCAATAGGTTACTGGGTTAATTAGCCATTGTGCAGGACAGTGCTTGTTTCAATGTTGGTCCCTCATCTTGATCTGATGATGGCCAGGTTCACAAGGCTACCTATCTAACCAATAAATTAAATCTAGAACTACATAATTACTAATTAATTAAATCTAATTAATTAAGTAATTAATACAAGTGGTAACCACCTTGGTCAGAGCTATCAACATCTGAATTACTAGTAGTCTCACAACTACCTCTTTTAATAACCTTCATTTCTTCTAAGCGACTAATACTACTACTTGGGCTTTCATTTTTTCTCTTTTCCTTATTTCTTTTTCTCCATTCCCATTTCCTAACCAAATGTTTCGTGAACAAAAACCCTAAACCCACAAAAATTGCCATTGTGCTTCCTCCTCCTATACCCACCATTGCCACCAAAACCCACACCGCACCCCACCCTTGTCCATGTGGCAATATTGTCCACATGGCGGCAATGTAAGCGGCCGCCATGAATGAGGTGGACGCCCACATCACTTTATGTGTCACTGCCAATAATTTCATCATCGATCTTCGTCGAAAAGGGATAATGCTGACTAGGAAAATAACAACCCCTAGTGACAGAAACAATGCTAGAATATTACATACCACGAAAACCTTAAAAGAAGTATGCTTCCCCACCATACTTTTTCCTGTTGTTTGGTTAAACCCACCAGGCGGGTTTATGCCGGCTGCGAATGTAACGGTGGCAATCAAAACTGCGACGATAATAATTGTATTACGTGCATTACGTAGACCTTCGCTTTGGACTTCTAACTGTTTTTCCCGGCGGCGATGCTTGCAGCGGTGGTGGCGATGGGGATTGGGAGGATTTGGAGATGAAATTTGTACGTTATTAGAGGTGTTTCCTGTGTTTTGTATTTGTTGAATTTCTCTGGAAATTGGTGGCATTTGGTCACCTCTCTTGCCTTCTGCATCTAGTATTGCTGGTATAATCACGAGCGCTCCAGAGTTGCCGACGTCTGACTCAACTACGTCTAGTGCAGTTTGTCCCTTGCGGTTTATAACATTCACGTCGGCGTTCATTTTCAGTAGGTAGATCACCATCTGCTCTCAAATCAAATCAAAAGAGCAAAGGATACTGCAAGATTAGGGTTTCGATCTGTGAAAAAACACTAATGGGAGAGACAATCAAGAATCGAGAAGCCAAATTACTCTCATGCTTAAAAAAGGAGTTATAGATGAGAAGAAAAAGAGAGTCTCACAGTGCTAAGTTTTCCAGCAGTTGCTAGATGCAAAGCAGTATTGCCATCATTATCGGGCTTATTAATAAGCTCTGTGATGTTGAGATTCTCCATCAGGTACTTAATAGCATCAAACTGGTTGTTTTTAACTGCCAAATGAATGACTGTCTCTCCATTTTTAGTTATAATCTCAGCAGATTCACGGCTTACTGATAGAATCTCGTCGATGATGCCGACCCGGCCTTTGATTGCAGCCCAATGGAGAGGTGTACGACCAATGTTATCTTGTAAAGAAGAAAGGTCTGCATCAAATCTTAGCAATTCTCTGGTTGTCTTGAGATGGCCTTTGCTGCAAGCCAAGTGTAGAGGAGTGCACCCGTTCTTGTCCTTCTTCCATGCAAAATCTGGCCTTATTTTCAAGATTTCCTTAACAATTTCTGAGAGAAAAAAAAAAAAAAAAAACATTATTTAGACATTACATGAGCAGGATCTATATATTATAGCATTCCAAAATGAAATTAACGATAATCAAAAAGGAAATTAAAATTAAGAAAAAGTAGTATTATTTTAATTAAAAAGAAAATTTAACATTATTTAGACATTACATGAGCAGGATCTATATATTATAGCATTCCAAAATGAAATTAACGATAATCAAAAAGGAAATTAAAATTAAGAAAAAGTAGTATTATTTTAATTAAAAAGAAAATTTCCCTGAAAATAGGGTGTGAAAGCATGATTGTGGTGGCAACTGCAAACAATTGAACTAAAAAGAATTATGTTAAAAAACCAGAAAAAAAAAAAGAAAAAAAAAGAAAAATTGATAACAATGGCCGATCAATGATAATTAAGTTCCAGGTCCATCCAAAAACGAAAAGGAAAATTGTTATGAACCCAAATTCCAAATACTTTTTGGCCTTACACGATATTTTCTTGGTTTCACACTATAATTGGGTGCTTACTTTTCTGCGCCAGCTATTAATTGTGTACTGTGTCTGTATGGATGGAGGCAGTCGGTGGAATCCAGCTGCATTCTTCCAAGTACATTTTAAAAATGTTTTGAACTGTTTTTAGTCAAAACTCATAATTCATACCCTTTATTTACTGTGTGCATCAGTGCATGAGTAGGGATAGAGATTGAGCAAGTTGCTTATATCGCTTCCAAATTGATTTAAAAATTTCTTTTAAAATATTAATATCAAAATCTGTCTAAAATTTTAATATTTATGCTCGTCCAAATTATTTAAAATAATATTTAAATTTACTTTAAACGGATTGGGGTGAATTGAGCATCCATAAAACTCACTCTGTTTATGTATTTAGTATCTCACCAGATTCATTTAACATAAAATAAAACTAGTAAATATATAGAAAAATTAAAATAAATTTTAAATTCATAAATAAACTAAGAGAAACAAATAAAACTATTAAATATCATAGAAATATTAAAATAAGCTTTGAATTTGTAAAAATCATATTTCATAAATAAATTAGGAGAAAAAAATTTAGTCATCTTGATTATATCCACATGTGAATTAAAAAATTCACAACATACATTCATAAATTAAAAATCTATTATAATATCATTAATATAAAGTAAAAGTTCATCATGAACTCCTAGCTCTTCTGCTAAATTAATATTTGCTCCAATTCAACTTCCAAAATATAAGACAAAATGAAAAAAACATATTTTATTATAAATAATTTTTAAAAAATTTATATATAATGAATATATTATTGGGTGATAGGTAGCGGTAGCTTTAAACCCACACTGGATCTAAACTCAAACTAGATAATAGATTTAATATTTCCACTCATCTTAAATGCATTTAATTAATATCAAATATGCTTTAAATGAGTTTTTACAAGTTAGATAATTGTGAAAACGGCCCTTCCATCCATATATATGTGAGTGCAGATATATACATCATCATCATCATGATCATCATTGGAGTATAATTACCTGTATGCCCTCCTAAAGCTGCAACGTGAAGAGAAGTAGTCAAGCCATCAACCTCCGACATGAGTAATCAATGAAAATTCAAGAGATAATTCACCACCTCAAGCTTCCCTCTTTCACAAGCCACAAACAAAGCACTTTCATTATCTCCGTTCACCTTATAAACCACCCAAGGATCAGTCTCTATCAACAGCTTCACCATTTCCAACTCCCCTTCTCGGCATGCTCCATGCAAAGGGGTCTCCATCTTCTCATTAACCTCAGACACCATCTCCGGCCTGAGCTTCACGATCTCTTTTCCCAATTCTAGATGCCCATGAAGCGCTGCTATGTGGAGAATCGTGTTTGATGACCCTGAAGGGATTTTTTGGTTAATTATGTTTTCATTTTCTTCAAATAGGCTAAGGAAGGTAAGCATATCGCCTTTCAGGACGATCTCTTGAAGTCCGCTAAGGAAGGTAAGCATATCGCCTTTCAGGACGATCTCTTGAAGTCCTCGGTCCATTTTCGAAGATTGAAAAGAGAGAAAGAGAGCTGAGAGAAACTAATGGAGGGAATGGCTTGTAGGGAAACAAAAGAAGAAGAAGAAGAACAAGAAGAGGTTAATAATAATGGAGTAGGCATAAGGCAGAGCCCGCAGAGGCATTTCTATTCCACAATTGGAGAAACCATGAAGTTTCTCTGCAATTACAATGTATGGGGTGTCTTACATTTTTTTTTTTTTTTTTTTGAGAAAAGATTACTTATATTATCATTATCATTATTGTTATTAATTATTAGTTTATTCTGAATATATGTGAGTGGCGTGAGTGGCCTCTATTAGTCATTGCGTGTACAATGGACATGATTTTTTTTATTTTTGAATTTTTTATAACTAGAATTTATTCTTTAGAATTAGTTTATGTGCTTATACTCAAAAAAATTAATTTATAATTTATTTATTCGAAATTTACCTTTAAGTGTTGAGATAGAAATCTAATCCTAATTAATTGAGAAAATGATAAGAAATTCATTATTTGCCTATTCATTAGTTTATTCTGAATATATGTGAGTGGCCTCTATTACTCATTGCATGGTCAATGGACATGATTTTTTTTTTTTTTTAATTTTTCATAACTAGAATATATTCTTTAGAATATATTGATTAGTTTAGAATTGTTCTTGGTAGGTTTTAATACTATTGTAACTCCATATAATATTTCTATATTTTTTACCCTATTTTGAGATGGACCGTCCATAATAGGCTGTGATATTTTTATCTGCAAATTGTATAATATTTATTGTGCATAATGTCTAATGGCGAAAAAAATTAAATATAAATTTCTTTTTCATTTAAAAATAGTTTAAAAAAAAGGTTTAAAAAAAAGGACAATTGAAGACTTTTCCCCGTTTACTTGGATTTGTAGTGAACCTGCCGACTCAGCGGGCTTGGGCCTGCAGCCCACTGAGTTCTAGTATTTAATCATGAGCATTAATGCGTTATTTTTATTATTATTCGTAACACACGGTAATACTAAAATAAATTTTAAAAACAAATTGCAATATTATATCATGTTTCTATTCTCCATCTATATATATATATATATATATATCTATATATATATATTAATTATAGTATTATATATATCATGTTTCTATTTCCATTTCCATATAGTGATATATATATTAATATATATTGTTTGTGTAATCCTTGGAATTAAGAAAATCTCCAAAAACTCTTACTCAACACTCTCCTTTTTCTTTTATTTACCACATCCTTTTTTTATTATATATACATACATAAAATTCAGCAGAAAAGCTGATGTGACATTCTGGTTGATTGAGCTTTCTCTCTCCTCTCCTTTTTTTTTTTTATTAAATTTTCTAATTTTATAATTTATTTTTTTATTCTTTTTTCAGCATTTATTTTCATTGGATAATTCTTTTCTAAATTTTCAAATAATAATTAATGTATTATCTATTTTAATGATATATATATTAAATAGTCCATATATAAATTTATCCTTTTTGTTTTACTGTAAGTTTTTATATATATCTAACAACATTATTTAGCTTCTCAATGTAATGGGAACAAGATACTGGAATCTGAAAGGTTAGCTTCTCAATTCAGTTAATTTTCGTTTTCTTATGTTAATAGAGTGTATAACAAATCAGCTCATCTTGCTTTGAGAGATGATACGAGCTAGAAAGTATGGGTGGAAGAATGTCCTCCATCTGTTGCTGTGTCTGATAAGTTGGTAATTGCCTTATAATAAGAGCAGTAGTTCCATTCTATATATATATATATAATAACATTGTTTTTTTTTTATTAATATTTCACAAATTAGTTTACTATTATATTTATAAACATTATCATAAAGAGTTCTATATCTGGAAAAGTAAGTTTGTTAGATTTTAAAAATTAAAAAATTGAACAAAATTAATTTAAAAATTACTTTAAACAAACTTATTAATTATTTGTTTTTATATATTATATATAATTTTGTTGATTTATTTATTATTTATAAAATTTAAATATATTTATATTTTAAATTTTTTTTTAATTTATCCTTTTTCATTTTATCTATATTCCTTTGATTAATCAATATTATCTTATCTTATATATACATCTTTCTAAAATAATATATTTATATTTTAAATTTTTTTTTTAATTTTATCCTTTTTTTCATTTTATCTATATTCCTTTGATAATCAATATTATCTTATCTATATATACATCTTCTTTGATTTATTTGATTTAAAATTAATAAATGTTATGAAGAATTATGTAGATTTCAGGATTATTTTTACCACTATTCAAATGGAATATATTTTCTACCTTTTATTTTTTATTTATCTTTAAATAATATTGTCTATAATATAAATTATTTTCTTTAATCATATATATTTTTAAATTTTATATATAATTAAAAAAATATAAATAGAGTTAATATCTAACTCTATTTTTCTGTATTCTACATCTACTATATATCTTTTTATATTTTTATATTTTTTTTAAAGAATCTATATTGAATTTGAACTTCACTATTGAATAATAAGAGTTAGGATTTACAAGATTTAAAAATAATTGAATTTAAAAGGCAAGAATTAATTGATAAGTTTGGATGTGATCCTTATTGATAAGAAAATATTTGGTGTCTTTCTAAATTTTGAAATTAGTTTAATAATTTAATTTTACTTTTTTCAATTCTTGATTTCATTTTATTTTATTTAATGGCAAGAAAAATGATTCATACTACCATTTGAAATCATTAAATTAAAGCTTATGTTGGATAAGGGAGCATATTCACAAAAAGAAGTTTTTCAAGAAATTGATAATTAAAAATATTGACTCCAAAATGCTAAAATAAATAATTATTGTCTCACGCATTTTGTTGATAAATTTAATTTTTCAATTCTCATCTCTAAATGTATCTATCTTTCGAATGGAATTAAACTTTTAGATTGGCAAATATTTTAATTTATATTATAAAAGAAGCTATATAAACTAGAAATAATATGAATTAAATATAAATTATAAATTAAATCATAAATTATAATGTGTATCAATAAGAAAATCCACGCGTTTACCTAGTTACAATCTATTTTAGATTTTTTTTTATTTTATTTCATTATTCAATAAAATAAAATGATATAAAATATCAATAAAAAATTTATACATATGTTTCAATAATTTTACTTTGACTTGTTACTAATAATATAATTTCTCTATCAACAATTAAAATATACTAATAATTATTTATTATTTTACACACCAAAGGATAGCCTAATGGTAAGGTCATATATGACTTGACAATAGATTCAAATCCACTCTCTCAATATTTAAAAAAAAAAAAAAATGCTTTATTATTTTAACACTTTATAAGAAAAAGCTAATTTATAAATACTTTTTGAATTAATTAATTTTAAGAAGGTTGATTGATTTTAAAAAATCAAATTAATTAATAGCTTATAGGAAAAAGCTATGATTAAGCTGATAGAGATTTGAACAAATATTTCTAAATGTTTAAAGAGTAAACATAAAATTCAACCGATTGTTGACCATTCTTTTTATAGATTCTTAAATTGATACATTACACAATGATTTTATTTTTTTTTTAAAAAAAGGCTAAGATCTATTATTATATATATTTTTTAAAAAATGATCTAATTATATTTGGCCAAATACATAAATTATCCCTGAAAATTAACAAATTAACCTTAAAGCACCCTCGACCTTACAGTGGACTAATTATGCACCTGCATATAAAATAGTTTGCACCAATTAGACACATTTTCGTGATGGCAACCGCGCGTGTATTACAATTTCGACTCACTCGTCTGATGAGCTATTGTTTAAAGTTTTGGTGGGTTCCTGAAGCCAAGTATGCAATGTAAATATGCTTGGGCATGGTGTGTAATTCTGTGCAAATTAGAGGGTAAAGAGAGGGCTAAAAACATGATTTTTATTAAAGAGGACCCAGATCGTCCATCTTTCTCAAGTTTATATCTTTCTTTTCTTTTTCAGAATAATTCATAAAAAAAAATTATAGATTTAATTATGCATTTCATGATTACATCAAAATAAATAAATAAACTAATAGTTTTTTGGCGTTTCCTTGCCCATATATAAGCATGCAAACAAACAACAAATATTTATCAAAATTTAAAATTGAAAATATTAACAAAAATTATTTATCAAGTTAAAAACACAAGAATATAGCTTTCTCGTTAACAAACCACAGCCTTTCAAATATTGTACATTTCAAAAAGCTTTTCGTTTATAGCATTTTAAATATCCAAAAGAACTGTAGAAATTTAAATCCGAGACAAAGCGACATAGCTCGCGAACCATTTGGTCGACGAGTCCTGAGGGTGCCATAAGATTAATTTGTCAAAAAGGGCAATTGGCTAATAAAACTAAATTTTGTTTTGAGCCTTCAAAAGAGAAAAAAAAAAATTGCTGAGAACAGGAGAGACGCAGTTGTATAATTATGTGACCTCAAGAAGCACTTTCATAAACGGGGATAACGTAAAAACGTGGCGTAAACTGATTGGCCAGAACCTACCCAATCACGGACATAGATCTCCTGCTGATTCAATCGCTGACTGTGCCTGCTCCTATAAAACTGGACCACGAACCAACGGTGATCTACTCTGACATGGCACACATCCTTCTTAATCATACACGATCTAGATGCGAATCAACGATGATGGTGGACGATCATCATCAAAAGATCTTAATTAATCAGTTACATTATTGTGTTATATGCGACAATTATATTAACCAAAACATTAGTCCTTACCATAGATTTTCTTCTTTCTTTTTTAGGATATTCAAATTCTCAGTGCAAAGCCAAAACAAGTGAAAGCAAACTTAACAATAGTTTAGGGTAATGGTGACGAGGACGAGGACGACGAAGGTGACCATCATTTTTTAATTGTTAACAAATATATAATAATATAGATCATTACAATGTTTGTAAAGTGAAGGAGATTTCAGAAGACTGGAAATTTCAGTTATTTTTCTTTATTTTCCAGTGAGTGAAAGCAAGAGAGAAGAAAAATGGAGGTTGGGTTCTTGGGGTTAGGGATAATGGGGAAGGCCGTGGCCACTAATTTGATGAAGAGTGGTTTCAAGGTCACTGTTTGGAACAGGACTCTCACTAAGGTAATGTTCTTCTACTTGTTATTTTAATCTTTTGTTTTTGAAGATTTTATTTATTGATAAATGGGTATTTGTAGTGTAATGAACTGGTAGAGTTTGGTGCTTCCATTAGAGAAAGTCCTGCTGTTGTGGTCTAGAAATGTAAGATTACTATTGCTATGTTGTCTGATCCTGCTGCTGCACTATCGGTTTGTAGTACTGTCACCCAATCTTGGTATTTATTTATTTCCTTTGAGAAATATAAATATAATTTTTATTTATTTATTTATTTATTTTGTAGTTACTGTCACCGAATCTTGGTATTTTATTTATTTCCTTTGGAGAAATATAAAATATAATTTTTATTTATTTATTTATTATAATATAAATATAATATTTATTTATTTATTTTTATTTTTCCATTTATATCAAAAGAGAATTCTCTTTACTATTGCAGTGTATATATACACATTAAATTCAATAAATACATTTTAAAATAACAAAAGAATTTGATAAATTAAAAAAAAAGAAATTAAGATATCTTATCATTTATAGTTAAAATAATATCTTGTCATTTAAATTTAAATTTTATTATCCAAATATTAAAAAATTATATCTAAAGAATCATATTTTTAATTTTCATTAACAAAAATTATCTATATCTAGATTTCAAGATTGAATTTTTATTTTTTCATTTGATCACTTAAAAAACTTTTTAATTTGAAAAATTATTATTTATTTAAAATAAATAACTATATTTATATTTGAATTTTTAATTTTTTGTATCCATTTATTTATAATAGTTATATATTTATTACTATCGTCTTTATAGATGAAATTTTCTTGCATGTTTTTCAAATTTATAATTCTAGAAAAATAATTTAACTAATACTTATTGTCTAAGACTTTTGTATTTATGTATTTACCATATTTTAGTTTATATTCAGCTGATGTGTTTACAAATGATAATGTATTACTTTTATATTTACAAGACATGATACTAGTGTACATTTATTTAATATATACAAGACATTACACTATTTTCCAAAATGAAATGGGCCCAACTATGTGCCCTGTACATGCCACAAAACTAAAATATCAAAATGAGTAGTTACCCTGAAGACTAGATAAAGATGAACTGCAGGAGTTGTAAAGATGACTCTCTACGGTCCAGACCCAAAACCTGTGAGTTAAAACAGGTAACTCGCTGAGCAAATAAAGCTCAGTGATATCTCAACTTAATAAGAATTAAATAAATAAGCATGTAAGCACATATATCATTATACTTTCATGGTCTTACCTGCTGTTCATTATGCTGTATGAATATACCTTGATTTCTTTGTAGCTGTTATAATACTGTATGATTCATGAAATGTTATGTCAGATATCTGTAATTGCTCCATTTAGTTATAGTGAACCGAAAGTGATAAGAAAAACTGTATGAAACTGATGAATACTGTTGAATGCTTGGCTGCTTATGGGCCCATAAATAATCATATCCACTCAACGGGCTGTAAGCCGAGTATCAAACTGTATGGGTGCAGATCTGCTATCCCTAGTCGCGACATAGCCCTTATAATGTTTCTACCTACTTCAATGGAGCCTAATGTTGTTTAAGCATAATGTTGGTATGTCAATAATATAACACAACATCATATTCATAGTTCATAACTTCATAAATCATAATGTTTATTTGATTTCACATCATTTGCGTGCTTGCATGTTGTTTTAATACATAATTTAATGTTGTATTTTGGTATTAAGATGATTGGAGGCATATAAGTGAAGCAAAGGAATACAATTGCATTGAAAAAGAAGTCCAAAGGTGCATGAAAACACAAGTCGCGAGCGCGCCTTGCAAGGTCGCGAGCGCGTAAAGTACCAGATGAGAGACAGTGAGTTATCGGGCACAAGTCGCGAGCGCAGTGCAAGTCGCGAGCGCGTATGGGTTATCGGGCACAAGTCGCGAAGCGCGCAGGTGCAAGTCGCCGGAGCGACAGGCCAAGGGCCAAGTACGCGAGCGCGTACTTCAAAGTCGCGATCGCGAGAAGTGCCAAATGAGAGTCAGAGAGTTTTCGGTGAAAGTCGCGAGCGCGCATTTGAAAATCGCGAGCGCGAGAAGGCAACGAGAGCTCGTCATGCGATTCGCACGCGCGCTTCGCGTTTTCCAGCCTGCATAGTCTGTACTCTTTTGGTCATATCTCTCAATTTACGACTCCGATTTGGATGATTCAAAAACCCATGTAAAGCTAACACATAGAGGAACAAATAACGCTTCTATGACACTTCCTAATTCCATCATTAAATGAGGTCAAAATCAAGATGAATCACTGTAAAAATTTCCAGCAATCCTGTTTCAACATAACTCCAATATTTACTTCATTTCATCACTTCCTTCCCTGTTCCCCCTGTTTCTTCACCATACCAGTCCGCCACTCAACATGAAGCCAATATATTGTCTCATTATCAACACACCACACAAATTCTCATGTGCCAAAGGAAAATGTAAATTGAAAAAGAGATATTCAAAACCTTTACTCCAAAAAGCTTGTGAGCTTTTTCTTTAGCTTCTTTTTCTACAATCTTTTGAACTCCCTTCTCCTATACACATTCAAATTTCTTATTACTTATCACAATTATAGCTCAAGTAGAAGGTGAATAACATAAAAAGCTCAGGTATTCTACTTTACTTTGGAGAAAAATTGAGGTTGCCCTTTAAACAGAAAAGCATATACATGGAAAATGGATGGAGAAAGAAGAGATGAAGAAGATGAAGTAAAGATGAAAATGGGGAAAAGTTGAAAATGTTGAGCACGGTTAGACCATCAAAATATCAAGACAATGATGTGAAATTGATGTGAAACTTACTAAATAGTACCTCAAGTGGAAAAAGGCTATAACTTAATACCCAAGCTTGATCTTTTAATGCAAATAAATCCTCACCCACATACTTTGATCTTTCTCTCTCAATCAAGTAAGTCCACTTGTAATCCCATTCTACCCCAACCGGGTTTGGCTTGGCCCGACTCAACTCGACTTTATGAAAAGACTCGACTCAGTACTAAGACTCGACTCGGTAGGATGTCACATGAATAGTTTAATTTTTTGCATCCATTTATTTATAATAATTATATATTTATTATTATCATCATTATAGATGAATTTTTTTATATGTTTTTCAAATTTATAATTCCACAAAAATAACTTAACTAATACTTATTGTCTAAGACTTTTGTATTTATGTATTTACCCTATTTTAGTTTTATATATATATATTTATTTTATTTATTTATGTTACATTCTTCATTTTATATATATTTATTTATTTATTTATTTACTTCTTCATTTATCTGAAGTTGCAAGTTATTTTTTTAGAAATATTTTTTTTATATGTACAGTAAAAAAGTAACTTCAAATACAATGTATAATAATAAAGTAAAAAGGCAATCCGTGTAACGTGCAGGCTTTCACCTAATCATGATAAAAAGACTAAAACGACCAAAACTAAAGTCCAATTAGTATTGTTTCTTCATCATCATCAAATATACCCAACTGTTTTTTGAACAGTAGATGACAGTACCACAGCAACCAAACAACTATCCATCTTATAGTTATGTCGAGCCAATGGAAGAGTGCACATTTTTAATTCTCTACTAATTGATATAACCAACCGGTACCAATATGTCCTCCCTTGTTTATTATTTTCCTTCTTCAATTTAATGCTTGGCTACCACTTGAAAGTATTTTTCATATCTTTTTCATACGAGTTAAAACTCTTAACTTTATAAAGATTCTTCCCTAAACTAAAATCTATTTTCTATTCATTTTTTAATTAGTTTCTTTATGTCATTAAGAATAAAAGTATACAAGATATAATATTATAACCAATTAAAATTTATAATTAAATAGTGTTAAGTTAGTAAGTGAGTAAGGAACTCCTGAGGGATAAGTTTAAATGCATGAGTGCTTTCTTCTTTAATAACAAGTTTTAAATTGGAATCCTAGATACAAAATCTCTTTAAATACTCGAAAGATGACATTTTGCTTTCCTTTTTAGATCTTCCTAATGCGAATTTGAATTAATTGTAAAATTGGATTTTAAACACCAGATGGTTAAATAAAAAAATATATTAAGTAAATGAGTACTGAGGAAATGAAGAAACAACATGTGAGAATAACTTCCATTTGCCTTGTCTAAGGGGGAGGAAGTTTGGTTAAGACGTGAGAATTACTTCCATATGGAAAAATCGATCTGATTAATTAAGTTTGGTTTTTAGGTTCAATTATTTGAATATCAATGCGGTTTAGTTTGAAATTTTAAATATTTTCGGTCTCGATGTTTAGTTCAATTATTCAATATATGTGATTTTATACCAAAACCTACTGGAATTTATGTGATTTTAGACCAAACCTACTGGAATTAACTGAACCAACCTAGACCGAATTGAAAAGTTTAGTTGGATTCCAAATAAATTTCATTTCGGCTTCAGTTTAAGAAATCAAGTGAAGTTCGGTTTTTTTTTGTTTCGGAAGACTGAGCCACCGGTTGCACACCCCTATCTGCCCCTTTCCCGCGCATGGGCCAAATTTCTAAGAGCTAACGATAATGGAAAAAACTTACCTAGACTTGATTTATGTTCTCACTTATGGACCAAATTAATAAAATTCAATATTTTTATTGAATTGAAAGTATTTCTGATTATACACTTGAAGAAAAAAAATCGAAATATTTTTTTAAAAATATTAAATTTTATTAATTTGATCCATAAACGAGAATATGGATTAAATTTAGATAAGCGTTTTAGAACGAGAATAGACGTGACAGTATCACAAAACAAAGACACGAAAGGGGCCTTGCTCCCTTTGTTGGAACTATATGCTAGTGAGGGTTCAGAATCAGATGGTCCAATACACATTGCATGGTGATGTGTCTTCCAGCGCCTATCAGTAGGTTACTGGGTTAATTAGCCACTGTGCAGGACAGTGCTTGTTTCAATGTCGGTCCCTCATCTTTGGTCTGATGATGGCCAGGTGTCACCCTATTCAACCACTCAATCAACTAAATGTGTGCCAAATTGCTTTTTTTCTTGAGCACTATTTATCATTTTTTTTTTTCTAATCTTATTTATTTCAAAATAATTTAATAGACTGGTAATATATTTATTGATCAAAACCATGTGCTTATAGTAGTATTATTGTGATTATCATAAATAAAAAACATGCAGTGTTATTTTGATTTTTATGTGGATTCAATATAATCATTCTTGATTTGATTGAGGAAAAAAAAAAATCACTCTTAATATATTCGTACATATGGTTGGTTCAACGGTTTTTTCAATAATAAAAGCTTCATATTCTTCCGATTCTTTTATACCAGTTAAAATCGAAAGTGGGGCCATGGATCCAGTCCAGTCAAGTTTTTTTCAGTTATATATCATCCACCACGACGCGTTGTCTCTCGTTACACAGATGCCATGGAGTTCTATGGCCATAAGAAAACTCTGCATAACTTCATGTCTACACAAGAAGGAAATGTAATGCAATCCCTTACAACTCTCCCTGGGATAAGAACCCATCAAGCTCAAGAAATGACTGATCAAGAACTCCAATTTACCCCTCCAAGACCTTCTAACACTAACGAGCTTACTCTAATCCCTCCAACGAGTCCTGGATCGCCATGGACACTTTCTCCTCTCCGAAGCCCTTCTCCTTCCCTTCTCTACCATTGTATAGCTTCTCTTCATCGCAACGACGGCAACATTTTCTCCATTTCTGTCTCAAAAGGAGTTGTTTTCACTGGCTCTGAAAGTAAGCGTATACGTGCATGGAGGCAACCGGATTGCCTCGAACGGGGATATTTAAAGGCTAGTTCTGGTCAAGTTCGTGCAGTTTTAGTTCACGATAATGTGCTTTTCTCTGCTCATAAAGATGGTAGGATTCGAATTTGGAATTTCACACTTTCAGAGAATTTTAAAGGAAGAAAAATATCGTCATTACCCAAAAGAAGTTTGTTTCTTCGTTTCTCTAGTTCAGACACACATCAACATAAAGATTGTGTTTCTTGCATGGCTTATTATCATGCAGAGGGGCTTTTATATACTGGTTCGTATGATAAAACAGTTAAAGTTTGGAGGGTTTCAGATAAAAAATGTGTAGACTCATTTTTAGCTCATGAAGATTATGTAAATGCAATACTGGTGAATCAAGACGATGGGTATGTTTTTACATGCTCTTTAGACGGGTCAGTTAAAATATGGAGGAGAGTGTATGGAGAAAATTCTCATACCCTCACTATGATATTAAAATTCCAGCGATCGCCTGTTAACGCCTTGGCGATAAGTTCAACATTCAGTAATTGCTTTCTTTATTCAGGATCTTCTGATGGTATGATAAATTTTTGGGAGAAAGAGAGATTTTCTGGCCGGTTTAATCATGGTGGTTTTTTGCAAGGACATCGATTTGCAGTTCTTTGTCTAGCGGCTTCTGAGAAGTTGATATTTAGTGGATCAGAGGACACAACAATTCGAGTATGGCGGAGAGAAGAAGGAAGTTATTTTCATGAATGTCTAGCAGTGTTAGAAGGGCATAGAGGTCCAGTTAGATCCTTGACTGTTTGTTTGGAAATCGACAAGGTTGTGATGGGATTTTTAGTATATAGTGCAAGTCTGGATCATAACTTCAAGATATGGAGAGTTAAGGTTATGCCTGAAGAGAGAATTTGCTTGGATTACAATACAGTAGAAACTGATTCAAAGACAAAGGCGATCATGGAATATGAGATGAGTCCTGTTCTATCTCCTTCATGGGTAGAGAAGAAACGCGGAGCAAAATCCCTTTCAATAGATAATAAAAATAAATAAATTAATTGATGAATAAAAGATAATGTTTTTTTTGTTTGATTGATCTTTTGTCGTTTCAAGAATTTGCAATTTTTTCTTTTACAAATCCAATGGGAAACTCCAAATTATTTCTTGTATATTATACTTGATTTTACCATTAGGTGTTTTTTTTTTTTTTTTAAACCACCATTATTTTGGTAACTTATTATCAGTACCGTCTAATTCTGCTCTGAGTTCAACCGCAGTAGGTTTATCTTTTTTAAAAAAAAATATGTTTGATTGGTTTTTTAATAATAATAATAATAAATTATTGAGTAAAAGAATAATATATTAATTAGGTTTTTTATTTAATATTTTACTGTAAATACTATAATATAAATGTATGTAGACAAAATGAACAAATATTGTGAAAAAAAATCAAAATTAAATAAAAAAATAAAACTTTATAATTGAAACAATATTAAAAATAAAAATAATAATAATTCAAGTAAAATAATACCCTTAAAAGAAGCAAAATGATGAGAAGAAAATTTTTAACATAAAATAATAATAAACTCTATAGTCAAAGAAAAAAAATTTTTATGGTGATTTTTCTTTAGGAATTAAATATTATATTGGTAATCTATAATGAATTCGCATTTTAATAAGATTCTAATTGAGTTATATTATAATTCATATTAAGATTCTTCGCATATCTTATGTTTTGCTATTAGAAATATAACAATACAATTAAATAATAAGTATCGATTTTTTAATTATTTTAATTGAATTATTTTTTTATTCATAGAATTGTTTGTTATAAGAGTTAGATAATATAGTTAAGTTAGTCATAAATATTGATTTAGTATTTATTATTTAACCATTTTATTATTTTGTTAATAGTTTTAGTTGTACTTTTTTTAATTTTTTTAGTAATTTAAATTAATATAAAATAATTTATACAATTTTCTACCAATTGAGTTAAAAATATTTTCTGTTGTTTTTCTATTTCGATTCATTATTCTTGCTTTATTTACTAATTTTATTTGTTATTAATATTTCTATTTCGCTAAAATAATATGATTTATTAAATATTAATTTTTAGTTATCATAATAATAAATTATTAAAAATATTTACAAAGCACATATTCACTGTTTCTAATTAATAATTAAATAAAATATTTACCTTAAAATCGACAAACAATATCTTTTTTATATTTTCTGCAGATATTGTTGTCTTACAAATCACTATAGGATTAATCGTAAGTCCTACAATAGTCTGATGCTCCATAATATCGATTAAGCTATCGTATATAACTTCTAAATTTTGAATTTCTACAAACAACTATCTATTAAAAAAATAATTAAATTTAGATTTTTATTATCGAAAATATAATTTTTATGAAATAAAAACACTTAATTTTTATGAAATAAACAAACTTAATCATGCTTTGAGAAAAATAAATAAACATGTTATTTATATATAAAAAGAAACAAATACAGTAATAATAATACTAAATTTCAATCTCCTAAAGATAATTAAACTTCGATCTCTCTAATAATAGAATCATATTGAACTTTTAAAATTTTATTGGAATTCTTTATTTCTCATCACTTCCACCATTTTTTTCTCCTTTTATATATCTTTTAAAATTTGTATGGAATTCTTTTATTTCTCATCACTTCCAACCATTTTTTTCTCCTTTTATATATAATATATATATATATATATATATATATATATTATATATATATTCTACTTTGAAGATAGAGCAGACAATATCCACTATGGTTAGCACCATATTATTCTAATAATACAAAACTAAAAATCAATTATGCAAATGAAAATTATAACTTAACACCCGAAAACAGAAAAGCGTGATTGAAGAGTTTCAATAATTCAAATGAATAAATTCTTATAATATATATAGTATATATACTGGCATGGGATAGTACACGCATCCTATGTAAAAATATATTCTACTTGAGATAGAGCAGACAATATCCACTATGGTTAACGCACCATATTATTCTAATAATAAAAACTAAAAATCAATTAATGCAATGAAATTATACTTACCGAAAACAGAAAACGTGATTGAAAGTTCAATAATTCAAATGAATAAATTCTTATATATATATATATATATATGGGCATGATAGTACACCATCCTAATTAAAATGGGAACAATTTTCTATTTAGAATTAGATCAAACTTTATAATAGGATTTAAATTCAAATAGAAAATTAATATAATTAATAAATATATTATTAATATAACTAATAAATATATTAATTCATAAAAACTTATATACTTCTATAATAATAAAAAATAAAAATTGAATATAACGTTAATAACTTATAAGTTGATTTAATATTGTAACTTATCATTTTTATATCATCTTTAAAAACTTATTTACAGGCTTACAATATGTAAATGCAATGTGTCACTCATGGCCTCCCTCCAATATATTAACCATTTTTATAATTTTAATAAGAATAACAATTCAATATTTTAATAAAAAATTATTTTTCTTATGCAAATTAGATTAAATTTCCTAATAAAATTTTCTTAATAGAATTTAAAATTCAGTTAAATTAAACTTCCTAATAGAATTTAAATTCAAATAAAAAATTACCATAATTAATCAAAATTAAACTACATTTATTTTTCAACTAATAAAATTAAAATTCTCAATGATATTTTTGTCAATTCATAAATTTAACATAAGCATTTTAGAAATCCAATATTTTCCGTTCATACTTTTATATTGGACGAAAAGCACCTCAATCGCTAAAAACCCCGAAGGGATTAAATCTCCTTTATCATACCAAAAAAATATACATATGTGTCTTTTTTTTTTTACTTCCACGTATGAGAATTAGCAGGCAAAGAGGGAAACATAAAAGAAAAGAAAGGACAAGACACTAAAGATGCTAGTTGAGTGCAGTTATTCCATTAGGTTAGAGTGATACCAAAACGAATTAAAGGTTGTCTTGTCGTTTTCATTTTAGCTTTCATTCGAAACCCTATGGTCCAACTACTACAATAACTAATGTACAATGTTCTGTATGTATATAAACATGTCCAGATGTAAAGTAGAAATCTTTAATCCGGCTTTCGAACAGCCCATAACTTTGGTACCATCTTTTTCAGATGAGCTGGTCCATGCAATTACATGATTTACATAAATACCCTCCCAACCACTGCTTAGCTGTGGTGTTTCTCTATTTGGGTGTTTATCTTTATTTATATTTCTACATTATTTTATACACCAAAAAGTTAATTCAACCAAACCAAACTATTCTGCATCTATACGTTTGGTTTATTTTAATTTGTATAAATCCTTTGAATCGAACCACGATCCCTCCACCTTAAAATAGAGAGTAGATTTCCTTCAGTACATAATATTTTGACAGGTTCAGTGAGGTAAATTTAATTTGATTTGATCAAAACAATTGAAAAATTAGCGAGTAAAAGCCAAAATATAAAAATGGAAAATCTAATAAGACATAACATTCAAAATTATTGATTAATACATATAATTTATCAAACTAAACACACTAAGTACATCTAACAAAATGTCAAAAACATATGACATGTCAAACGGATACACAAGGATGTAATAGATTGAAAAAGAGTTGGTGGGCAACAAGTGCAAGACGATGCTAGTACTTCAGTAATTTTCTTCAACGATTGGGATTGGAATATGAGATCTTATGATGAAGAAATTTTCATAGATGAACCCAGCAAGCCCACCACCAATAAGGGGTCCAACCCAGTAAACCCAGTGGTCAGTCCAGTCCCAGCTCACCAAAGCTGGCCCAAATGATCGGGCTGGGTTCATGGATGCTCCAGAAAATGCTCCACCAGCTAAGATATTAGCCCCAACTACGAACCCAGTCAGTGTTGGGCCCAGCCCATCAATGGCACCCTTCTTGGGGTCCACAATAGTGGCATAGACAGTGAACAGCAAGGAAAATGTCAATATAATCTCCCATACCACACCTTGAAGGTACCCTACCCCACTTGCTAGTGTATGTACCGGAGTGGCCTGCATTGTAGAGAGAAAGAATGACTTTTTTAAAAATGAAAAAATATTATAATACAAGGTAAACTTTACAGTGCAGCAATTTTTTTAAAAAGACTTGCACTTACAAATACAATTCATAATTATGAATTCATTATAAATGCAAAGGGCTACGTTTATGTATGGTTGTGTGTGTGTGTATTAATTATGGTACTAAGAACTCACTAAGCCTCCTGTGAGGTAGTTGAGAAGGAGACAAGCAGCTGAAGATGCTAATAATTGGTCAATCCAGTAAAGAATAGATCGGACGAGGGTGATGTGACCGCCAAAAAGGAGGCCAAGAGTAACTGCTGGGTTGAGATGGCCGCCGGAGATGTGGCCGGCCGATATCATGACGGCCACAACAAGTGCATGGGCCACAGCCACAAAAAACAAGCCCACTAGAGGACCTCCCACTAGTTTATCTGTTCTTCGCAATCAAACATGCAAATAAATTAGACATCAAATATGTAATCTTTTTAACAAAAGATCAAAGCTTTGAAAATGTAATATGTACAGACCAGCAGCCATGGCTGATCCAACTCCGGCAAAGACAAAGAGGAAGGTTGTAATAAACTCGACGATAAGGGCTTTGATGCAGTCGGGCTGGGTGGCCTCCCGCCTAGATCCTAAGGCGATCTTCGCCATCTCTCTATATATCAAACTTTACTGGTAAAGAAAGGTTTGGTTTTGCTGAGAGAAAGGACAATGACGATATATATAAGCACTGGCTTACTGTGTTTTTTTTTTTACTCGTTAAAGATAAAGGAATTAATTTGATTTTTAAACCCTCAAGTGGTCATTAAAATTCTAAAAATATTAATACGAAGGGCATTCGTGAGTTCTCGAACTCCTGTCATAGACTCTATATAAATGATCTACTAATTTATGAACTCAGAAAAGAAATATGATATTTTTTTATTCATCGGGAGATTTGATGGGCAGAGTTAACGTAATAGAAGTTAATTTTATTTGATTCATCAAATTAGTAAAAAATAACTGTGATTAAGAAGATTCGAATTTATTACTTTGTAAATTCACTCCTTACATAAATGAAAAGACCAACCAGATCAACACCGTATTTGCAACAAAACAACTATTCACACCATATTGGAAAATAAAAAATTATTTATTGTGATTTGTGAGTGATACATGGGATCCATGGCACGCAATCATGCACGTTTGTTTTATTTTGTTAGCAGAATTACCTGGAAACCCACTAGTCGTTGACTAAATTATTGTGTCTTTACATTATGAAAGTTATTGTTAATGGTTAAAATACTTAAAGGACAAAGCTCCATTTGTCCTTCATTTCAAGTGTCTAGCTTGGTGCCAATCACCATCCACTTTACCTTCTAACATACTAATTAATAATGTCAAATGGTCACTAGACCCACCAAATAAATTCTATAAGGCACTTGATTTCATATTTAAACTAATAATTAATAAATCAAAGTTATGAAATTAGAGAATCCCTCCATTTATTATATTTTTCCAAGAAATTCCTGTGAAACAACAAAGAGAAAATTTTTGAAGTGAACTTAAATTTTAGGTAATATTCAAATAAGTTTTAATATTAATCTATTTAACTTATCGGTATTAAAATCGTCTTCAAGACCGACTGATATAAATTTAAACCTCGATTAAAATTAAAATAATAATACTAAAAATATTAACCTATTTTACCCCACAATAAACCAAAACAAAGTGTGAAATATGCCAAAATTAACAACTTCAACATAATTAGTATAATTTTTTTAATTTTTATTTTTAATCAACATAGATAATATGATGTAAACCTAAATTGACAAGAACCTTAAGTGCATGAATATTTGTTGGCTTTCATTTTCCAATGATTTCAATTTCCATTTTCTACAATTAATTATGTCAATGTGACCCTACTAAGTTTATTATGATTATACTTTTACATTCAAAAAGCTTATGGTTCATCATTTTTCATCCACCACTAAACATAAAAAGACAGAATCCTGGGTCCTTGAGAATGATTCATTAATAGTTAATTGGTGAACCACAACATAAACCAGTGTTATTAAACCCAATCCGGCTAAAAAATCAGATGAATAGGCCACTGGTTTAATCAGTGGGTTGATGCTTGAATCGATGGGTCATAAAATATTAATAATATTAATTAATCAAATAAATATTATTTAAAATAATTATAATATAATAAAATGGTTACAAATAATTATATATAAAAAATCAATTCGGATCATCAGGTCTGTGTGTGGATCAATCGGTTCTATTGCTGGTCAACCGATTCAATATGACATAAACTTAAATATAATTGAAATAAAAAAGGTACTATTTATAATAAACTCTCGACCGTCAAAAGTTCTAATAATACAAAATGTCATTTTCTGATTTCTAATAGTGAGCATATGCATAGATAATGTGTTGTCTTTTCATCATTTCCATTTTCAACACCATCTTCATAGCTTATATATTTTACCCTTAAATAGTAAATATTCAACTTTGTCACATTTACAGCTGTTAATTTACATCCCATCTAATTACTAATTGGGATTAATATCTCTAGCTAGAACCATTCAATTACTAATTACTAATTAATAATCTAAATCTGAAACAATTTTCTGTGTTTTTGCTCATAATGACTTCACATGCTGGTCCCATGTCATATCAATAATTTTCAGAATCTATACAAAAATTAAATAGTACAGATGCTCTACAGTAAGTCAAAAGGCTATTCCAATGAAAATAATATTCTTGCACAATGGCAAAGCAATAATTATACATATAAAAACAAAAAATGTAATTAACTGGAACCAAAAAATTGCTTTGATGTTCTATATTTGGGTCAATGGAAGGATATATATAATTGACGGGGACAAAACTAAGAATTGTTTATATTACCTTATATTAATTAAGTATAATTAATCATATTTAACGAAAGTCAGCTTCATGTTTTTATTATGTATTAAAAATTATTTATTGATTTTACATGAAACCATATTTACTAAAACAACATTGTTTGACTAATTATGCATTTGACATGGAGGATAATAAAACAACTATATGCCAATCAGGCACCAGCTGTTATTTAATTGGTCTTTTTATTTTTTGTAAAAAATCTAAAAAGTGAGAGTTTTGGAGTTCAAGTTATTTCCACGGTAAAAATTACCTTTCTGGTTTATTGAACCTCTAATGTATATAAAACAAAGTAAAAAAATAAAATAACAATATCCCAACCAAAGCACGTGTGATGCCAAAATCATGTCTCTCTATACAGGTGATCTGGTGTTAATTTAAATTATCATCTTTTTTTTTTTTTTTTTTTTTTTTTTTTGTCCCAGTTTTGGACATTATTGAAACATTATCGATGGTCAGTACAGGTTCTGCAAATACATTCATTTCCTACAGTTTAAGTAGTGATAATAATAATAATATTTTTTTTTTTTTTTTTGTCAGTTGGACATTATAAATTATCGATGTCAGTACAGGCTGCAAATACATTCATTTCTACAGTTTAAGTAGTGATAATAATAATAATAATAATAATAATAATAATGAGTAATGAGATGGACTTGCCCCAATGACCCATGCTTAGATTTTGGGCCAGACCAGGCTGGTAAAGAAAGGAAAATGGGCCAAGTGGGACTTCCTTTTGTATCTATTTCAATCTGCAAGTAGATAACATGGCGGGGGTAAACGAACAAGGGACGCACAGCGCGACCATACAGAGGGAGAAAGAGCACGAAAAATGCTAGCACTGCTGCCACTGCCATCTTCTTCTTCTTCATCTTCTTTCTCTCCTCTCTGTCTCTCGACGCAAAAGAATATATCTCCTTTTAACTCAAACTCTTTGAAGCTATCTTCTCTGCAGAATGGAAGCAGCAGTAACTGGAGCGATGGCAATCCTTCTCGAAGACTTGCTCTCTTTCAACTCGGTGCTGGTAAGTATTTGCCCTTTGTAAATGATCCATATGTTAAAGTTAGACGGTTTGATGCTGATAAAACCAAGAGAGAGAAATGTAGAATATGATATGTCTTGATTTTTATGTACTTGTTTGGCTTTTATACAGTTATGTTCAGTTCAACTAAACTTGAGTTTTGTTCTTGGTGGGTTTTCTAACTAATGGCTTATCGAAGAATGCTTCCATCTTTTGTTTACATGGCTTTTATGGGTAATGCCAACAAACAGAATATGTTTATTGGAGTTTATAGAACTCTACAATGCGATGGAGTTAATTAAGAGAGTTATACACTAAAATTTCAAATAAATTAGAATTTCGGGTGAGCCCTATTATGCTTCTGATAGAGTTATTAAGAGAAAAGAAAACTATATATATATATTGGATATGAATTCTTATAAATCTTGGACAATTTGTTGGGTTCTCTTGTAATCTTGTATTCGTTTTTGTTTTTGATGACTTGAGACTGTAAATCTATCTTGCTATACATACTCGTTTGAAGTTGATTTTCTTCTCCGCTAATAGACTTTGATTGGTTATCCAGCTATCCCCGAGTCTCATTTGTTGGGTGTAAGAACGTCTAAATTGTTAAGAGGGGATGGAAATGTGATGGAGTCTAGCGCATCTCCGAAAATGACGCAGGTGAGCACTGCAATTGCTGATCAAAATGCATTGGAGTGGGTTAACAATGACAAAAGAAGAATGCTGCATGTTGTTTACCGTGTTGGTGATTTGGAAAAGACAATAAAGTATGCCTATTTACTTCTTCATATGTCCACAATTCGTACTTTTACTCCAGCAATATTGGGTCTGTAAGCCTTCAGAAATGAACAGATTTTACACAGAATGCTTGGGGATGAAGTTGTTAAGAAAACGTGACATTCCAGAGGAAAGATATACAAATGCTTTTCTTGGATATGGTCCTGAAGATTCCAATTTTACTGTTGAACTTACTTATAGTAAGTTGTTATCCCTCCTCTATTTGTTCATATCAAGTATTCAATGGCATAGTAGTTGTTCATGTACTAGTATATTTTGTGGTCTTCGCTCAAGATTTTGGAATTTTTTTTTTTTTTTTTCTATTGGGGTCTTAATTTTGTAATCTATGCAGATTATGGAGTTGACAAGTATAACATCGGAAATGGATTTGGCCATTTTGGCATTGCAGTAGAGGATGTAAGTGCTTCTTTCTTGAAGCTTTTAATTACAATTGATAATATTGAAAATGGCTGTGCATTGCATGTGGCAAAGCGTTTAATCTAATTTGAAAAATTTTCAAAAAGGGACTAGATAGAATTACAGAAGCTTAAATGATTGCTTCCTTAAGTTATTTACATTTTGAACTGGACATTTTACATGTCTTTTCTCGCTTTGAGTAGTTGAGAGAGTTTGATCTTCAGAAATGTTAGAAGAATAGATATGCATCCAGGGTTTCTCTATTCAGCTACATTTAGCATTGCACCTCATTGAAACCTTTTATGGTTAAGCTTAATTATATATGGCTATGTTTGCACTTGTCCTTGTCAACTTAGGTTGCCAAGACAGTAAATCTTGTGAAGGCAAAGGGGGGCAGAGTTACTCAAGAACCTGGAATTGTTAAAGGTGGAAGTACAATAACTGCTTTTGTTGAAGATCCAGATGGTTATAAATTTGAGCTTTTGCAGAGAGGGCCTACACCTGAGCCAATGTGCCAAGTGATGCTCAGGGTGGGTGATCTTGATCGCTCCATTAATTTCTACAAGAAGGTAAGCTGTAACGCATGCTGTCTCAAGCTGCTAGATTGTTTAAAATCAGAGACGGTATCATCAATATAAAACTACATCGAGTTCTGATGCTAGTCTTTCCTGAATTTGAAGGCCTTTGGCATGCAACTCCTCCGCAAAAGGGATAACCCAGAATCAAAGGTAATTTTACACCTTCCTGGCAACAACAAGTTACATGAATTCTTTTTCAATTTTTACCTGATTGTTTTTTTCCTTTGTGTCTGTAATAACTTGTCCATGTTATGAAGTTAACTGCTTTTCTCTCCAAAATTTCATGGTTTTCATTAATTTTAGCATTGATTCATCATCACCAGTTGTAGCCAATTATTCTCTACTAAAGCTTTTCTCCCTGTCCTTATGTTTATTGGTAGGTATATCAGACACTATCCTAATAAAAATTTGTCATTATAACTTTTCAGTATACAGTAGGTTTTATGGGGTATGGTCCAGAAGATAAGAATGCTGTGCTGGAACTGACATATAACTATGGAATCACAGAATATGACAAAGGAAATGGTTATGCACAGGTGAATTCTTTACCTTGTTACCTAGTTCAATAATTTAGCCTGTATAGCATCTATGTTAAGTTTTGCCTACAATGCATGTGCTACTTACAATACTGGTGTCTCCTTATCAGGATTTTTCTGTGTTATTCTACTGAATGTTCATAACTTCGTATTTTTATCAGATAGCAATAGGCACGAATGACGTCTATAAGAGTGCAGAAGCTATTAAACTATGTGGAGGAAACGTCATTCTTGAACCTGGACCTCTACCAGGGATCAATACCAAGATCACTGCATGCTTGGACCCTGACGGATGGAAATCAGTATGGTCTTTTAATTTGGAGTTTTATCTTGAACTTTCAGAATCTTCTTCCTGTTGGGTTTTTTACAAGCATTGCTGCTGACATATGGTTTGCTTTTATTTTTCTTTTATAACCATTTCAAATGTCCTCTAGACTATGTGGTTTCCGGACAACTGAAACTTGAAATAGGTAGTCAGCAAATTTAGGAGAAAAAGGCACCTATAGGGTGAGCATCAATCATACTGTCTTATAAACCAAGAACAGGTTTAAAAAGCTTTATGTGGTTAAGCTTTGCATGGAAGTCTAGATATCAGTTCTGAGTTTGGCATTGAAAGAGCAACAAAAGTGCATTGGTTCCTCACAAATATCGTGGAGCATGACATTTTTTTCGGAACATCTTAATTTCCATAATGGCCAATGATGCTTGATTTAAACCAACAGATCAAACTTGTACCTATCTCAATATCAGTTATCCATTGTAGATTATTTCATTGTACATGGTAGATTTAAAATGAAGCAACAAACTTAAAATAGATACTTAGAGGTTTCCTTTCTTATTATTTTTCACTTGGATGATTGTTATCCACGTAACTTCCTTTCATCCCTCCTTGCAGGTCTTTGTTGATAATGTTGATTTTCTCAGGGAACTGGAGTGATCAGAGTATCATGGTAGCTGCTTGACTGAATCTATTAAACAATTTTGTTGTGGAATGCTGTGTTGTTTGAAATATCTGTTTTCTCATGAGAAATAGCACATGCTGGTTTATGCCATGCCAACCTCATTTAGTAGATCCCCACCCTTCCTGCGGCTCTGTATATGACTGTAACAATTGTTATAAGTGCATTTACATTTTGCTTGATACTATTACTTGCCAATGAAGTCTCAGAAATATACATTTCTTGTTGTTAATCACTTTACAAAAGTCGAAGGCTAGTTTTTGCAGCAATCAAAGTATGACTCAGGTTTTATATTACCATGGCAATTCAGTATATGCTGAATCCCCTCAGTCCACATCTGTTTTTCACCTTTACTTCTGCATTCAAACTCTATTACTCTTTCAGCTGTTTTTATCCCGAAGTAAGCTCTTTGTCCATTGCTGTCTTCTTTCTCCCTTCCTGGCCATGCTGGGATGTCAATGAATACTCCAGAGACTACACCTGTAATAACAGCATGGCTAGACTCAGTGAACAGGAAGAGAGGAAGGTACCTAGAAGGTTATGGGTTTGAGACTGCTTACACTTCTTCTTTTTTGTGAATGTTCCTGCCATGTGCTTGCTTTTCATTTTGGCTACCACCTGTTTTTAATCAAATTTTAGCAGATGCTCTTTAAGAGGAAAAAAATTACAGAGAAATAGAGGTATTGTGTCTTTTTTATTTGTAGCCGAACTCTCCGAAAGTATTCCTCATTTGACGATAGTTTTTATTTAGAATTTCTCACTTAAAGGTGGTTTTTTATTTCCTCTTAAACTTGAGAATTGCTCGAATTAATTGCTTGTAGTTTCTCAGTTTAGTTACGTAGTATAAATATCTCCTGCTTTTCTTTTTACCTGCCAATTTGAATTCACATTAAAGGAAACTTGCTTCCAGTGTAGAGCTCCTGCCATAAAATATTACATGACAGTCAGTGCCAGTTGCATCTCTTTTGTGGATTATATCATACTGGTTTTAACACTGCATACAAATCCTTATAAAATATGTACCTTTCCTTGTACGCTTGAGAAGTTCTCCACCTCTAGTCACAAAATTCAAAGCTGTTACGATGTTAGATTCTTTGCCTTCTTCACCCTTTTCCTCCGCCAAAGCAAAAGCTGTACTTCCATGCCCCTTTTGCAACCTTGCTCTTAGAGTGTTAGCTCCTCTTAAGGCTGCTCATGCATATTTCTTAGAAATTTAGATAGCACTCTATCATTTGGTAATAGAAAACATCTCAAGAAAATCATTGATTAATTGCATTCATTTGTCCTGTATTTTCAATCCTGAATTTAATTTCAGACTGGGTGAATACTCTATCTAGAAGGACAATTTATATCTATGCATACAATTTCTATCAGCAGCATTTAGCCAAGTTGTCTTCTTAATTTTGTTGAGATTGAATTGGTTGAACATATGAATCATAAAACAAGTGAATTTTAGAATCAATCAAAAAAGTTTTCTGATACCTGTAGCTGCCCCAGCTGTAAGGGTCATGATATCTCCACTAGTCCTTGCATTAACAGCAGAGTTGACAACTGTTAAGATTTGATCATGTTCAGCGCCCATTTCCTCTGCAATCTCAATGCAGTGAGATGCTACCAGAGCTGCTGCTGAAGCCATTGCAGCTGATGTTTTGGAAGGTGTCTTATGCCGGGCTGCTGCTATTTCTGCAGACATGGCATTTGAGGCAGCAAGTGCTGCAACAGCAGCAGCAACCCCTGCTACAGATACAGCTGCATGCAATTGCGCATTATGAGTTCTGATCTCCTGTTTTTTTCTCTCTTTTTGATCTTTCAACCATCTTCCCATTGTTCGCCCTTTAATTATGCTTTTGTAAAGCTGCACAATAGTAAGGTCAATGAGGATCACACTAATATTATTAATTATTTTGAAAATGTTGAATAATAAGATACCCCAGTTTTGAGCAGTTGTTGATTGGAAAGAAATTCTGGATTGAGTGCTTGATGAAGTAAGAATAATTCCTGCATTGATGACAGAATTAATATTCTGTTAGGACCATTTATTCTGGATTGATTCCTGTGTTCTGAAAGAGGCAGGCTCGAGTATAGCAAGAGTTGGCCATATAAAGCCTTACATTGACTTGAGGTTTAATTTTCAAGAATTTGCTATTTTAATCCAGTGTAAGTTTCTTTTAGTACAGAAATAACAATATTTCCTTTAAGCTGTTGCAAATATTAACACATGTTTGACTATTTGTCTGTTTGAAAGGAGTAGAGTGGAACAGAAAAGAGAGAAGAAGAAAATACCTTCATTTCTTCACTGTCTCTTGGAGATATTGGAGGGCTACCACTAGCGCCACTCGGCAACTGTAAGTATGAAAGCAAATTAATGGTAGGATTCAAAATGTGATTTTTTTTTTTTTTTTTTTTTTTTTTTTTTCTGTTTGAAAAGGAGTAGAGTGGAACAGAAAAGAGAGAAGAAGAAAATACCTTCATTTTTCTTCACTGTCCCTTTCTTGGGAGATATTGGAGGCTACCACTAGCGCCACTCGGCACACCTGTAAGTGATGAAAGCAAATTAATGGTAGGATCAAATGTGATTTTTTTTTTTTTTTTTTTTTTTTTTTTTTAAAAGCATTGGAACACCAAAGGTAATATATCTTTACATTTTTTTTTTTTTTTTTTTTTTTTTTTTTAAGCATTGAACACCAAAGGTATATATCTTACAGATTCTTTGCGAGCTTGTGCATTTTCATCTTGCCCTTCAGCTTCAACAGAATGCAAATTTGGCTTTTTAACATTATGATCAGAAGCAACATGAGTATTAGAAAGAGCTTTAGAAAGCTCCATAGCAGAAAGACTCCATGACCTAGCAAGAAACTCCATAGACTCAGTAGGAGTTTCAGGTGCATCACAAGAAGAGACTGTAGGTGGTTGCCAAAGAGCAGGAACACTTTCATCAATATTTTCAAGCTTCCATGATAAGCTCTTTGTGCTGCTAGTGCTGGAAGAGCTCACTGAATTACACAAAACCCATGAAAAGAACATAGTTAACTATTGTTTTGTTTCATTCTTTTTTTCTAAGCTAAAATGCTTATAGCTTTATAATAACTAAAAAAGAAGCTTACTTCTGAGTCTGCTATTTCCTTTTGGTTCAGACTCTTCTGCACCCGTTTGGCCTTTGCTGCAACTTCTCATGCTATGAAAGAAAGCTATTGAAGAAAGTGAGCACTGTTTGATATTTAACATGGGAAGTGAAGCAGAATTGCTTGTTTCTTTATTGGAGAAGATGAAAGTGAACAAAAAGTAAAGATATAAATATATAGTGTATGCTATGCAGAAAAGGGGCCCTCTTTAAAGGGCAGTTCACCTTTGTCCTCAACTTCTGGTGTATCCCTTTTTAACTCCACCCTTTCGTTTTAATACTTAAAGTGCTAAAACCAAATTTTTCTCGAGCGGCGGGTTCATCATTGCTAGGGTTCTTCTCTTTCTATTTTTAATGTAGAAATGTTCCAAGGGTGGTTTTGATTAATTTGATGTGATATCATAGAATTTAAATTATATGCATTTGTAAACTTATGAAGTTCCACATTTCATTATTTTATTTGTTTGGAGAATGAAACCTACGGATTGAAAAAATGTTTTAAAATAAAATGAAGTGATTTAAATTCTATGATTAATTAAAAAGTTATGAAATTAAGGAATTTCAATTTTAAATTGGGACTTTTCTATTCTAAAATTAATAATAATTCTCTTGATTGCGAGGTTATGGTAATACAAAAGGAATTTTCTACAGGAATCCATGGAAATGGGACCTCTCGCGGTCATAATTCTTTGTCAAGAAGTGGAAAAAATAAGGTTTGAAACATAGGAAATTAAATACTTCCTCTATTTTATGTTGTGTCAATTAAGGTAATTACTTGAGGATTAAAAAAATATTACATAATCTCAATTTTGGAAAAGAAAAAAGAGAAATGAAGTAATTTAAAGGAAATAAAGAGTGATAATTGCAAAGTTGAAAAGAACAATTAAGTAATTATTTAATTTAAAAAGAAACCTAGACTTATATTCTCAAAGTTGATTTTGAATTAAGTAACTACAGCAGACAATTTTATTTTTTCTCCAATAAGTGATATAGTTTATTAAATTAGCTCTGAAAAGATTTTTTTTTTCTTTTTATATATAAATTCAGATAATTAATTTGTTGATTCAATTTAGCTAAATAAATGTATTCACAGTTAGAATGAGTGATTAGACTCTATTCTCTCTTAAGTGAGTTTGAGAGTCTGATTTTCATAGATGAAGTGAATGCTCATTGAGATTTTATCCACCGTAAGCACAATTTAGTTCTAATTAAATAGGTTAGCGATACTTTTAATTACCAAAAAGAATAATCTAATAAGTTGTTAATGAGAAAAAATAAATCACTCTTTAGAGTGAATTGGAGGAAGTAAGTCCCTGTTTGCTTGGTACTAATAATATATACATGAAACAAAAAATTACTAAAGAAAAGAGTTGCAAAGTAATTAAGGTATACCACTTTGAAGCTTTTTTTCTTCTTTTATCTTTTACCATTTCTCATATTTTTCCACATTTCACCTTGACTTCAACCCTCAAGACTTCTTTTTGACTAGGGAAAAGCCAAAAATAAAAAAATAATAAAAAAAAAAGAATAAACCCTTTGGCATTATATTTTCGTAATTTGTATTGCAACCAGAAAAAACAAACCAGTGAAAGAAAGAAAGGTGGAGAATTTCTGCATTTGAGGTATAGGCTAGGACTCAAAATGGGAAACAATGTCAGGAATCAATTTCCAATCTGAATTTCCCTTTTCAAGAGTGTTGAAACAGACATTAATCTTAAAAAAAACAAAAAAAAATTACTTAACCTAGAAATCTAAATCTATATTTGAAGTGAAACCCAACTTAAAAACTTGTATTACATATTAAAATCCTATTAGTAGAAGTTAATTAAAGTTGCGTTCCTTATGTCATATGAAAATTAGGTTACCTACGTTGCATGAGAGTGATTAAATTTGACAAAACAATAATTACCTTTGTCCGGTAGTTTTAGGAAAGTGAAAAAAAAAATTAATTATAGGTAATTGAATATTATTTAATTAAGGGAGTTATGATAAGAGATTTGTGAATTCAAGAGAATCTCTCTCTGCAAATGCTTTTCATCATAACTTGAAGGCTCATCATGTCTACCACTTTATCCTTTCTAAAGGTCCCACCTTCCATTAACTTGTAATTTTTTTTTTTTTTTTTTTTTTTTTTCATCATAACTTGAGGCTCATCATGTCTACCACTTTATCCTTTCTAAAGGTCCCAAACCTTCCATTAACCTTGTAATTTTTTTTTTTTTTTTTTTTTTGAAAAAATTTTCTGTAAAAAATTTAACATTATTGTTTAGGACCGTGTTGAGACGAGTCTCATGGCCAATGGGGAGGGAAATGTGATCAAAGATTTTTTTTTTTTTTTTTTTTTGAAAATTTTCTGTAAAAAATTTACATTATGTTTAGGACCGTGTGAGAGAGTCATGGCCATGGGGAGGGAAAATGTGATCAAAGATTATCAGCTGGATCACAATTTTAAACTCATAAGAAAGTTTATTGGAACGAATTCTCCAGGAATGGAAGTCAAGGATCAATTTGAAAATTTTTACTCGTAAGAAATAAAATCTTTAATCTCTATGATCCGAGGAAATTATACCTCCTGATTATATAAAATTCTAAGTGAATGATCTCAAGATGTATGAAATAATAAATTACAATCATAACTTTGGTTAAGTGGAGCCAAACCAATGAAATGAACGTGCAGCGATAGCACAATTGAATCATGGATTTTGGATGGCCATTTCTAAATATTTTATATATTTTACAGTATGTTATTATTAGTCTACAATGACAGAAACGGAGCGGGTGTTTTAATACTAATTCTACTAATTAAATAGATTTAAAACGATTACTTACTGATATATATTGAATAAAATTTTTAATGAGTAGAGCATAAATATAAATGGATATATGGTTATTTTAAAGAAATTTTAATCAAATTTGAGTCGACTATAAATATAAAATTTTAAATAAATTTTAATATAAATAATTTAAAATTAGTGGATATAATTTTTACTCCTAAATATAACATTTTATGAAAAACATTTAGCAAGATAATTTATTCGATAAAATTAATTGTTTCAATACCTGTAAACCGTTCAACTAGCATTTCAGCAAATATTAAAGTACTAATATTTCACGATAGATCCTCATTCTCAAACTTTAAATGGTAATATAAATGATACACCAAGATGTATTATAAATAATAAAAATAGCATTGCCACAAAGGCAAAAGCGGTTACCGATAAGATAAAAAAATCATTTCATATTTTCTCAACATACTATCCATCACTCTTCCAATTTGGTAACCCCTCCATTTGGTTCTCTCTCCTTTACTTTCTCTCCGCTCTCTCTCTCTTTTTTATTTATTTATTTATTTTTTTTTTTAATTTCAAACAAAGTGTTAGAATTAACCCACCCCTCCAATAATTAAATTAAAACAATCCAAGATTTTTAAGATTTCACACTCACCTTGGCATCCACAAAGGCTACAGCCTGGGTACCTAATGATGGCAAAGCAATTTCTCTTTTTTTTTTTTTTAATTTTTCCATACATAATTGGTGTTAGGCCATTCAAATATTAAATTATTAAAGGTTCAAACTTAGGATAGCCATGACAGATTTGGGTCCAGTGGGACAAATATCATACTCGATTACCTTTTATTGTTCAAGTTTAGCTGAAGCTAACATGCAATTTGTTAAATTTCTAAGTTGCATACTTATCTTTGTTGACAAATTGATGTAAGAAATTGATACCTTGGTTAAAAGTTTGATATTCAGACATCAATATTCTCCTCTAAAATATTAAACTCGTGTTCTCCATAAAGTAGTTTCCGTCTTTAAATAACGTAAATAAGATAAAATGAAATGATATGAAAATATTTAAATTTCACTCTGAACGAGAAAAGAGAAACAATTATACTAAGAATTAAACTTTATTTTTGTTTTTCTTTGGCTATTAAACTTTATTTTTTTTTTCTTTCATTACCTAACCAATTATTGCTCTTTTCTTAGAATAAAAATATAACTTAGGCAAATAACCAAATGAAACATTAAATTTATACATCCAAATAAAAATTATAAGGACCAGCCGATACCGAAACAGTGACCTCTAATCTGCCTAAGAGAGCTTCAATTGAGCAATGGATACACCAAAAGAACAGATCACGCCGGTCGATTCACCCCACGGCTGCACTTGACATCAAAAGGATACAAGTTCATGAAGCCAATCAGAAAGAAGAAACAGAAGCTTATGCCTCATTGGAGTCTACTTTCATAGCTTTGGCTCATTCACACCATCTTTAACCCTGTAACAGCATAATAAAAGCAAGCATCAGAGGCACGTGGCATTAACCCACAAAAGAATACCTAAAAGAGATTTTTGAATCGACTCTCTGAGCAAGAATCTACCAGTCTATCAATCTTCCACAGTATTTGTGGAATCTGTTAACCCTTGATTTTAACTTGTGAGTCTTATTCTAGTGAAAGCTTTCAAGAACAGTTTTCAAGATGCACTCCTTCAAAACAGACACATCAGAACTGGTTCTAAGCTGGCCCTAATATTTGCAAATAAGAAAAACATTTTTTTTTCCCTCTCTCTCTCTCTCTCTCTCTCAAAAATATGAAAAGAAGAATTTTAGACAACAACCAACATTTAAAAAGATGTAAAGAGCTTTGATGTACATTAATTACCTCAGGAAGGACTAGAGGATTCCGGAATCCACACACTGACTGGAAGATGGGCATCTAACAAACCATAAGTACAGAAAATCTGGTAAAGGAAAACAGATAAATGGTCAAGCACAAAAACATCCATAGAGCAGTAATGGCAACTGTTAACAAGATAATTTGGTACCTGTAACACTAGAGTACTGTACTGTTTTTTTCATATAGTGAAGGACCCAGGTACCTAGATTCAAACTGATCCAGGTAAAAATCCAAAGCTTTAATCCAAAAATATGAAGTAATAAGAACAAAAGCAAACTTAATCATGAATTAGATGAGATACATAGTCAAAATACTTGTACAACGTCCAAGGAACCTTTATGATCCATTAATAGAAGATTATAAGAAACACAAACATATTATCCATCAAAGGAGTCAAACTTATAACAGGGCTTAACCCTTTCCCCATCCATGCACGCAGAAAAAAAAAAAAAAACCAAGCTGCAATGGGCTAGGACACAGCACCATCCAATGTGTCCGTATTTTGAGGTCACCTTGTGAATGATGCATTGAGCAAATCGAGATTCTGAAGCAATCAAGCATTCTGAACTTCATGATATCAACATCCCATCCAGATTCTGTCAAACAAATGTGTAGCTGGGAGGAAAAAAAAAAGGCAGATACCCTAAGTAATACAACACAGTTTATAGCAATTGCTTGCTGGCATCCATGAATTGTATTGCAAGATTTTAAGCATAGAATATAGATTACGAGAAAAAAAAAAAAAAAAAAAAAAAAAATTGGCTTGCTGGCAATCCATGAAATTGTTATTGCAAGATTTTTAAGGCAATAGAATATGTAGATTACGAGAAAAAAAAAAAAAAAAAAAAAAAAACACACCAATTACTTTGCTAAAAAAAAAAAAAAAAAAAAAAAACACACCAATTACTTTGCTGAAGAAATTCTCATCAAGGTGCTGACACCAGTTTTGTTCCCAAAACTGCGACCAATGGTTGAAGCTTCATTCAAACCCTCTAGTTTCTTAACATTTCTTCCAAAGGAACTGGGCAGAGCAGATGAAGTAGATGGCATTGTTGTATCAGTCACAATCTGCAAAGATATAAAATTTTACACACTATTGTTCAGCAAAAAAACCATTCCTGGGCACGATAAAGTTGAAACATAATTGCCACAGCCAGTAAGGAGCAAAGCAGCCTTCAGATACAAAGACAAGGTTGTATCACCTGAATAATGAATATGCAATCAAGGCACTCAAGCATATCCAATATCAGATAGGAGGAAATAGATTACTTACACGTTTGTCAATTGGATTATCAGTGCCTAATTTCTGAGATGATCTGGTCTGCATATGAACATCAGGGCGAACAGCATTCTTTGATCCTCTATACTCTGTAACTTCAGCTGAATACAATTTGCCATTGGCGCCTGAAATTGAAAAAAAATACCCTCATTTCTATTTTGCTATTCCTTCGGTAAAATCAAAGGTTGCCAACCAATTCTCAAGTAGCTGGCTTAAGCATTAATTTATAAAGTGATAGAAATTCACATTTTTTCACAATAGACTTCCATTTACTGGGGAGTTATAATGTTCCCTCACCCACCAACCAGAATCAAATCATTACATCCACTGAACATGTCACGAACAACGCACAGAATTTTCCTCACAATTTAAAGTAGCAGATTTAATTATTATTAGACTATCAGTTCACAAGATTTATACCATGCAGTTTATACACAACTTCCTGCAGCGAGTAAAAACGAACCACCAATAAAGCAGAATGGAAATACTGGAGCTTACCTTTATGCTTATCCAGATCCACAGCCACAGTTCGACTACTAGTAACTCCAGAAACTGGCTGCAAGCCCTAAGAATCTCATGTGAAACAAATAAATCAAAATTCAAGCAACCTAGAAACAATGCAAATTATGTATTCATGTACCTGCTGATGATTAACTAATGCATCTGTGATTAACTAAATCATATAGTAAAAATACATACATAAGAAAAACCAAAAACTTGTAGCTCAGAAACACAAATTAAATTTATTGCATATAAGTCTTTGTGTAACTCATAAGAGACAACTAGTTAAATAAAGAAAGAAGAAAAGGAAGAGAAAGACAACTTTTGTGTTTTAAAACACTAACCGACGATTGGGCTTGTTTCTTTGCAAGTGTCTGCTGATATTTTAGAATGGTCCAGTCAAAAATGTAATCAAGCTCATATCCTGCCAGATATTTTTGAAAAAGAAGAAGGCAAATAAAAAACCAATTAGAAAAAGTAAACATAGCCAAACAAGAATTTACACAGTAAAACCATAAAAGATTTAACTTTTTATATGAAACTTTTTTGACTTTTGACAATAATCTCAGCTTAAAGATTTAATAGCTTTTTATATGAAACTTTTTTGAACTTTTTGGACAATAATCTCAGCTTAGGGGGGGTGGGGGGGGGGGGAGAGGGGAAAGGGGGGGGGGGGGGGGGGGAGAGGGGAAAGAAAGTAATCATGCTTTGGTAGCAAAGACCGACCAAACAGGGAAAAAAAAAAGCAAGTAACAATGAATAAAAATTATCAGCCTGCTTAACGAAATAGGATTTCTTCCAAAAGAATGGAGAAATAAAACTTTTAAGCTTTAATCGATTTAATTACCTTCCCGAGAAAACAAGTCCCGAAATAGCCGCTTCAGAAATCCATAATCAGGTCGCTGATCAAATGTTAAGGAGTGGCAATAATGGAAGTAGGATGCAAACTCTACAGGATGTGACTTGCAGAGGACCTTTCAAAAACAAAACCATTATTGTTCAGATTTAACATCCAATTAACTTATTCAATCATATGTTTAATAGAAAAGAGGGGGCAGAGGAGGATGTAATAATCCCAAGCACATAAGCATGCTAGCAACACTCTTGAAATACTCGTGTTAAGGTTAAGCATCATATATATTTCAAGTAGCTGTTATCTTAAAATGAGTTGTGCGACCATGTCTCAATTAAGATAGGAGGAATTTGAGAGCAGAGCCATTCTTATAACTATACTAAAAGCCAATTTTCTAAGAAAAATAAATACATCCTGTTGCAAATCAGGATATAACCTCTGAGTCAAAACACATTTGAATACACACCTCAATTGGAGTTGATAACTTCTTTTCACATATTTTGTCATATTTTTGCTTCTTTGTTGCTGCTTTCAGACCCTGCCATGGAAGGCTAAATGACGACACCAATTATTACATAGTCAAGACCAAGTTATCATATCATCTAGTTGAAATGTTCCCCATTCCTTAATTGTAATTGAAATAAAATGTGCATAAAAATCTCTCCTTAAGCATCAATAATTGTAAATGACATTTCAACTACAGCGACAGCATTAATACTTAGGAGAATACCTTCCTCTCAAAAAGTACAAAAGAACGTAGCCAAGAGACTCCAAATCATCCCGACGGCTTTGCTCTGAATAGATTATCAAAAAGTGAGTAAAGCTCCAAAGTTCCATCCAGTACCAAACAGGCTAACAAACATTTCTAAGTTTAACTTACCAATTCCAAGATGAGTATTGCAACTTGCATAGCGTGCAGTCCCTGTTAGGTTTTTATTTTCTCTGTTTTGAGTTTGTCAAAGAATGTAAAGAAAGATATATAGTCAATTAAGGTACAGAAATGAAGGTTAAAAAAGTCATGCCATAAACAAAGATTAGAAAAATAGCTGCGGTTGTTCATTGACATAACAGCACCCAGAAAAGATGAAATGGATTATTTCCAGTATAAAAAACACCCGAATTAATAATCTCTGGATAATGTACAGTATGAACCATTTCTGGAGGATATGAATCTTCTTCAATTGCTTTCAAGAAAGTGGTAAAAGAGTTCCCAGAGATGCTTTCTAAGTGGAAGTAAATTATATCAGATGAATGCAATACCTCAAAAGGAATTGCGTGATTGCCCTATCTATATTCATAAAATGACGAACTTGAGGATCAAAGATTAATGAGGGATGACAGTGAAATCTTATTACAAAGAGAAAGATAAAATCATTTGTGGTAAAATAAATCAATGACATAAAGGGCTGAATTCAACTTCAAAAAACTAAGGCTTGGCCTTCACTAAGTTAAAACAACCATTATTACAGAAATGATGATGACATCGCTTTCAAGTTTGAACACCAGCCAGCAAATATTAGACAACCATTTTCTCTCTGTTTGTTGTAGTAATCACTTCCACAGAGAATTTTTTATCTCACCTTGCAATACAAAAGCCAAGTCCATAATCTAGTAGATAGGTACAAAATAGACAGCCCAATGCTAATGCTTGGGATCTCTATCAGAAGATCTTAAGTTTGAATCCTATTGGAAAGGATGGGAGCGGTCATGAGAAGGAAAGAGTTGTGACCTCATAGTTCGCTTAATATTCAAATGTACCAAAAAGAAACATATAAATGATCCAATCCTCTATTTTCACATGAAACTTGCATTACTAGTTTTATTTTCACCTCCATGACACAGAAAAACACACAAGTAACACCATCATAATCGCTGAAAATGAATCTCAAAATCCATCAGATATTAAGAAGGAATTGCTTATACGATATGTACCTGTAAGGAATATGGCGATTTGTCGTTGAGTCCCTAAATCTTTTTGCTAGTCCAAAATCAATGACATAGACCTGGTAAGGTAGTAAAATGAAAAAAAATTTGATAAAAGCCAGAAAAGAAAACATACTGCATGAGAAACACAAGTAAACATTGAAGACAAGTTTATAACAGGAGTTGTTACCTGATTAGCTTTCCTTCCAAGACCCATGACGAAGTTATCTGGTTTGATGTCTCTATGCAAAAACCCCTTAGAATGCAAATATTCTATTTTTGAAATCTGCATTTAAATGAAAGAGAAACAAAAGAACATAGTCCATCAGATTTTTTTTTCAGTGCATGAACAAAATGTCCAACAGTTGCGATCTATCAAACATAAACTGAAGAGCAATGCCACAAACAGCTACCACAACCTAAAGCCTAACAGTATTTAACGAACTTGGTAATTACCATCTGATCAGCCAACATCAATACCGTCTTGAGTGAAAATTTCCTCCCACAGTAAACAAATAGGTCTTCCATACTTGGTCCCAGCAAATCCATTACTAGTGCACTATCATCCCCATCTACCCCACACCATCTCATGCTTGCAATACCACCTGAAACATGAACAAATTTTTTAAAAACGACTGGGATAAAATCGTGTTTCAAGTAACACATAAAAGCATACAATACTTACTCGCCCCCTGAAGAATACTATACAATTTGGCTTCATACATCAATTGCGGATGCTTTGTTTTGTTGTTTTCCTATAAAACAAAACCAAATGGCGTCTCTTCAAAACCCTTATATTTATCAGAACAAGATAACCATAACAGCTGAAATTTGATTTAATAGTATCACCAAAATCAGCTCGAGAAAAAACATAGTTAATTAATAAAATACTCACAATCTTCACGGCTACTATTTCACCACTGCTGATATGGCTGGCTGAAATCAAATTTTCCATAGTCTTAACAACAATCAGAAAGATTATATAATCAATCGTTAGAGCAAAAACAATACAGAATTGAAAAAAGAAAGATACCTATGTAGATTTCACCGAATGATCCGCTTCCAATTTTACGACCCAGCTTGTATTTATTTCCTATAATCCTCTCCATTTATATATGAATATATTTCCTCTCGATAGAATTGACGAAATTTTGCCGATTTCAGGAAAGAGAGGGAACTAGGGTTCGTAGAGAGGAAGAGAGCGATCCTTTGGTGGGGTAGCTTGGGGATTTTCTCAAGGAAAGTTTGAAGCCCACCCGGGGAACGTCAATGGAGGCGACGAGCAGATTAGCAGAGAAACCAGGTCGCGAAGAGAAATGGGGGCGATTTTTGTTATTATTATGATTGGAGTTGACATTTGAGAAAAAAGTGGGGTGGCAGTTTTGGATTTTGTAAAATGTGAGGGGTGGTCTGAAAAATACATTATTTCCTACGATTTTCCTAGGTAGGCAATGGATCGGGTTTTCTAAAATATCCGATCCGTTTATTGCAGGTTTGGGTACTGATACCTACTGAACACATTTAAGGTTTGAAATTTTTATTTGATCTCTGATCTCTGATTTTTTTTTTTTTTACCATCAAATTAAAAATACTTAAATATAATTTAAGTAATATTTTTGCTAAAAATAGATATATTTTTAAATACTATTCTCACTTTTTTTTTTCTAAATGAAAGAATTATTTCATTTCAATAAAAATTTATTTTTGTATCAATTTGATTCGTGAATGGATCACCTACATGATCTGGTTAATCCTCTTTTATAATTTTAATGAGAAATTGTAAATTTTTATTCATTATCTTATTTTATAAAACACTTGTTGTGTATTTATGAATGTATATACCTAACATCTTATTAAGAAAAAAAATTAATCGTTGATTTTCATTTTTCTAATAAAAGTCCTAAAATTTTTTTTGCTTATTTTCAAAAAATAGAAAGAGAAATCCAATGGTCTTTTTTTATTAAACACTACTGGATTACAGTTATATTTGTTATTGCTTTCATAATTATTTTTTCCATTTTTTTTCTTGAAAAGAATGTTGTCTTATTCTTGTTTTTATAAATTGTAAAAATAATTAGAGGGGTCTATCATTTGCGAATTCTTTTTTGATTTTATTACTTCTGACCTTAAATTCATAATTATTGAATTACTTTTGTTTGATTTAGGTTAGTTTTTGCACCTCAAAATAATAATAATAATAATAATAATAAAATAGCAATAAAAACATGAGGTAAAAGCTATAAATTTTTTAGGTAAGAATTTATTACTTTCAATAAAAAATTAATATTATAACCCGTGTTGACAATTAATATTATATTTTCATACAAAATCAATATATAGACATCTTTTCCTTAGAAAATATCAAGTGGAATTGCTATGTATTGCCATGTAGGATTAGAAAAATTATAATGCCATATAGGATTAGAAAAGTTAAGTTATACTACATAGGATTCCAAAATACTTTAATTTATAAATAAATGCAAAGCATAAATGCTAAAACATAGTAATCAATAATATAGTAAGAAATAATGATCATTTAACTTAATAAAAGATTAAACAAATAATTACTACAAAAATAGTCATTTCAAAATCATAAAGTTTTATTTGACTATATAAATAAACAAAATTAAATAGAATATTGTATTTTGTAACATTATTATTATTATTATTATTATTTTCAAAAATGGTTTATTATCATAATTACAATTTATAAAAATAGTCATTTCAAAATCATAAAGTTTATTGACTATATAAAATAAACAAAAATTAAATTATAATATTGTAATTTTGTAACATTATTATATATTATTATTATTATTTCCAAAAAATGGTTTATTATCATAATTACAATTTTATAAAATTACTATATTTATAAATTAAATTTAAACATTGGCAAATTTCTAAATTTATTTATCTTACTAAATTTTGAGATATAAACCAAATTAAATTTTAAATATTAAAATCATATATACTAAATTATCTATGCATAGTGTGAAACAAATATATAACCATAAAAACCCAAATAGGATTGCATTTTTCTAAGTTTCTATAGTTGTAATTAATTTCACATAAATTAATAATCACAATCAGTATATAATAAATGATTATTTATTATCAATATATTTATCATTTTCATTTGAATATTAATAATAAAAAAACTAATAATAAAAATTTGATTAAAACAAAGGACTAAATTAATTGTGATTTCAATTCAAGTCATTTTTAAAATTAATTTTAAAATAAATATTTTGCACAATAAAACCGCTAAAAATTTGATTAAACAAAGGACTAAATATTGTGATTTCAATTCAAGTCATTTAAAATTAATTTAAATAAATATTTTGCACAATAAACCGCTTAATAAATATTATGAATGATACGAAATATATAAAAACATTTTAAATATAGTTTTTAAATAACTGTAGCTAGAATATGTTTTTTACAGTGAGAGCTTTATAATACATTTTTATTTTATTTAAAATTTTTAAATTGTAATTCACTAAATAGTTTCAAAGTTGAAACATTTGTTATATAATTTAGATTAGTTGAATGTATTTACATTTTCAAAAAAAAAAAAAGATTAATTGAATTTAACTGTGATTTGAATAATATATAAAAAATTTTCAAATAAATATTTGAAATAAATATAGTTGGAAAAAACTTATTACAATTAGTGTTTTATACTAAAAATGCATCTAATATTTATTTTAAACATACTTTAACGAGAAAGACAAAAAGGAAAAAATATATATTCTAGACAAATAGAACAATAAAATTAAATAAAATTACACGAAATATTACAATAATAAAAAACATTAATAATATTATAATTGAGAAAATTTAAAATTAATAAAAAATTATATATTAAAGCTATACATAGCATGGGTATGACGCTAGTGACAATATAAATTCAGCCAGCTCATCACCCTCTTTCATGCAGTGTTTCCCATTCTCTCTCTCTCCATTTCTCAAAACTGAAGAAGAAGAAGAAATTTAAAAAAAAAAAAAAAAATGTTAAAACAACCATAACAACAACAAGAAGATGATCGAAAAGCCACTAATCCTAAACAGCAATCCATCAAGAGGTGGCCTTAAAGCCTTGCCTTTCATTGTATAGGTAATCAAAACATTAATCATTAGTTATTATATTTCTTTTTTTCATTAATTAGGGTCCCAGTGATTATTAAGGTTTTAATTAATTAATTCGTAATTACGTATTTCTGAAAACAATCTTACTTAATTTGTGTCGGCAAGTGCGGCATTGGAGAGGGTCGCAAGTTTTCGGTTACTGACTTAATGCCAAACATGATTTTGTATTTGACCACCTGTCATCCACGGAAACGTGATACCTTGATGTTTTCGCATTTTAAAAACATTTTAAAAATGAAAATAATTCGAAAACGTACTGAATCTATTTTCATAAATACTGAAAATTAAAAATCCGTTTCCTTAGTTAGAAACATTTCTTACATTAAAAAAATCAAATTTTAAATCCAATAAAATTGATGATTTGCAAATTTTATTTGAAAGGACAAATAATCATATTTTTAATTTTAATATTCAAACTTCAAATTTAACGGAATTTTATTATTATTTTTTCATTTTGACATTTAAATATATTTTTTTATTGAGTAAAACTTATGAATTGATTGTCCTTTAAAAATTTTAAATCTACTCTTTCTAAATTATTTTCATATTTATTCCTATATTTTTTAAATTTATAAATAAACCTCCTATATTTTTTATATTTTCTCGTTACTTCATATTTCCTTTTCTATATGTTTTTGAAAATGTCCTTTCCCAGTGTCCCTTTCCGCGTTTCCCGTTTCCGTGTCCGTGAATCATAGTAATGACCACTATGTTTCCACAACATGATTAGACAAGTTAAAAGGGGACGATTCTACAATGGTCAACAACTATGTTTAGACGAGCAAGGCCACCCCCTTGTGATTGCGACACTTGTCAATCGGTGACGACATTACAGCTTCTGCTTTATCGTTTGGTCTCATATCCATTGGAGCAGGTGGTGTAAGGTCGTGTTCTTTAGCCTTCGGTGCAGATCAACTCGTTACGAGGGAAAAAAACCTTAAAAATGCAGGGATTTTGGAAGCTTCGTTAGCTGGTACTATGTTGTAACCTCTGTTTCAATAGTTATTGAAGTAAAGATAACTCTAGCAATATAATGTAGACCGGACCTGCTTCCCATTCATTCTTTTATAAGAATGTTCTTCGGCCGGCCAATAGGGCGCATCGCTTTCTCTTCTGTAATAGAGGCGCTTGGCTAACGAAGAAAAATCTTGGTCCGCTTTCATTGGTCTAGTCCGATCATTGCTTATCTCTTTCTTCTCTATCGGTTAATTCGATGAAAGAGTGCACCAGAGGTGAAAAAGCAAGAAATAGGGAAGTAGAGTAGTTGGGACACGCTGGTCAATCCAGTACGTACGTCGCTTTCGTTCTTTCCATTCAATATCCCGTTCCCGGTCGCATCTCTCTATTTAGCCAATCCCTTGCTGCTTGCTTCATCCCGCCCTGCCTGGTCATCGGTCGTACCCATCTTGAATCTAGAATCGAATCTGTGTCGGCATCTGTCCCACTGGCTGTTGAAGGTGCTGGCTGATGAAAGACATCCCCCTTTCGTCCCTATGTCACTTGTTTACATTACAGCTCTTATTGGTCTTTTCTTTTAGCGCAGCTTTCACATGATGCAATATCTAGACTGTGCACTTACTTGTATTGTTTATATTCAAGATATGATGGGGTGGAAAATGGGCTTTTGGAGTTCCTGTAGTGGTCATGATTCTGTCAACTCTTTTCTTCTTTCTTGCTTCTTCCTTCTATGTCAAGTCGAAACCTAAGGCGAGCTTGCTTACTGGGTTCGCTCAAGTTCTTGAGAAGAGAAGTGTACCGTTCCCACCTTTCCATGTGATAACTTTCTGAAAATAATTTATGTTGTCCACCTTTTGCTATCACTCAGAGGTTTTAAAACAAAGCTTGCATCATCATAGATCCTGAAGAACACCTCGCCAGAAGGAAGATCTTCAGATCCATGGAGTCTGCACAATAGATCAAGTAGAAGATCTAAAAGCATTAATCAAAAAAAGCCCAATATGTTCAACAGGAATGATAATGTCTGTGACAGTAAGCCAAAGCTCATTTCCAGTACTCCAAGCATCCACTATGGACAGACACATAACTTCAAATTTCGAAATTCCTGCTGGCTCCATTGGAGTTTTCATCATTATCTCCCTAGTTATTTGGGTTAGCTTATACAAGCACATAATTATCCCTCTGACATCAAAGCTCATTGGAAATTCTGTTCGTTTAAGCTTGAAACAAAGAATGGGAATAGGATTCTGTTTTCCTCTGCATCCATGGCATCCTCCGCTATCGTAGAGAGTTTCAGGAGAGAAATTGCAATAAAGGAAGGATTACCGGCTTCTTGCTGTTATGAGCTTGGTTAACTTGGGGTATTATCTTGCTTGTATTAAGGGTTATGGTCCTTGTAGGGGAGAAAGGGATAATAATAACAATAATACCCTAAATGTAGGAATTACTGTTAATTATTTTTTATTAGTTGTTAATTAGGAATGCAGCTTTATTTTTATTTCTTTTTTAGCATGTCTATTTTAATGTAATAATTTTTGGAATATGAATTTGTAAAATATGGTTATAATTTTCTATATTAATAAGATCTTCAAAATATATAATAAAAATGAAAAAAAAAAAAAAAAAAAAATTTGTAAAAATATGGTTTATAATTTTTCTATATTAATAAGATCTTCAATATTATAATAAAAAATGAAAAAAAAAAAAAAAAATGAAAAAAAAAAAAAAAAAAGAACTTTCATGTTTATACATATATAGTAAAAGACTAACACATTAATAAAAATTTTATTGTAATTAATCGTAATGCAGAAGTTAGGGTTTAAACATTGACAACCCTAATCATGGTGGGCAAGACCCCCTCTTGGCCAAATAATTAATTAATCATCTCTAAGAATGCCTCTTGGTTAATGGCAAACGCTTGATAAGTTCCAAAACGACAGCAACAGAATGGTTAGCAGCAAGAGAGGTGAAAGTGTCAGCCTCATTAGAATGGGCAGATCCACCACCAGCCAAGTCTGAAAGAGCCCTAATAGCAATAAAAGGAATTTTCTGCTGATGACAAATCAAAGCCACAGCTGCAGTTTCCATCTCTACTGGACTTACATTGAACTTTTTATATATGAAGCTACGATAAGCAGCATTGTCTAAGTATATGCTTGCACTTCCTCCTCTTTCTACTGTCACCACTCTCGGTGTCTCCGATAAACATGTTGTTGAGTTCAAGCATCCTTGTAGTTTCATGCTCTAAAAATAAGTAATTATTTTAGTAATTATAGCTTTCTCTCTTAATTTAAATGATTGCTTTCACCTCTGCTAATATATGTTTATTTTTTCAATTTCATCGAGCTTCCAGATATGATAATATAGATAGGAACTAAGGAACTAATATCTTACCTCCAGAGCTTTGGAAATTTGAAAGTAATTGGAATCAACAGGAACCCAAAAGGCATGTCCCCTATTTTCAGGAGTTGCATCCACTAGAAAAACTTCTTCAGGTTGGTACCAAACATTGTTCAACAAGTTATCATGTGAACCACACTCACTCACATTCGTACTGTAATTTGCAAATTTAATGTACCCAATTTTTCTTGTGTAGTCACCATTTGATTCTAATGGCAGCTCATCTTTGGGACCTTTTCCGTACCTCTGCGCAATTAAGATTGACCCCATGATTTCAAAGTTAGGACATTAATTATCATTCAATGCACTTACTGGAACTCTGTCAAATCTACCTAACTAAGATTTTACATAAATAAGATGCACTATTTTCATATAAAACGACTTCAACACTGACAATTTATAGTAAAAATAAATAAAAATATATGCACCTGCCAACTCCAAAGACCTAAATGTGCCCAATATTGAGGAATAGTAACATCTCCAATATTAAGAGAAGGGTTAGCATTTCCAGCAATTCCATAGTGAACAACTCCGTTTACATTAAAAAAGCTCAGCAGTAGCTGTGTGGTTACACCTGCATTTATCTGCAATACATGTATATATATAGTGAAGAAGAAAATTAAATTAAGAAGATATATATGAAAACAAAAAAGAAATTAAAAAGAAAAATTTCATACATACCAGGCTTAGTCCTGTCATCACCAATATAACCTTCTTTTCAGCTATGGTTCCAAACCGAAATCTCCTTCCTTAAGCAATACACAAAAAGAAAGTTATTAGAAGTTTAAATCTTGATACACACTGTTCTTAAATGTATCAAAAGAAATGAAGAATTAGGTAGTGAATGAACCATGTGCCTGTAATTACCAGAAAAATCAATGATGAGGTCAGTAGCAGTGAAATTTGGAGATTGAAGAAGAGGATTCATCTCAAAAAGGTTGGGAATGACCAAACCCAGATAAGGACCATCCTTGTTTGCCTGATCAATCAGTTTTCTTTTATATGCTGATAATGCTCCATGTAGATTTGCTTCACTAAAATCACTAACCATTATAACACAGTAAACTAACATCAAAACAACTCTGAAAGCACCCATCTTCTTCAATTTTCGGAGGGTAGGATCCGTACGAGTACAGAGCTTTAGAGCTGGGGACTACATATATAGATAGAGGCTCATTCAACCACATATATATGTATATGCATATGTATATATTTTTTTTAATTTATTTAGCACTCAAATTTGAGATCTTCCATTTCTTACATCAGTAAAAAACTAAATAGAATACTTTTGATAGAGTATTACTGTATCAGCTCCGCAGTACTTTGTTGAATTATAATTAGTAATTACAATAATGTTTTAAATGCAAATCATATATAAATTAACTATAATTGAATATGACACTTCTAAATGCTTTTTACGGAATCCTATTTTCTTGCACATGTGAATATGATGATTTCTTATCTTTTACTGGTAATAAAAATGATTTCTTATCTTTTAACCATAATCAGTGATGATTTCCATGTTTCAAGGGTTTTACATTTGACACAGCGTCTTTAATTTAATTATAATTTAATAATCAATTTATATTTTCTCTTTTTTTATGTATTATATTAATCTCGAAAGGACAAAAAAAAAAAAAAAAAAAACCTCATTTTTATTTTCTCTTTTTTTATGTATTTATTATTTACATCTCGGAAGGACAAAAAAAAAAAAAAAAAAAAAAAAAAAAAAAAATCCTCATTTCTTTTCAACATCATGAATCTCTTAAGTGAATAATTATCAAGGTATTAAAATTGCTTTTTAAACCTAGAAACGGAGAGAGGATAATCATAAACTAAAATCATACTATCTCTGTTCCATAATACTTGAGAAAATAATTTATTTCAAAATACTTATCATATTTGTGTTTCAAGAAATAATAAATATTTTTTTTCATGTTTACCCTTTATATATGATTAATAATTATTGCTTCAATTTAATTGTTTCTTAGAGAATTAGTATTAAATTACGGGTGATATAATCATTTTACTCAATAATTTATTATAACTTAGACAAATTTAGTAATTTTTTTAAGGGACGTGAAATTTTAAATGTGACAAGTATTATGGATCAGGTAGTAATATTTTAGAAATAAAACTAAAAGATCTTTAATAAAATAAAAATAATATTACAAAACAAAGCATGGTAAACCAAAAAATAAAATCATTTTAACCTTTTTAAAGTAATTTCATGTGATTTTGATACAATTTTACTCAAATTTCAGTTTTAAGTACGTGTTAATTCGATTTATGATTCTCTTCAACAAAAAAAAAAAAAAAATCCAAAAAAAAAATCGATCTATGATTATTGATTTCATTAGAATCGTAAAAACCGTACGAATAATTCCTATGATTTTGACAAAGTAAGTTTTGGAAACACCAGTGATCTCTTCATTTCAAATTAAAACAAAAAAAATAATAATAAAAAACAAAAGACGAGAAGAAAAGTAGCTAGATTAAAAAAAAAAAAAAAAAATCGATCTATGATTTTGATTCATAGAATCGTAAAACCGTACGAATAAATTCATGATTTTGACAACTAAGTTTTGGAACACGTGATTTCATTTCAAATAAAACAAAAAAATAATAATAAAAAAAAAAAGACGAGAAGAAAAGTAGCTAGCATTAGTGCTAGAATCGGTCTGCCAGTTTCAGTTTTAAACCTGATTGAAATTGCTAGTTCAAGAACTCGGTTTGATTCTTATATGTTTATTGTTGAGATTGAAATTGGAAGTTCTAGCCCGTTTCATATAAAAAGCAAAGAATAAAGGTTGAACCGTATCAAAACTTCGTTGAAACTAATTCGTTAGACTAAAATCACCGGTTCAAATCAATGCTGCTGTTAACTAGTGAGCAGTGAGATCGGTTTATTATTAAAAGAAAGAAATAAAGAAAGGAAAAAAAAAAAAAAGAGGGTTGTGTTAGTATACCAGCAATAAAATTACGAGAACAATTAAGCAGCGGAAAAATTAAAATTGGGACACACAGAAATTTACGTGGTTCACCCTCAACTATTTAGGGCTACGTCCATGGGAACAACTCCGAATATTTTTCTTTCACTATTAAAAATAGTAGGCTTATAAAGAGAGTAATACAAAATAGTGGCACTCACAAGTGTTTCCTAAAAACACTTTAATAATCTTCACTATTTTCTAAACCCTTAGTTTTAAGAATCCTTCTTAAAACTGAACTCTCTAATTTTTCTCTCGCGTTTTGTTGGTACATCTAAACTGAAAAACATCCTTTCCTATTTATAGGAGAAGGAATGAGAGAGTCATGTGTTTGTTACACACGGCTCTGCATTAATTTCGTAGTTGGTTGCCGACTTTTGAATGGTTGACAACCAACCTTTTGCTTTTTCAAACAGTACGTTTTTTTTTTCTCTTTAATTTTTTTTTTCAAACTGTATAGGTCACACTTTAGTGGGCACACCACCACCAACACGTTGCACTATTATTAGACTTAAAATATATGTATACCAAGTTACTTGTTGCTTCCTAAATTCATTTTTAACCCTGTGGCTCTCTTGAATTCCTTTATAAAAAAATTTGTTTAACTGTGAGGTGAAATTCAGAGGGTAAAGTGTAAAAAAAGAAAAAAAAAAAGAGAAATTCCGAGGCCACAAGATCATATAAAAAATTCAGATATTATAGTATCTTTTTTTTTTTGTAAAAGTCCAGGAATTAAATCATATATCAGTCAGTTATTTATTGAAATTTACAACAATTTACGAAGTACCAAATATTTCCAAGTTTGCGCGTTTTGATTAAAATTCAAATTTTACAACATGAATTATGAAATTGCATATGGTTCACAGAAACATATCACTGAACCTTAGCTTGGCTTTTTTTCTGTGTCTAATTGCAAAGATCATTTGTTAAATGAATTAACCAGCTGCTTATAAACCAGGGGGTTTGAACAGTGGAAGAAAATTGAATATCCCTTCCACATCGACCGGAACATTAAGAGCACGGTTGAGAAGCTCCGGTGTAGTTGTCTTCCCTTTCCAAGTGTTAAACCATGGTCCTCCTCCTACTTCGACTGCTGCCATATCACTTGTAACATCTAAAATCATCTGTAGATAACAGAGTTGGAAGTGTTAGAACAATCATGCCATTCAGTGAAAAGTGAAACTAAAAGGGTGTTTTCGTTTCTAGAGATGAGAAAAAAATTAAGTGGAGCTCTGCAAATTTAAAACAATACATCCCATCACAACTGAACTCATAAAATGGAAGAAAGCGATTGAAGCCCAAGCGTGCAAGCACAACAAACTTTGAGAAGATACAGAATTTCAATGAAATTGCACCCATTTATAATTTGCATCAGATGGATTTAAAACTTTAAAAACTAAAAGGAAAAGGAAGGAAACACCTACTGATATGGCAGCACTTCTAAAGCATGAATTAGAAGAATGAGGATTCTTCATTCCCAATTTTTTTTTTTTTTTCACTATATTTAGATATAAAGTTTTAGAAAATTTAAGGATAAGAGATTCAAATTTCCAGATAATAAAACAAATAGTACCAGTAAGCAATCATAGCCATAAAATAATAGCATAACACCAATGAAACATTGGTTTCAATCATCCTTTTAGCAAATTCAGGCACAAAGAGAAGTAAGGTAAGGTATAATTCTTTGGTCAACTGTTCAAAAACAAATCTGCAGGATCATAGGATGTATTAAAATGCCCATAAAATTTTTTAAGGGACTAACTTCTGCCATGAGTTGGATGGTGAATATAGAAAGGGATTTATTTTTAGTCAAGCTCATAGCACATGTGCAACAAAAATGGTAAGACAAACTTGCCAACTAAGTTGTTGCATAACAATGAATCTTGAAGCCTTTGGTTTTCTTTTATGATAGCTAGTCTGGTTGATGGCACAGTTCAATCATTACTGAATTGCACGGCATGTATTAAAACTAGTAAATGCAGTGCACTGACTTGATGAGAATATATAAATGCAAAATAAAAATGCACCTTGCCCTTAGTGCCATCATATCTTCGTTCCCATATCTGCAATTTCAGATCACCAAAACAAGTATCTTTGCAAGCTGGGGCAAAGCCAGATTCTGTCGTTGGAGCACGCAAAGTTGTTCCCGGATCCTTTGTTGTTGCCTTCAACTCAACCTAGCCAAAAAGAACAAGTTGCAGGCACATGAAAAAAAAAAAAAAAAAATCATAAGTTGTTTGAGATCAACATTTATCATTTTTAGCCTTGAATTTCAGTTTATGTTATTTTTTATTTTGTATTTCAATTTTCAATTCCTTTTTAAATTTCTGAATTTTTATCTTTTGAAAATGTGAAAATAGCTCCTATTTTGTTTGAAATTATATTGAATTTAATTAATCCAAAAATAAAGATATTGTAGAAATCAACTTGTATCATTTTCTTTTCTTGAATTTCAGCTTTTGCTTCATTTTTTTAAAATATTTTGTTCCAATTTTCAGTTTTTCTTATTCAATTTTTAACTTTTAAAAATGTGAAAATAAGTTTTTATTTTGTTTGACTAAAGCATTGTCTTAATTTGACTCAAAATTCAAGATCGGACCTAATTGAATAAAACTGAAATAATTGGGAACCAATTTGGAGTTAAAAATTCTTCCCAAAATCTTTTCGGGTACAATTAATCTCAAACTTGCAATCTCAGGTAAAATAGTAAGAAATTTAAAAATAGCATGCAATTATAACAAGTCACAAAGTTTGGGGCAAATAAGTCTATTAGGACAATTCACTGTGAAAAGTTGGTTTCATAATGTGAGCCTGTCCCACTGGCATGGAACAAGGCAGAATTTCAGGGAGATTCTTTCTTACCAAATGGCTTTTGTTCTCAGCAGTTATAAACCAGTAACCCCATGGAGAAATTTCCCAATTTAAAACACCGTTCCATGGCACAAATTCATAGAAAATTCCCTCATAATGCACTCCAATCTGCATCATTAGACATCATAATGGATGCATCAGCGATCATAAAAGAACAGTTCCAACTTGTTAACAGTGAGCACATTTCATGCTTTCAAAAAGCTTAAAATATCTCAAGATATTCAAAAATAAGGGACACCGGGCAGCTTGCAAGACCTCATGGATAATGGTTGGACAAAGGTGCTCTACTAATGATAGATCACATATACACATACACAAACACCCATATACACGTTGCCCTTTTTTTCAATAAAGGGGGAAGAAATTAGTTTTTTACAAGAAACATATTTACAAAATGAAGATAAGTGGAGAGAAAAGAGTATAGGTTTTGCCATAGAAAAATACCAATGCAGCACTTTCAAAGTTCTCAGTTAGTCCTGGCAATTGCCGCAGCCCACCAGCTGCAGTCAAAGCAACTTCTCCAATTGCCCCTTCAAAGACATTACACTGAACCTGCAGTGTAACATCAACGACCGAATATGCAGGCAATTAACATTTTTTTCATCCACTTATGAAAAGACAATTGCAATTCACAAACTATTAGCAGTATATTATTCCGCTAATGATAAAACAACCATGTCCTGTCAAGAACCCACAAATGTGCAGATGTCTTCAAACGGAAAAGATTTTACTAAAGGACAATACATTCAAAATCAAGGCATCTGAATGAGAAAAGCAGGTTCAATAACCATAGGCAGAGTTGATGAGTCTCCTTCAACTGTTCTCTCTACTGGACTGAGAGAGCTATGCTGAAAATTGAACTAGGCAGTGAAAAGGTAACGCATTGCCACAACCACCCACCATATCTGCATGTTGAGGTATTGACTTGGGGCATTTTGTTCTTAAATTAAATTGGATCATTCGCCACTGTGATGCAAAAAGCATGGGTGAACTCTAGGACATTATCCATTCACTTAGAGTGCAATAAATAAGGATGAACTCCAAGTGCAAAAATGAGATGCCAATTAATAAGCTGGCCATTTGCCAACATTGAAGAAGGAACCAAACATTTACCCAAAACCATTTCCTTGGGAAGCCTGCACCCCAGTTCTTTTCTGAGTAAGAAGGTGCATCTTTGAACTCAAACCTTTCACCATCCCACTCTATCCAGCCTGCAATCCAATCAAAAACTAAGACATTAAACGTGCAGCCAGAATATACCCTACCAAACTAATAACAACAACAATAACAAAAACAAGAATTATATTTTCTCTTAAAATCTACTTATACTGCTATCACACGAACTTATTCCTTGATAGCCTCAAAAGCAAGACAATCATGAGTGGTTGGAATTCAGATTTATAATTGCTGATAAGTGATAAGGAGGAGATAAGCTAATGCCTGTTGAAAGTCCTCCTGCCATGCATATTTGCCAATGGGGTTCAAAAACAGGAAAAGCAGCAAGCCAGCCTGCAGTAGACTTTTGTTTGGATCCCACATCACCCCATCCATAAACAGGGCGAGTACTGTACTCCCAACGTGCTGTTTTCACAGTTTGCACATAATCTGACCTGCAATTAGAAGCTATGTTAAAGAAAAATGGTCAAGTTAGCTTGAAACATCTTAAGATATTAAAAAAAAACAGTTTTCATTTATTCAATTGCTGAACAAGGATATATTTAAGCTGCAGCCACTTTAGTTTATATAAATTGGTTTTCCACACTAAATAAAGTCAATTAGTGGAAAAATACAGCGTTTGAAGGTTTATTCCATAATCTTTAAGGAGGCATTGGAACATAGAATGGAATTGTTTGCAATTATATTGGCAGAGGGACAATTCAAAGGACATGGTTCAAGAGACTATAGCTGTATCCGTGATTTATCATTTTCCATTATACCCGTCAATGGACATAATAAGTGTCCATAAAAAAAAATAAAAAAATAAAAAAATAAAAAAAAAACCGAATTGCAACTCCGAGAAAACATTTTATTGTATCATATAAAATATGATACAACACAATTAATGCAGTATAGTAAATTTCAAAATTCAATCTTGCACCTAGGGCTACAGCTATCTAATGTAAGAACCTGCCATCATCGCGAATGAAACCTTGATGCCAAAGTGGGGTGACTTGGAAACCTTCTGAAACTCTTCTGCTAAAGTCCTGCACAAACCAGTGCATAAAACCAAATCATGGGTTATAACTCGGATTCTCTTCACTAATATTGTGTTAATCATATAATGTATATATACCTGAGGAGGAACTTCCTTAGTTGGAGGCTGCATGCCTTTCTCAGCTACAAAAGTATTCCCCAATACCAGTTCATGCCTATCTATCCATTAAGAAATTAGTAATCAGAAACTGAACAGAGAACTTCATCGATTCAAATCAACAGACTATGATTGGAAATAAAATAGACATAAAAAAAAACACGAGAGGGTTGCAATGTTTGTGAGGGCAGACTCAAACATAATATATCTGATACGAAACAGAAGTTGAAAAACACTAGTATACTCACTTCCCCAGAAATTTTGAGATTCTTCAACGTGTTGACATATATACTTGTCATAAGCCCCAAGAATTTGAGCCCCGACTCCAGTTGACCTAGGTCCATGTTGTGCAACTTCAAAAGGCGTCAACTTTTTCCGGAATGCCGGATTCTCCAAAGAATACATAAAACAAAAGCTCTGCTTCCGCTCAGGAATAGAAACCTTGAAATACCAACCCTCAAAGAATTGCCTTGTCGTTCCATCAAAATGATACCTAATTCAACTCTAAACACCTGTCAGTATCTAACCAAGACAACAAAATAGTTCTCAATTTAAAAATAAAGGTTCAGAGTTTACCCGCTATGAGGAGTACGAAGCTCGCGGTTAGGCGGCGTAGGTGCATAAACGGGACTTACAGAGCTTAAGAACTCAGTTTCAGGGTTAGTTACCGAATTGGAAACAAAAATTCTAGAGTTCGAAGATCGAAAACCTGAATTCAGTGAGTGGAAAAGACTATTAGAAGGTCTTTGCTTTGACGATTGGAAGAGTTTAAAGGAGGAATTAGATTTTATAGCCGAAAATCCCCAATTTGGAGAGAATTGGTGATGGTGGGGGAGTGAGTACTGCAAGTTCACTTCCATTGCTGGATATGGAGAAAATTTTTGAAGTTTATGTGAAAAGAAGAATGTGTATTTTGTAGAAGAAGGCGAGACGGTAGTGAAACGGGCGGAGGAGGGCGTTGCTAAGCAACAAGTGGCTGAAAGGTGGCGGCAAACTGCGAAAGGAGACAGACAAGACGATGAGTTAATGTCGTCTCGAAAAGGAAATAATCGCAACGGAAACCATATATATTAGTTTTTGTTTTTTTTTTTTTTTGGTGTTAGCTATTTATAGTGAATTTAATTCAGTTTGTACTGCCTCGAGATACTTTAAGTTAAAGTTATATTACAACTATGATTTCATGGTGTTATATTACATAAAATGGCAAAAACAATGATAAATATACAAATACATAGGTGGGTTATATATATATTTTATTATTTTTTCTCAGTCCAACAATTATTTTTTTTAATTACAAAAGTTGTATTACATATTTATTTTAAAGTAGGCGTTATAATTCTTTTCAAAAAAAAAAAGTAGGCGTTATAATTATTTATGTATTGTTATGTGGGTGTTTAATGTAAACATTCAAGCATTCACAGCATAAGAATTTGACATTTTAATATTAATATTTATTGTTAATCACTTATAAAAATGTTAAAGGTTTTAAATTCAAGTCAGACACATTTTCACTAAATATGTCAGCATAATATTCTTTGAACATATTTAGCATTCTAATGAATGAAAAAAATTAATATTAAAAAAAAAAAAAAGACTATTCTTATGTGGGACAGTGGTGTCGTGACTCCGCGGATCAAAATACTATATATGAACCGGGATGCAGGTGATTAGAACCCTTTGACCGAGCCCATCTTTTACCCGATTATCGAAATCAGATTATCAGCGGCCTCTCTATTCTGTGTCGCATCTCAGCTAGCTTCACCAGGTGAGCTTCTAATTCCGTCATCAAAATATTCAAATCCATGATAACAATCGTGCAAATATTGATCATTACTTTGTTCTTCATTCGATCTGTCAATAAATATTGCTACTTGATCTGTTTGGATGCCGAGAAAAATAAGAAGGTAAAACTTTGAGAAATTTTTGAATCATTTAAATTATTAGGTTTTGCGAATTTTCCTTCTTTCCCATTATCAATTAGGGTTTCTCTTGATGAAGAGCTTTTATATTGCAGTTCTAAATGAATTTGAGCATATTCATTTTTTGAGATTGGGTGTTAACAATTTTGAAGTTTTTTTTAACCCTTTTTTTGTGTTTTTTTTTTTTAATTGTGAATTTATAATTGCTTGCTCAGTTTGAGATATGAATACGTTTAGTTGTGAATTTATGATCTTTGTGTCTGACATGGTAACTTAATCCTGTGATCGTGCAGTTATTGTTTCATAATCGGATTCATAGGCTTTTGAACTATATTGGGATACAAGGAAAGACTAGCATGCAGGTTCTCATTTCTTATTCAGTCTTTTAATTATTCATATATTTGTGTATGTGTGTTATACTGTTATGTAATATTGCAAATCACTCTTGCTTAGCTATTTGAGAAAGTTGAGCCATTACTTGTAACCTTTGCTGTGTGTCTTGTGCCGTTTGCAGGCATCAAGGGCAAGGCTTTTCAAGGAATACAAAGAGGTGCAGCGAGAGAAAGCAGCAGATCCTGATATTCAATTAGTTTGCGATGATTCTAACATCTTCAAGTGGACTGCTCTTATCAAGGTAGCCTTAGTTCTTATGGAATTTTAGAAGTAATTGAATCATTTAAAAAATGGAATGATTTGTCTTGTTTTGTGCACAGGGACCAACAGAGACACCTTATGAGGGTGGAGTTTTCCAACTTGCCTTCTCTGTTCCGGAGCAGTATCCTTTGCAACCTCCTCAAGTGCGGTTCTTGACAAAAATATTTCATCCCAATGTGCATTTTAAGGTATATGATAGATCTCTTTGTCTTTGAATTTGTTTGGATGGAGATTCAAATTGCTTTTGGAGTGTTCTTTTGTTGTCTTGGAGCTTTTATGATTAGAACACGTGAAATTTACATTACAGATAAATTTTAATAATTTATAGGAGGCATTTGCTGTATAATGCTTTTCTAAACAACAGCTCAAATACCACACCAAACAGAACCTCTGTCTATCTATCTTCCTCTTTGCATGAGCGTTTGGAAGTTTCGGTTGATGATCATTAAGCATTTGAATGACTTTATCTGATTTAGAGAACCATATGGAATTGTATCAAACCTTTAACAATTACAATTAAAAATGCGTTTGGCGCAGGTTCTGTTCTGGGTACCCTATTACTCTTCGTTTGTTCTGTCATACATTATGAGATGGTGTTGCATTTTCTTTGCAGAATATTGTAATGATCAGACGAGTGGCTGAGCATTGACTAATTTGTTATTAATTTCTGGCAGACAGGAGAGATATGTCTTGATATCTTGAAGAATGCATGGAGCCCAGCATGGACGCTTCAGTCTGTTTGCAGGGCTATAATTGCGTTGATGGCCCACCCTGAACCTGATAGCCCTTTAAACTGTGATTCAGGTAAGCCGATGGTTTCTGTTTCAATATTTAGGATTTCTTAGAGAGATGATAAGGATTTCAAAATAAATTTCTTATTGTTAGCATATAAAGCCGTGAGGGTTGATAAATATATTCTTAGATTATTCACCGACTGTTCTTGTACAGGCAACCTTCTGCGTTCTGGTGATATCAGAGGTTATCAATCCATGGCAAGAATGTATACTAGACTCGCAGCCTCACCAAAGAAAGGGTGAATTTGTGCAGCTATCAATATTCAACCGTCACCATACATGCGATAAATGCCAGAGTAATTTTTCTAAGCTGTTGAAGATGAAACTTATTGTTGTATGTTCAAACCCTTCAAACTTGACTACGAAAATCATTTCAACAACCTTGTTGGGCGGTATCTCTCTCTCTCTCTCTCTCTCTCTCTCGGGTAAAAGTCCTTGGAAAATATTGCAACATAAAACAGATTGATACAATTGATAACATTATTGCTTGAGGAACTTGTCAAACCAATCGCTTGCTTCGTTTACCATTGTTGGAGTCACTTGATGCCAAATTCCAGATTCTGAAACTACCTGCAAGTTATAGAAGCAAAATATCATAAGAGGCGAACAAAATCAATACAAATTTTAGCCACAAAAGAACAGATTATTGCATACTTCAAACTTGTCCAGACTATTGGCTTCCTCATAAGCTTTGCATGCTCTAGATTTGGGAATTTCCAGACCTGCAATCGGGCAACGCTGATCTTTTGCACCTATAATTTCCAAATCCAAACAATTATTTCAGTCATTGATGAACAGTCAGAATCAGTATTGAGATTTGAATGCTTTCACAAGTAGATTATGATCTGTTACTTTAAAGGAAAGAAATTTACCGTTAAGAATCAGCAGAGGACGGGGAGCAATGGCTGGAATTGTGTATGGTGAATCAAATTTAGACGCGATACCTGGAGCAATCCTATCCCAAACCTGTTAAGGGATGTAAAGCTTTAAAAAATAGCCGATTTCGACAAAAAGAAAACCTCAACAGTAGGGAGTTTTGGATCTTTGGGAAGAAAATGTGGCAATGACATAAAAATTATGCGCGTTTTTTCAAAATGGATTTGTATGCCTAAAGAAACTGCACTGGCCTTCTCCACCACTTCTTTATCAATCTCAGTCTTGCCTAAATCTTTTTGTGCTTCTGCAGCAAGGAAAAACAAGAAAAGTCAATTAATGAGCGGAACAAAAGCTTGCAATACTTCAGTCCTAAGTACAAAACTAACAGGACATACTAATAAAAATATTATCTTTAACCAATTAATTTTCTTATTAATAGTTTTAGGAATCTACTTTGTAATAAAATATGTAGTTCCCATGTACTAATACAGTAATACCTTCAAATACAGGCCTTATACTGTTAACCCGAGCTTGCCACCTGTTATTGTCTATGGCCCAACGAAACCCCTAAATTTGCATTGCATACGATTCAGCTAGTTAGTGAGAAGATATTTGGCAACTCTTCTCTTATTTATCACTCAACTGCACTAACCTGCACACCGATTATAGGGACAACCACTGCGTATCTGGTGTCAGCAGCAGCAGCAAACCATGCATGCATTCCTGTATTTCATAATTGTAACTATGGAACGGAACTTGCAGACTTTAAATTGTTCATCTTCGTCAATTTCAATTCACTAACCTCCTAGTGATTCGCCCGTAATTCCTATCCTCTTAGGGTCAATATCTTCCCTTTGTGTAAGATAATCTGCCAGTTTTATCAAGTCCCATACCTGCAATTGTCGATTCGTCTCTTCAAATCACCAGCTTATGAAATAAAATAATCTCAATTATTTAAATATATAGATTTTAAAACCTTAAGTTAGGCTCAACTGGTTGGAAAATTAAACTACAAGAAACCATCAATTCTCATTTGCTAATAGTGAAAATAACAGTTAGATCAGATTAACTGAATGAAACAGACAAGGTAGAGAATAGATTAGGAAGTTACAGTGTCAAATATGAACGGCATTGTGTCTCCGATTCTCCATGATGATACAAGAGCCTGCATAGATTATTAATGTATGCGTATTAGAGGAGTATAATATAAAGTCAATCTTAGAGTAGTATATGAAACCATTAGACAAAAACAATAAATCTGGATCAGATCAGACTAATTAAAACCAATACAGACACCATATCTTACATCTTGATAAGTGGTTTTAGTCTTGGCACGTTCACCATGATAGCGAGAGTCGATTGCAATGGCTACATATCCCCGCGAAGCATAGGCCTGTATATATATATATATATATATATATAAGACTAATTAAAAACAATACGAGACCACCATATCTACATTCTTGATAAGTGGTTTAGTCTTGGCAACGTTCACCATGATAGCGAGAGTCGATTGGCAATGCTACATTATCCCCCCGGAAGCATAGGGCCTGTATAATATATATATATATATATTATAGACTACAAGAAAGAAGAAGGAGGAGGAGGAGAATTAATGAGAATGAATTACAACAATAAAAAGTGGGAAGTGGGGTACTATATATATATATATATATATAGATACAAGAAGAAGAAGGAGGAGGAGGAGGAATTAATGGAGAATGAATACAATACAATAAAAAGTGGGAAGTGGGGGTACCTCAAGCAAAGGCCTCAACCACTCTTTGCATGTATTTGTTCTGTGCAGGAAAACAATAGCAGGCCTTCTTTCGTTGCTTTCTTTCAAACTTAGAATTAGCATAGGGACACGCCCTTGCTCTCCTGCCTATTTTTATTTTAATTTTAGTCAATAAACCAAAGCACAATTATTAATTATATCAATTAGTAAATCAGAAAACTCAAACATTAATTAAGAAACTAAAAAGTAAAAAAAAAAAAAAAAGAAATTAATTAATTAACCTCAGTAATCAAATAAAGATTCTCCTCTTTCAGTAAACCTTTGAAATTCTCTATCTCTTTCTTGGGACAAGACTCCATTGCCTGCCAAAACACAAAATTAATTAGAATTTCTGAAGTCTTTGTATTTCTAATGTATTAATTTCACACATTGCGCACATTAACATGCCTAAATTTAATTATGACACCTAAGAATTAAAAAAAAAAAAAAATCAGTTTTAAACAACATGCCATACAAAAATTAAAAAAAAAAAAAATTCGCAGGTAATATTTTAACCTTACGTGCCACCCTTATCATCTTTCGATCATCAAAATACCATAGGATTTTTATTGTTATACACAAATAGAAAATAAACATTTTTCTAATTTCCTTTAGGAAAAAAAAAAAAAACATTTTTCTAATGGAAATTAATTAAGATTTAAAACCGAATTAACCTCACACTTCTCTGTTGACTGCGTATCGTCCTGATACAACAAGTCCACCACCGGTTTTCCAATTTCCACCGATAGCGGAACTGGAAAATCGAAAGAACAAAATCTGTAATCAGCAAAATAATAATAAAAAGAAAAAATTAAAACGAAAATAGTGAATTTTGTAGAGATAGTGATTTCGCCTTGAGCAGATCGACGGCTACGAAGGACTTGGATGAAATCTGATCGGATTTTGTTTGCATCTATAATTTCTACTTCCATTTCGACGATGTGAGTGGTAGAAACAGCAGCAGTGATCCACAGACTCAGTGGCTGCTCTGCTGCTTTTTATTTTTTTCAGTGCCAATATGGGGTGGGACCCACAGTTATGCATGCATGCATGCATGCAGTGCAAGTGCTGCCTCTGCCGGCCTCCCTCCCTCCTTTCCTCTCTGCCAAAACTCAAAAGAACAATACATCTGGCAAAACAAGACCGTATGTGCACCGAGTCATACCGTATGGAAATAATTTTATTGATACTCAGTTTATTTTCATTGACTACTGACTGTTTTATAATATTTGTCACGTTTGAAATTTTATATTTTTTAAAAAAGTTATTAAATTTATTTACATTATAATGAATTATTGAATAATTTGACTATATTCCTCTTAATTTAATATTAATTTTCTAAAAAAATTATTAGATTGAAGTAATAATTATTGGTCATATACATAAAATAAACATAAAAAAAAAAACTTTGTTACATCTCGAAATTACAAATGTAACGAATATTTTAAAATAAATTATTTTTTAAAATATAATAAGTATCATAGAAGGGTGATAGCAATATGCGCATTTCCATCATAATTGAATAAGCAAAAGGTTTACCTACCTATACCAACTATAGGAACCCACCTATAAGTCAATTTAGTTCAAACAATTATATAGGCTGAGCCGCTGAGGTTAAAAAAAAGAGAAAATGAACTGAATCGTAAACGGAACTAATTTGCCTAAACTCAATTGATGTATCCACTCGTGAATCAAACCAGTGAAAAATAATTTTTAGCTGAAACAAGAAATATTTTGATCTAATAAAAATTTGATAAAATAGAAACAATATTTGAAAAAATATTATTTTTATTGATTTAATTTAGATCCAAAAATCGGGTTTATGTTGTGTGCATGTCCTGGTACTCCTGCTGATCACTTATCACTAACAGGCAATATTCTACCTACTGGTTATATCAGAGCGCTTATCAATCCATGGGAAGAATGAGTCGCCATAGAAAAGGTTGGGTGTTTGTAGGGAATTTGAACAACATTTTGTGATGCCGTCATCCAATGGAGACAATAAATTGCACCGATCAATATTATTTAAAAGGAAAAATAAGTGTCTGTATAATTACATACGATAATTAACTTAACGATTACCTTGAGCACAGGAATTTAACCCGTTGTTACATCAATTCGACAAATTAAGGAAGAGCTCATAGACAATACAGTAACTTAATTTAGTGGCATCATTGCTTGACAACTACTTGAGCATACACTGAATATATTTTTACATCCTTGGACAAGTGAGAAGAGCTCCTTGGTTTTTAGAATACAAGACTTCACAGAAAAATATTAGCATAAAACAGACGATTAGTGACCCGCAACATTACTTGAGGAACTTGTCGAACCAGTCACTGGCTTCTTTCACCATGAATGGAGTCATTTGGTGTCCAATTCCAGGTTGTGCAACTAGCTGCATGTTATGGAAGCAGTATGAGAGACACACAAAATGAAAAGAAATTACCGTTTTGGGAAATCAGAATATTAGATAAGATACATTTAACCGAAAAAAAACCATGGACTCGATCCAAAAGCAGTGTTTATGCACGAGCTGCAATATCTATTAGGTGGAAAAATGGGCAGTAGGGAGAAGGGGTAAGAAAATTCAAAAGTGAATGTGCTTGTAAGGACTAATTGCTCCTTTTTTCTATTTATTGAGAAAAGAGGACTAGTTAAACTCCAGGAGTTCATCTAACTCATGGTGCTTTCTGTCTGTGAACTCCCACTGATATGTACAAATTTCAAACCCACAAAGAAAAGGTACATCTTAGAGACGACCAAAGCTGGTAATCCATATGTATAATCTGTAAAAAAGTACTTTCAAGAGAAGACACAAGTTCATACCTTAAACTTGTCTAAACTATGGGCCTCTCCATAAGCCTTGTCTGCTCTTAATTTTGGAATTTCTAAACCCGCAAGTGGGCAACGGGGATCTTCTGCACCTGCAATTTCCAAATCCAAAACAAATATTTCAATTCTAAATGAACATTCGAAATCAGTACGTTTAAGATCAATCCTAGGATGTTTCATCAGGATGTGAATAGACTGGTAAGATTGCATAGACTAAACAAACTATGCTGAAAATCAATGAAAAACTTGACCTATCAATCAACATAGATAAAAAGAGGAATGTTTCATGTCAATTATTTATCATGCATGATTAAATCTTCAACAGAAATTAAGCATCACATGGGACAAATCATGATCCATGGTTAGAGTTTGTTTTGTCTGATCAGATGAATTCAGAAACAACTTTCAATACTTTCATATGTCAGGTCTGTACTTGAACCTTGTTACTTAACAGGGATTTGGCTTAATTAGAGTGTGCAATTTGGTTCTTGGATAGAAGGAAAGAATTTTACCATTAAGAATCAGCAGAGGGCGTGGAGCAATGGCTGGAATTGTATATGGCGAATCAAAGCTAGAGGCCAGACCTGGAGCAATCCTATCCCAGACCTGCCAAGGAATACAAAGATTTAAGAAATGAATCCATTTTGAAAAAGAGATCCCACTGTATAGGCTATAGGAAATTTGGGGCTTAACAAAGAACATGTGCCAATCGTACAGTATATGGATTACTTGCTTCAATGTGTAAGATCTAAAGTTCAACTGCTAACTTGCTTAATATGGTGACTAGCGTCTCTTGATGAAAAGACAAGCAGAAAAGAGCATGGAGTAAAAGAGTTTTAAATCCTGAAATTCATCATAGCTTACTGAAAATTACATAAAAATTATGCAGTCATTCCAACATGGATTCCTATGGCTAGAGTGGAATTGTACTGACCTTCTCCACCACTTCTTTGTCAATTGCACTCTTACCTAAATCTATCCGTGCTTCTGCAACCAAAAATCAGCCGGTCAGAGCAACAAAAGCTGCAGGGACTCTTGTCAGAGTGCAAGCATGGCAAAATAGTTCAGCGCTAAATGTTATCAACAAGTAAGATGTGAAATAAGATACAACACATATTACAAAACTCTATGCCTTAATAAGAATAATATATTTAACCAATTTTCTTACAGATTGACAGTATAACTATATATTGAGTTTTCATACAACAATTCAATCAAAAAAGCCAAAAACTATAAATATTTGAAGGCTTGGCCAGTTTCATACTAAACATTGCTTGAAATACAACAAACCGGGGAAAAAAGAATGCCATGAATCAAATATATGACAAAAAGAGTAAATTGCAATCAGTTGTTTTTCAGGAATCTTAATCAGATGCTGTTTTTATTATATCTAATTTACACGTGTTATACCTTCAAATACAGGCTTTACACTGTCAACCCGAGCTTGCCACTTGTCATTTTCTATAGCCCAACGGAATCCCTGCAGTTACATTACATACATTTGCAGCTAGGTATTCGCAAACTCTTCACTAATTTTTATCATTTTACTAGACATACCTGCACTCCAATTATAGGGGCAACCACTGAATATCTGGTGTCCACAGCAGCAGCAAACCATGCATGCATTCCTGCATTACATAATGATACAAAAATTGTTATTTTGGAAATGTATAACCTGAATTATTCATCTTCATTTTCAATTGGCCAACCTCCCAGCGATTCGCCTGTGATTCCTATCTTCTTAGGATCTATATCTTTCCTCTGTGTAAGATAGTCTGCCAGTTTAATCAAGTCCCAAACCTGCAAAGGTCGCACATTTAAGTCAACACCTTGAGAAATAAAGTAATCCAATAATTAAAACCCAATTATTTCATAGATTTTTGACCTAAAGACTTCAAAACCTTAAGTTTTAGTTCTTTATAGCCTCAGCTGATTGGAAGACTAAACTGCAGGAATCCAACTGATTTACCAGTTTACAAATTACAAACCAACCAATAAGCTCCTGAACTAAAAGTATGTAACTGTTCAGGTTAACTAAGTGAAACATACAAAAGAACAGGTGGGGAAATTACCGTGTCAAATATGAATGGCATCTTATCACCTTTTTTCCATGATGATACAAGAGCCTGCATTTTGAATTGTATAACCAGGTTAGTTGAATGGAACAGAACACGTCAAAATCACTTTTGTCAAAAATCACCACTTGAACAAAATTTTAGTTATTGATGCTGACCGCGTGTATGCTTAAACATCAACTGCTCATTAGAAAACAATAAATGTTGCAGAAAACAATAAATGTGGATAGCATCAAAGTGAAGTGATTACTGCATTATCTCTTACTTACATCTCGATAAGTGGTTTTATTCTTGGCACGTTCACCATGGTAGCGAGAGTCAATTGCAACCGCTACATATCCCCTCGAAGCATAGGCCTTAAACAAGCAAAACAGAAGCAAAAGTGGTATTGCCATAAAAATCCCAGGCTTATGTCAAGAAAAAAACGAAGGGAAGAGTAGTTACCTCAAGCAAAGGCCTTGTCCACTCCTTGCACTTATTAGTGCTATGCAGGAAAACAACAGCAGGCCTTTTTTCTTTGCTTTCTTTCAAACTCAGAATCAACACAGGCAAACGCCCTTGTTCCCCTGCCTAATTATATTAATCAAAACACTAACTGTCTTTCGTTTCCAAATCTCCAATCAATAGCACACCAACAAACAAAATTTAATTTAATTAACCTCAGTAGTCAAATAAAGATTCTCCTCTTTGACCAAATCCTTACAATTCTTAATATCTTTCTTTGGACAAGATTCCATCGCCTACAAAACACAAAAGCAAAGGATTGCAATCTCTAAAAATACTAAAATCCTTCAAAATTACTCTTCAAGTCGAAGACGGACGGATTTAACCTCACTCTTGTCCGTCGGCAGCGTATTATCCAGATACAACGGATTCATCACCGGTTCTCCGTTTTGCACTGATAACGGAACTGGAAATCAAATCACATAATATCAAATCAGCCAAAAAAAACTAATTAAAAACAATGAAATTATACGGATTCTGATCTCACCTTCACCGGATCTTCTGCTACGGAGGACTTGGAGGAACTCAGATCGAATCTTCTGAACATCGATACTTTCTTTTTCCATTTCACCGGCAGTAGAAGTAGTAGGAGGAGGAGGAGGAGTATTATATTCAGTGACTGCTTTTGTTAATGCTGGATTTCCGTATTTATAAGAAACGAGTTTTGGCGGGTGAGCTATGCAGATGGAGAGAGGACTGCTGTCGAGTGTGAAAGGTCGGATAAGAGAAAAGTGGGTCCGTTGGGAATGGGGTAGTAAGAAGATTTGAGCTTGTACTTTCACCGATGCAAGTCTCGAAATTAGCATCCTCTTCAGTCCGCCAGCTTCGTGTGGCTTTGCTGATGCTGAAACAGAGGAAGCATCACTATCCAAGAAGTCAACAAAAAAATTAAAAACTCTTTATTAAGTTTTAAAATTAAAACACTTTAAAGTATAATTCTCAAACAAAAAAACTGTTTAATCCTTGTATAAACTCATTGTTTTTAAATAATTTATTTTCATTAATATATAAACACGAGTGCCATGTAAAAATAAATATTTTATAAATAATTAATCTGATTTTTTTTTTATTTCATTCAATAATAAAATAATTTTTTATGGATTTAACTCTAATTGCATACTAATTGTACAAAATAAAAAATGAACTAATTTCTATTTAGTATTTAGGGTTGATCTAATTCACAAGCACTTTCACTTGTAAACTATATAATTATGTTATTAGTTTAGCCACTAAAACTATAAATATATCAGTATCTCAAAATTTCTTATAACTTTGACTTACACTTTTTATTTTAACAATAAAAATGGTTAAATATAATTATAGAGAATTATTAATATAATTTTAAAAATATAAATCTCAACTTGTGAATTCCAACAAATTGAAGGATTATACGGTAATTAATCCATTTAAGTATTTAACAAACTGTGTTCAAAATAAGATAAAACTTATAAATAGTTATTCATTTTGAGAACTTAAGATTAATACATCTATACATGCCACTCAAAAGGAATTAAACCTTTTGTTTCAACTAGCTGATGCTTTTGAGAATATATTCTATTCTTCTTATTTGTTTATAATTTCCATCTTCTTTACCAAAAAAGTACATGTTACTACTGGTTCTCATTTATTTAAATAAATAAATAAATATAAAAATAAATATGCTAGCTAATTCACTGGGAATTGTATTAAAAAAATTAAGCATTTTTGCAGGAATTTTAGAGTTAGAAAATCATAAATTATTATTAATTAAAACTATAAAAGCATGCATACCATGCCAATTTGAATCCCTTCCTCTAATACTAAAGAAAAACTATATATATACATATATATTTGCCCTATAAAATATTTTGCCTTTTTGCTAAAGAAATCTTTTGTACTACAAAATATTTGGAAATCAGATTATTCACCCATTAAACCAGTTGATTCACCCAAAGCAAAACTATTCATTTCATACAATGGTTTGGTACCAATTGATAGTAGCATATAGAGAAACTTCCATTGAAAGATGCTTGCTTGTTGGTTTTGCATAACCAAAGGTAGGAAGCTTCCACAAGACGACAATTAAATTTCAAATGACCAAAAACATTTTTTTTCTAGAAAAAAAAAAAGAAAAGAAAAAAAAAAGCTGAAAAGGTAAGAAGTTACTTCAGGAAGATTTCCCCTTCATTCAAAAGCTGAAAAAGAAAATAATGGGTTAAACTTGAATAAATAGATCTGCTCTATCTAGTTAAACAAAATATTTTCAAATATTTACAGGAAATAATTACAAGTAAATGAATTATCTCTACACTCACTATGCTTATACTACCAGATAAATAAAATAAAACGGTCTAAAAGAATTATTATTAGTCTATAATCAATAACTAATTCCTCGAGAAGCACATTTCAAGTTCTTACCGCATCAAGAACAGCTGGAGACTGGGAGATTGTTACTTCATTGTACAGGCACATGATGCTGCTATATTTGAATGTTTTTTCCTCAGTGTTTAGCTCTTATTCTCTGCATTAAATTTTCCATTTTCAACAGGTGCTGCGGACTTTTTAGGCTGAATAACATTAGAAGCTGAAGTTGCTATAACAGCAGATTTTACAACAGCATTATTATAAGCCTTCTCATGACTTCCCGATTCAGTCGCTGAATTTATGATCTCTTCCTCTGCTGGTTCTTGTTGATCCATCATTTTACTCATGGCCGATGGAGAATACATTGTTTCTGCAATGTAAATGAGATTTTTTCTTGTTATGTAAGTTGACAATATCAGCATCTCAGATTAGAGAACCCATCAATACTCACATAGTAAGTTATAAATGCCCACTGTTACAGAAAACTTCCTTTACCATGTTTAGCTTTCAATTTCTTTATTAAATTTCATCTCGATTGTATCTCACATTTTCAGGATCAAGCATTCGGAGCTTCAGCAATACGAAAGTGAAGAAATAAATGAGATTTCAGGATTCTCTCCCTCACTCCCCAAGTAAAGGATCACCATTTCTATAAACCTCACAAACTGGTCTGATGTGCCATTTGTTTGATAGTGTCATATGTAGAGAGTAAGAATCACTGGAGAGCCACCAAGTAACCAGGGAAGTCTATTTAATTGCAGAATCAATCTAGGAAGCCTATTGCGGAAATGTTCATTTAACTATCCAAAAATGTCAATAAATTTGATGAAGCAGCAAAACCTTTTGCAAGGTGGAATTTTAGTAGTCAGGAAAACCCATATTGGTCTTACTCTCACAGTAGTTGAAATTTAAACCTAAATAATTTTAAACCAAGAACTAACCTTTTGCGCTTCCACGAAAGATGAGCATATTCAGAAAATCTCGAAACCTGCTCAAGATGAGCTTTTCTTGCTCTGCATAAACCTCTGAACACTCATGCCCACTAGATGATAGCTGGGTTTTGTTTCCACAGAGTCTTCCGACCCCAGTTGGTGGCCCAACTTCCATAAACATCATCTCTTGTTCATGACACATCAAATCAATTTCCGGTGATGCTGGCCTTCCGTCTTCCACAACACATCCGTCAGTCCCAGAATCAGTACTTCTATCTGTCGTTGCTTTGTTCCTGTTCAAATCATCATCAGGCAAAGTTTTATGGGCATCATGCCCATTCAGACTATCTTTCCTCCCTTCTATGGACAAAGCAGTAGTAGCTTCAACACTGTGAGTTTTTTCTTTATCCATTTTTCCTGACATTGTTGAGTTAAAGATTTAGAAAGAATATAAAATGTTAATGAATAAAAGAATATATATTATTTAAAGCCCTCTATATTAACTCATTCATATAGGCAGTACACAGCCTAAAGCCTCACAAGACAGATATTCACATTAGTAAATTTTCTAACCTATCAAAAATTATTTACCTTTTCTACAAGAGCAGAAAAAAGAAACTTGATAGAAAATTTTGAGGCAAGGCAGTGGTGGTAATAATGCATAAGAGAGATTTTTATGGATATCCAGACAGGAGGAGGTAATAATGCATAGTAGAGATTTTTCTCTGGACAAAAGGAAGCAACTCCCAAATATTTCCTGATAAAAATAAAAAAGAACTGAATCTCCATTTAAATTTATTATAAACTTTAGTGTACATCTCATAATAAGTAATGAGACTTGAAAGCAAGATTAAATGATAAAGATCTAATCCACATTCATGCTTGGTCTGTTCTCAGCATAATAAGGATAGAATATGTTCCCAAAATATCTGACAAAAACTACAGAATAATCTGGTAACAGTTTACATTGAAATTTTCCGAAAGCTATCTTATGCATTTCTTCCAATTTTCGATCAAAAGTTAGAAAAAGATTGATGCAGTACTTACATCCATTGCAGTCACGTAATTTATAATAAATTCAAACAGAAAAATTTCTAAGAAATGATTGCACACATTTTTTCTATATATTTATCCAAACCTTCAAGTGCCTTTCTAGCCTTTTCTGAGAGTACAAGGAAGAATGTGCACATCTGCGCCACATCCTGTGGTTGAATTTTGTCTGTCAAAGGAGATCTTCATTTGCATAGATGAATTATAATCAGTACTTAGTAAAAAATAAAAAAAAATAAAAAAAAAAAAGGAAAAGGAAAAAAATAGGAGGAGAATGACACAGAAAACTGCTAACTTGTAAGTCAATCTTGAAGATCCGAATACAGTTGCACTAGCAGCACAAGGAATAGGGGCAGATGAGGGAGAAAAAGAAGATGCAGAATTCCTCAGATGATTTTCCTGAATGAAAGTAGAAAATGAGAAAAAGAAAAGTGAAAAAAAAAATAAAAAATAATTTGCAGTTTTAACAAGATAAAATATAGGGCTAAAAGGCAAATGAGGGAATAATAACATAAACATGTACATCTAATCTTAAAAAGGAATTAAAAATTAAAAATTTTCTATCCTTTTCAAACGTCAGTCAGAGACTCACAGCATTAATGACATCTAAAGTACTGCATAAACCACAGTTTTGATAAATCCTAAAGTACAGAACAAGGATCCTTTGACTATTAAATATTGAGAAATTTAATAAAATTTCTGGTGCCTGTAGATGGAAGGTTCAATCTGATACTAACTAAATAAAAAAAAAAAAAAAAAACTGAATAAGAAATGCATTTTCATTGATATTAACAAGTATATGCTCATAACTCATAAGGATCAACTAGATTTTCATATCCATCACACCTGTTGGAATTTTGCAGATTTATCTTTAGTTACACTGCCTAAGATTTCCTCATTTTTTCTCTTCTTGGATGCCAAAGGGGTCTCATAGCCAGATGATCCAATGGCCCCACTAACGGCCGCATTTGCTGCTTGTTGCATGCAGGTTATGCCATTATGATTGCCGTGAAAGAGAGCCCTTCTTTCTTCACTTCCTTCAAAATTCTTGCAATCCATGCATTTACAATTTTCGGAGCACAAAATATTGGCCTGGAAGCACTCACAGTACTTCTTGAGGCACCCTGATTTCTTGCAGTGACATCCTTTATTGTGCTTCCCAACTATTTGAGCTTCACTTGCATCTTCCTGGATTTATTTTATGACATTTTAAATGCATGCAAGTAAGAATGTGAGAGGAGGAAGAAAGTTTAAACTTCAAAAATGAGTGTTGTTAAGTTCATTTGAGCAAGGAACTAAATTTATCCCCTTCTTTTCATAGCTTATTATGCAGTGACACAGAGTTGCTTTACCCATGGCCTTCCTTCAGAGAGAAAATTAGTCAAAAAAAAAAAAGAAAAGAAATGCAGAAAGAGACATATGCATCACTTAATGGTCCATGTATTCACACTAATATCTAATTAAAAAGAACAGAGAGTATGGATCAATATTCCTTATGGCAAGTCATTGATTAAAGATGGGACACATGCCATATCCCAAAATCAGCAAGAAAAAACTTACTTCGAGGAGCCCATATATATAATGAATTTTCTTTCATATGCTTCAAATGAAATAATGCTTACTTAAGTTACTTATTGAAGCCAAATAAAAGAGACTATTCACTATTTGATAAAATAATAAGCTAAGGACATTATCAAACGTTAAGCATTACCAATTCAATCTCAAATGAGACAAGCACATACCCTTGGATTGTATCCATGTGGGCTGCTTGCAATCTTAGGTCTAAAAGCATTTGGGTTGCGTTCTAAGGTAGCTCCAACGGCCTCTTGCCTAGCAGCCTCATTTTCCACATTGTTATAACAATTTATGCAATTGCAACCGTTACAATGAATCCCAGCAGCAAAGCACTCGCAATACCTAAAAATTGAAAACTTCCTTCTTAAAATAGTGAAAACATAAAAAAAAAACGTGATACATTATGGTCAAAGAAGAATTCAAGCATAGAACAGAAGAATTCTATAAATTTATTGCACAATGAATTATTTGTTTTCAAAGAGATTTTGAGTATATGTGAATGCTTATTTTGTAATGGTTCATAAAAAGGCTAACCATAGGGAAGAGAGGACAAAATTACATGTAAATTTAAACTACGGAAGGAGAAGCAGTAAAAGGATGCACAGTAAAAGGATGAACGGTAAAGCAACCGTCCCTTTATAAAGCATTTTAGCATAACTAACTCCTTGAGGAAACATATTGGCAGAAAAAAGAGAGATCATTTCTAGTATGTCTAAATTGCAATACCTAAAAAGCATAACATTGCTGAATGTTCTAATGTAAACTAGAGCAGTTAAAAAGTTCTTCATGAGTAAGTACACTTTCTCTCTTGACAAGGAGTAGGATCAATCAAATGCAAACAAATTTACAAGAATCACATCTGGGGTGGCAACAGTTAACAGTTTCAAAGCTAAAAAGAAAAAAACGAGAAGAAAATGACAATGAATCAAACTTCTGCGCTGAAATGCATGTGAAGGAGATGAAGACTTACAACTTCAAGCATCTCGAATTTTTGCAATTACATTGCTTTGCTTTCTTAGGAGTACCTTCTTTTGCTTCAACATTATTTCTTGGCCGTGCTCCAGGAGACTCTTGCTTCCTGGAAAAAAGCTTCATAAATTGATATTGCATTCAAAGATTGCTAAATTTATTAAACATTCGTCTAAGCTACACAATCTCATAACATACGACATGAGTTGTCGAGAAATTATTTTTTATATTTTTTTATTTTTAAACAGACCACTGTTCTCTAAATCAAATTCGAATTAGACTCTATGGTTAAATCTTTCATCACAATAGTAATAAATAAATAAAAACAAACTTACGGCGCAGGCATTGTCGACAGAGGAATTTTCTGCACGAGATGAGGTATCCGACGCACCGCCGGTGTTTGATGTGGCCGGGCTTGCAATTGCGGCATTACCGGTGGCTGTTTCGGTGGCGTTTGTAGCTGTAAATGCAATATAGGCTGCGGCTGTGACTGTAATTGAGATTGCACCGGGTTTGATGGCGGCTGCTGTGCATGTGGCTGTAACTTCAAATGTGGCTGCGACTGCGATGGCGGTGGTGGCTGCTGCATTTTTGAATGCTCCGTTAAGATCACATTAGCTGATGCTCTACAAATCGCTGTAAAATCCAACTGCCGCGCCAATTTCTTTGGCGCAAAATCGGAAATCGCTTCACTTTGTTCCATTAATTCTTAAAACAATAAATGACACAAAAATACAGAAGAAAAAAAAACGCAAATCTCAGAATTTTCAACAAACCGAAAAGAAAACACCTCAAATGCGAAGAAAACCGAAACCAAGACAAAAAGATAGAACAGAAACTCAGCAATGGAGGAGTTCTTGAAAGATTAGGGAGCTCAGCTGAGGTTTTTTTTTTTTTTTTTTCTTCAACAAACCGAAAAAGAAAACACCGCTTCAAATGGCGAATGAAACCGAAAAACCAGAACAAAAAAGATAGAAGCAGAAACTCAGCATGAGGAGTTTCTTGAAAGATTTTAGGGAGCTCCAGCTTGAGGTTTTTTTTTTTTTTTTTTTTTCCTTTGATAATTAATATGGTCTATCCTCTCCCTTCGTTCAGTTTTTGAAATTTTAATCTTAGTATTGGCTGGAGTGCAAGTTGAGGTTGTTGATTATTTTTTTTTTTTTTTTTTTCCTTTGATAATTAATATGGTCTATCTCTCCCTCGTCAGTTTTTGAAATTTTAATCTTAGTATTGCTGGAGGGCAAGTTGAGGGTTGTGATTAATCCGACGGTTGAACTTAAAAGTGTTTAATGGACGGGTCAGATTGAGTAAAAATGTTTGATTCGTCAAGGGCCATTGGATTACGGAGAGAGACTTTTGGGCGTTTTAGGTATTTTCGCTGGAAAGCGACGGGAGGGCAATTTGGCGCTAATGGAAGTCTTGAAAGCGATAGGATTTTTGTTTCTGTTATAAACGTGAACGTGGCTTGAGTTAGGGTTACGACTGTGGATGGCTAATAAAAGTATTTATCGGAGATTAATTTTGAATTTGGATACATCATCGGTTTCGTTATCTTGGTCAGATGAAAGCCGCCACCTGGCGTTGCGAAGAAATTTGAGAAATAATCAAAATGATGTTTTTCTGATTTTTAGCTTTTTATATAAACTTTATTTTTATAAAAATATTTATGTAATTAATTAATATTCATAGTTAGAATATATATTTTTAATATTATAATTTTATTTAGTGAGATGTAACGAGACATGATGTAAAGTAATTATTTTAATATAATAAATAAAACAGTAGTAATTGAATTTTAAAAATCTAATTATTACTGATAATTCTTTAATATTTGAAAATTCAATTTTTGATAGACACAATAATATTTGGACTAGCCAAGCCAACCTTCGTAGAGATTCTTTTTTAGATAGAACTTTTTTTTCCCTTCAAAATTTTTAAAATAAGAGATTGCTAAAATTTGAAATTTAAACTTTAGCAAATAAAAGAAGGCTCTTCAACTTGAGACTCGCCTCAATCAACAACTAAAAACATTCAATTTATAGCAAAAAAAAAATTAAATATTGAATTCTAATATTATTATCATCATTTTTTAATTTAAGCAATGATGTTTACCTTTAATAATAAATAGTAATAATTTTATTTATTAAATTATTTTACTTTTTTACTCGAGATTTGCTCTTTTTATCATCTGGCGTAGAACTACATTGCGTCATAAATATATAAAAATAATAATTTTTAAATAAATTACACTTTGCTTATATTTTTACAAGGCAAATTAAATCTTATTCCAAAAATAAATACTTAAATAACTAACCTGATAACCCAACACTAATAACAAAAATTAAATACACAGTTGAATTCATTTGATATTTTATTCTAACAAACGAATTATCCAATGGAATTGTTCGGTTTGGGATCTAAAATTGTTTGATTTGTTTAATGAAATAACATAACTATTTAATTTCATAATGATGAAATAATTGTGATAATAAATTATAACATATTATAATTTTAATATCAAAATTTAAGATAATAACAAATAATTGTTTCAAGAAATTATTATATTACCTGTTTGAAATTTAAATTAGAACTAAAAATACACTCATATAATCACATAAAAAACACATATAACGAATTATAAATGGATCGGGACCTTCTTTCTTCTCCTGCGGAGCCCTGATAAAGTCACCGGCGGCAGGTTCGGTTCATCTAATAGATTCGGTTCAAAATGAGCATCCTATTGGTTCCTCTGCAACCATACAAATGCAAACCACTGTCCTCTCAGTAATATGAGAGAGGTGGCACCACGTGCCATTCTGCAAAACATGGGCCGTACATGGATTGCTGTGGCTCCTAATTAATTAATACAAAGTTTCAAACACTTAATTATATATATATTGCTAATTACAATCCGATAAACAGTCCACAAGAGATTCAATTAACTAAACTCATAGATGAGTGTTTGACACTATCCAAATTTAATTTCATAATATATTTAAAACCAACTCAATTTTAGTACAATCACTTGGCTACAATAACAATTATTTTATATTCTTGAATTATATTAAATTTTATATTGATTTAAACTTATAATGTAACATCTCTTCCCGGTCCACCCATTAACCCGAATGAACCGAGCCCCCGGTCCAACCCATTAACCCGATTGAACCGAGCCGAGACACTACCAATCTGTTGAACCTTGTCCATGTCATGCGTGAATATCATCATGTATGCAAAGTTTATATATAATATATATATATATATATATATTCCATCCGTTCCATTTTAATAGCAATAAATAAATATTTTATCTTATTATACTTTTAAGTGCTCATTTAAGATTTTGAGACTATATTAATTATTTTTTTCTAATTTTAACCATATTTATCAGGCGTGATTTGTTTTTATATTTATATTTAAGATGGACAATTTATATATTATATCATATATTTTTAGAAAATCCATGACTTACGATCATTTTCTTAATACTTGTAAAAATAATAAATGTTACTATTAACGTAAAGTAGATAGAATATAGTCTATTTTATATGTGCTTTTTCACGCACAAACTATAGATTAGACTTATATTTTTATACTAGCAATTTTAAATTTCGAACTCCCTAGCTTTATATGGGATGTTATTGGTGATACCATAAATATACACAAACATTAAAAACATAATTAAAGCGAATAAATGATGAATATAAAGGAAAAAAAATTATATAAACAAATTATAATATATAGTATATATATACTATATAATATATATATATATATATATATATATATATATATATATACTATATAATATATATAATATATATATATAATATATATATACTAGGTATTGGAGGTGAGAGAAATAATTTTTGTTATTGATGAAGATATATACTAGTATTGAGGTGAGAGAATATTTTTGTTATTGATGAACTTTGATTTATAGTGTTTATTTCTAAAATATACTACTTTAAATCATAATTTTGCTTCTGAAATGCATTTCTTACATATATTAGAAAAGAAGTATATATCCCAAAAACTTTCATCATCACCCTCCAAAACTCTCTTCAAATATTAATTATATGCAATTAGTTTCACTTGATTTTGATAATTTTTTATCTACTATTTGATGCTAACTCTTAATAAAACTGAATTGATTGCTGACCAAAAAATAATGGGTCTATGAGATTTTTGAATTAAGTGGTTTATATAAAAGAAAAGGGGAAACGACATGATTAATAAAAAGAGAAAAGAATAAAAAAACAAATCAAAGAGGAGATGTAAAAGGCTTGTCGCCCGTCTTACAAGCTATGTCTGATAGCTTTTTTTCTGGAGATAAGATGGCTAGCAAAGTAGTAGCTATATATATATAGTTGATTAATAAAAATAAAATCAAATATACAAAATAAAAATAAAATTTGCAGTACTATTTTACATATAATTGTTCTTTTTTAAAAGGAAAGAGATCCAGCTTTATTACGAGTAAAACTCAGAAACACAAGAAGGGATTGAATCCCAAATCTTAAAACAAGCAAAACGAATTACCTATTTACAAAAATAGCTTTGCAATACGAAATTAACAAACCAAAAATATATATTATTGTTCTTAATTTTCTATTTTTCTGTATATTTTTAGGTCATGTTTTTAATATTTTCACGACTATCTTTATACTTGTTTTTTTTTAAGTATGAACTAATGTCATTTAAGTACGAAAAAGGAAAATAACAATAATGATAATAATAATAATAATTAATGAAAAGAATGGTTTATTGACGTCTACATGACTGTTAGGAATGATTAATAAAAAAGCAACTACCAAAAATTTCGCCTTTTATGGAAAAATAATTAAAACTTTTAAACATGGTTCTTCTTCTTATAGAGCAAAACGGAAAAGGCAGGCACGTACAGTGGTGTACTCGTATCTAAACATCATAATAAGTTTTCTCGTAAAAATAAATTTTATATATTCACAGTTCAGAAAGCTAGGGTTTCGCTTAAAAATTTCTGATTATAGTTTGTTTTTTAGGGTTTCCTGGCCTGAAACATTTTAATTATTATTAGCTGTTGGTTGTTTAACTAAATTAAAATATTATAATTTTTATATTTTTTGACTATCAAATAAATATTCAATCAATTTAATTTTATAAATTTAAATGTTAAATAGAATAATTTTTTCAAGTTAATGGATGTAATTTTTTATAAGTTACAACGCTCATAATTCAGTTAATGGATACATAAGATTTACCGATAAAAATATATAACACCAAATACATGTATAAAGAATTAAAAAATCTAAAAAGAAAAAAAAGGGAAGAATATTCATCGATGAAAAACTCATCAGTGAACACCCAAAGAAGCCTCCTGATGCTTAGTTCTACGGTTTTTGAGATAATTTTTTGATTTAATAAGATTTATAGTATTTAGGCTTTTTACCCTTTTGAAGTATTCTTTTTGTATTACAGTATATAGATAGAAAAAGATAATTAAAAAAAAAAAAAGATCTAACTTGGTAGTTAGGAGGAATCCATTTTAAGAGGAAATGACAAGAATAATTGGAGAAAGCAAATTAAGCAATTATGGCAAATATCCAAATATATATATTCCTTGCAAAGAACTCCAAAAACTCTTCCAATTACTCTTTAATTAATAAATAATATAACACCTCTAATTCACAAATTGCAGAAAAAAAAATATTATAATAATGTAATTATGCAGTAGTTTTCCTATCAATTTTTTTCTTATTAAACTCATATTTAATTTTTTAATTTTAATTTTATGTTAATTGTATAATTTTTGTAATTTAAGTTTTAATCATGCGCTTAAAAGCAATATATTTATATATATTGGTGAAGAACCCAATAAAGCTGAATTATGAGTAGCAACCAGAAATACTACCATG